AACAACATCCGGTTTTGTTGACAGGTGGATCGGATGCCTAATATATTGGCGTGTCCTTTGCTTAGCACTGTTTTCTGTGAAAATAAAAGTTTTGTTTGAATTGAATGAGATTTAATTAATTTGACAAAGTGTTCGCGAGTTCGAAAACAACGAAGTCCTTGGCATTTTTTTAACGGGATGAAAGAACAGCAATCTGGACACCACAGCAATCTAGACACCTGTTCCTAATTAATGGATCCTAAATTTTCATATAAAAATGCAATGGTTGAGAGCCGTTCAGTTACTTTGCTCGAAAACGGTGGTCCAGTTTCATTTGATTGACTTTCTACCTCTGGAGATTAGAAAAAAGGTTAGTCTTGTTGAAAGAGTGAGTACTTTACGCTTTATTACGACGTAAAACCAAATATCTGATGTGTATATTGTTTCTGTCAATAGAATAAAATTATACTGATGCCTTCGTATGGGGTTAATGGCGCCTTAAATGGCAATCGCTGGAATGCATGTAAAGCATAAATGACATTAATCAAAGTTGTGACCACAGGCTTGCGTCTATTTTCTAGAAAGTTTATCAAAATTATAACTGCTTCATGATGAATTATATCTACATCACTACTTGGAATTTATAATGCGTAATTAATTGTCTTGACGTGTAATTTTTGTCATTATTTCATGCAAGGGTATTGTTGAAAATAATCTATTTGAGATTGATTCTTAGTGTGGTAAACTTAGTCTCACATAGACCCTACCACAATATATCCCCACTCCATTCCGTAAAAACTTTCCCTGTCCGAATTGTAAACAAAAACATATATCACGTCAGTCGCATGACTCGCGTCATGTTTCTGAACTCGACGACTAACTCAAGAAACTGTTCTTTGTTTGCAGACGAATCTTGACCTACTCACTGAGCTGAGAGGCGATATCAGCCAAAATGAGGGCATCCATTGTTCTGCTACTTGCACTTGTGCTGTTCGTTGGGTTAATCCACAGCGCAGAGGGTGGGTGATACATGTATTTTATCTTAAAATTCGAGTTCCAACGAGGGGGAGGGGGTGAAATCCCGAAAATGAATCTTGAAATTGAATTGAGAAGTTATATTATCTTTTCAATCAGATCTCACCCCGAATCGGTCCACGATCGTTGATAGTTCCAGCTCCATTTTCCAATGTTGTTGATTGTTATCAATGTTCGCAAGGAGCAAGAATTGAAATTGGTCATCACTCGGATTTCTTCCATTGGTCACCATGAGGAAAATCCATCAAATGGATTTTTCTTTTTCTCAGCAGAGCCAAGGGCGGATATAGAACACATTTCTTTTTGGGGGGGCCTAAAACAATTTTTGGTCCCCCAAAAAATTACGGCGAGGGGTTCGGCGCTCGCTTAAGAGCCCCGAGAAATTGTTGGGTTCTACTAGATGCTCTGTGGTGCAATCTGAGGCAATGTCTGACCACTCTTTAACCAAACTAATTTGAGGAAAACATGGTGGTGTACGCAGTGCCCGCCTTCATGGCGACATCACTTTAAAAAAAAATTGGGTCTTTTTTGGGGGGAGCATAGCATAGGCCTAATACACATATACGTATTGGTTTCTCTTGAGTTCCTTTCTTGTTCATATACTTTCATTAGGTAAAAAGCACAAAAAGCACAAGCACTGGCACTGGCACAGTCACAGCGACAGCGACAGTAGCAGTGACAGCGACAGCGGCAGTAGTGGCAGTGACAGTGGTAGCGACAGCGGCAGCGACAGCGGCAGTAGTAGCGACAGCGGCAGCAACAGCGGCAGTAGTGGCAGTGAAAGTGACAGTGGCAGTGACAGTGACAGTGACAGCGACAGCAGCAATGACAGTGACAGTGACAGCGACAGCAGCAGCAGCAGTGGTGGAAGTGGAAGTGGCAGTGGCAGCGACAGCAGCAGCGACAGCAGCAGTAGTGGCAGTGAAAGTGACAGTGGCAGTGACAGTGACAGCGACAGCAGCAATGACAGTGACAGCGACAGCAGCAGCAGCAGTAGTGGAAGTGGAAGTGACAGCAGTGACAGTAGCAGCAGCGGAGGTAGCACCTCTGAGGAATTAATCACAACAACACTTGAACCGACCCCCACCACGACAACAACCCCCCCACCAACGACTACCACCACAACGACCCCTGTACCAACGACCACCACAACAACAACCCCTGTACCAACGACCACCACAACAACAACCCCTGTACCAACCACCACCACAACAACAACCCCTGTACCAACCACCACCACAACAACAACCCCTGTACCAACGACCACCACAACAACAACCCCTGTACCAACCACCACCACAACAACAACAACCACTGTACCAACGACCACCACAACAACAACCCCTATACCAACCACCACCACAACAACAACAACCCTGTACCAACCACCACCACAACAACAACCCCTGTACCAACCACCACCACAACAACCCCTGTACCAACCACCACCACAACAACAACCCCTGTACCAACCACCACCACAACAACAACCCCTGTACCAACCACCACCACAACAACAACCCCTGTACCAACCACCACCACAACAACAACCCCTGTACCAACGACCACCACAACAACAACCCCTGTACCAACGACCACCACAACAACAACCCCTGTACCAACCACCACCACAACAACCCCTGTACCAACCACCACCACAACAACAACCCCTGTACCAACCACCACCACAACAACAACCCCTGTACCAACCACCACCACAACAACAACCCCTATACCAACCACCACCACAACAACAACCCCTGTACCAACCACCACCACAACAACAACCCCTATACCAACCACCACCACAACAACAACCCCTGTACCAACGACCACCACAACAACCCCTGTACCAACAACCACCACAACAACCCCTGTACCAACGACCACCACAACAACCACCCCTTTACCAACGACCACCACAACAACAACCCCTGTACCAACGACCACCACAACAACAACCCCTGTACCAACGACCACCACAACAACCACCCCTCCACAGCCGACCACCCCGTTCGACGTCCCTCCACAGCCGACTACCCCGTTCGACGTACCTCCACAGCCGACCACTCCGTTCGACGTCCCGCCACAGCCGACCACCCCGTTCGACGTTCCTCCACAGTCGACCACCCCGTTTGACGTACCTCCACAGCCGACCACTCCCTTTGACGTCCCTCCACAGCCGACCACTCCATTCGACGTCCCGCCACAGCCGACCACTCCGTTCGACGTCCCTCCACAGCCGACTACTCCGTTCGACCTCCCTCCACAGCCGACCACTCCGTTCGACGTCCCTCCACAGCCGACTACCCCGTTCGACGTACCTCCACAGCCGACCACTCCCTTTGACGTCCCTCCACAGCCGACTACTCCGTTCGACGTCCCGCCACAGCCGACCACCCCGTTCGACGTACCTCCACAGCCGACCACTCCCTTTGACGTCCCTCCACAGCCGACCACTCCGTTTGACGTCCCGCCACAGCCGACCACCCCGTTCGACGTCCCTCCACAGCCGACTACTCCGTTCGACCCCCCTCCACAGCCGACCACTCCGTTCGACGTCCCTCCACAGCCGACCACCCCAATTGCCGTTGGATAACCAGCAGAGTGATTAGTCCAGTACCCTTAACCGACCACGGCGTATTTAAATACTTTGCTTGAATTAGTTTCGATTATTAATAACTTTTACTCTACCTATTTGGCTCTAATGCACTTCAAACTGTGGATGATGTATCGTCCTTGTAGACAGTCACCCATTACAACACAAGCAAGTATAATATAGTTTCACCATTTTTCTCAAGTAAAATTTCCCTTTTACTCAGACTAAATAGCTTGATCCACTATATTGATTGAACACTTTGACGTAGAATTATGTTTTATCATCAGTTTATTTTGTGGCGCAGTTTCTTGCCACTTGATTTCTAAAAGCGTGTGGTTGTCATAATAGACCATGTGCCATGTGACGCAACTGCCCTATTTTAAGCATCCTTTGCATGTTTGTTGACCCACATTAAAAAGTTTAATGCCAAGTATTTTAAATCATTCATATTTCAAGAGATAAACATGCAGTGTAGAAGAGAACCGTTTGCCGAAAGTTGGCATTACGTGACCAAAGTATCCAATTTCGTAAACAAATGCCACATGGTATATGGCATCATATAAAACTTAGCTCTTGTTTTATTGAGCCTCGCCTCCTATGACGTGCATTCAGAATTAATTAAACAGTGTAGAAAGAAATGTTGGAGGATATTACCTGAATTTTCTTTTGAACCATATGGCCAAATCTATAAACAAAACTATACTCTTTATCTGTCAAAATATAATATAATGTGTTGTACTGTTTCAAACGGAAGTCGGTTTTACGTGGGAACGACGTACATTTTGCGAGCGTTTGAAATGGTCTGTCACCTTTAGAAATTAAGAAAACTAAGAATCAAGCTCTACGTTAATCTGTTTGGCTCTGTGGGTTTTTGTTTTTGTTTTTCAAATGAGTTTATTATTCTTCAATAAAGTAGACTATATTGCAAACATGAATCTTATAGATATCTTGAGTTTCATTTACCCTCATGGTTTTGTATTTTTGGGGCGTTGGAATTCGAGTGATGTAGAATTATGGTGGGTTTGCGACTGGGTGATGTACTGAACGGTATGGCACTTACATGCGGGGACAGTTTGTGCATCCTTGACCCCAATATGTAGTTTGGAATAGAGTATCAGCGCTTCTTGCGTTTGCCATGCGTGCAGATTAATGCAAAACAACACTGCGTCTTGGCCTCCAGATGCATTAACAGGGCGCCTTCTATTGTGTCTTCGGCAACCCGATGTTGTATGAGAAATACTTGGCAGCCATTGACCAATCAGAAAGCGTCTCCGATTGGCTGGCACACGCGGTCGCATACAATTTACATGCACGGATATAATTATCTGACGTTCATTGTGTGGCTCTGCACACGTGAACGTCTGATCATTAGACAATGATATGTGAACTATTGTGGCCCTGAAGAGACATCAAAGACACATATAATTTATTTTACGACATCGTAAATGTTTTCACGACATCGTAACTTTTTGACATGGATACAAAGTGAACACTCGATCCGTTTGACGTCCCTCCATCGGCGACTGGGGTGCGTATATCCGCTGGCGACCACTCCACTCGTCGTCCCTCCACTGGCGACCATTACTCCGTTCGTCGTCCCTCCACCGGCGACCACTCCGTTCGTCGTCCCTCCACCGGCGACCATCCCGTTTGACGTCCCTCCACCGGCGACCACCCCGTTTGACGTCCCTCCATCGGCGACCACCCCGTTTGACGTCCCTTCACCGGCGACCACTCTGTCTGATGTCCCTTCTCCGGCGACCACACTCCGTTCGACGTCCTCCACAGGAGAACCACCAACTTCCCCGCATAACCAGTAACAAGCAAGCAATTGTTGTACCAACAATTACAAGTTGGTAACTTATTGGGGCTATTTTTGTCAATTTTCGTCAATTATTTGTGGCCAAATATTCTTGGTCAATTTTCGGGGACAGACAGACAGACCACAAAGTGGCATGCAAAAGCTCCTGCCAGAGCTTAAAAAGAAACTGCTAGGATACTTCACGAGTTAGCAAGGATTTTTGGCTCACACGCATACGTACATCCTAAACTAAGGATTATGTGCTAACTGCCACTGGGTTTGCGCAGAGTTTTTTTGTGCTAGCTTGGTTTTAGCATGCATTGAATGGTGAAAGTAAGCACGGAATTCTGAGGTTAGCAGAGTCATCATGAGATTAGGCCCTGATCCCCATCACACTCCATGCAGACCCAAGACTCATTATAAACCTAAATAAAGAAAAGGCAAACCTATAGTCCAGCTTGTCCCAGAGTGTACAATGTTCTATATAATTGATTCAGAATGGCTAGTTTCTTACTATCTTACTGGGTAATCCTATATGATAGCACTGCCCAGCTCTTTTCGCCAGCCAACAAGAAGTCAGTCAGTGAGTTAGTACGGAACTGTATTTAGGACATGACCAAACAAAAATTTCCGGCCCTCTATATCGCCCGGGCGGATTACTAATCCGCCCAGGCGAAATAGTAATCCGATTACTTTTTCGCCGGGGCGGATTACTAATTCGCCAGGGCGAATTAGTAGTCTGCCCGGCCGGGAGAATTAGTAATCTGCCCGGGCGAATTAGTAATCTGCCCGGGCGAATTAGTAGTCTGCCCGAGCGAATTAGTAATCCGCCCGGGCGGAATAGTAATCCGCCCGGGCGGAATAGTAATCCGCTCGGGCGGAATAGTAATCCGCCCGGGCGGAATAGTAATCCGCCCGGGCGAAATGCTAATCCGCCCGGGCGAAATAGTAATCCGCCCGGGCGAAATAGTAATCCGCCCGGGCGAAATAGTAATCCGCCTGGGCGAAGTAGTAGTCCGCCCGGGCGAAATAGTAATCCGCCTGGGCGAAGTAGTGGGCTTAAAAAATATTTTCGGTCATGTCCTAAATACGCTTCCGTAAGTAAGTCAGTCGTTGAGTCTGGTACAGAGATGACTGCGACTTTTTCATAACTATTCCCGTCCTCGCCGAACGCACTTCCACCACGAATATTCTAGGCCGCAATTATAACCACGCTAGCGTGTCACATAAAACAACTGTGTTCTATCAGAAAGTGTTCACTTACATTAACAGTCATAAACTTCAACCAAAACACGAGTTCATCACTTCTTCCAACTTGTTTAAAAGTTTAAGGTTATAGAGTTTGCAATGATATTGTTGCAATCTTAAACTGCGTTTGATAGTGACTGAAACATTTTAGTTGGAAATTATCAAACTATAGTTAAAATTAACGTGAACAGGTCGGGAACACATAGAGTGTGACCCCACTTTTCAAAAGGTTTTGTTAAAAATGGCTACTTTCCTTCAAAGGTTTCGCGCCCAATACGGGATTATAGCTTGTGACTGTTTCCCAGCTGAATTTACCGTACATTTTCCATATAAGTATAGTATTTCCTGCCTCGCAGCTCTCTGAAATTGGGCCCTGGTATCCGTTGAATCAAAGGTCTCAGGATAGGAGCACAGGACCCTGTGCTTGACCTCCTTTTTAAAAAGACGCATACACACCTGATTATTGCCGTTTCAAATCCACCTAAAACCGCATGTTTACTTAAAGGGAATATACATCATTTGCTTTTGCTGTAATTTTCAGAAATGGATGAAATTGGGGGTTGGAAATATATAGCAAATATAGTAACACTGACTTTTTTGAGGTTTTGGGTTCGAAAATGCTATAAAAACCAAGAAAAACAATCATTTTCCTGTAGTCTGGTTCCCTGACTCCATATAAGAAGACACAGAGCAGTTTACATACATTGGGGAATTGTAAGGTCAGGGAACCAGTCTAGCAGGCTCGTACCCGTTCATAGGTTTGTAATCGATTGCAAACAAGTGTGATGGTCAATTGGGGCGAGTATTTGGGAAAAAAAAGTTTTTTCCAACGCTGATCGGCCGATCAGCGTTGGAAATTGATACAAAAATACCACTTTTCTTGAAAATGACAGTATACCAGGTGCCATGATTTTACAGGATGCTTTACACTGTCATTCACTAACAGTCCAGCAAGGTATTTCAAAATGATTTGGTAGTTTTATTTGTTGATGTTTGCAAATGTTGTATTTTCCCTTTAAAACACCACGTTGATTTAAGACAGGTCATCTATGCGATTTAATTAAACTGACAGGTGTTCTTATATTCTGAAGCAACACAGGCATACTTTGCGCTGTTTGGTCCAGATGTCCAATGGACAAATAAAAACAAACAAAAACATACGGACGTCCCTAGAGAAGTTAAATACACAGCCGTCACCCTTGTGTCAAAACATATGATGCATATATTGGAGGGTGTAGAAGAAAGTTGGAAAGCGGCCTCTCCGTTTTGGAGGCATCCTTGACTTTTATATGAGATGTGTGATATGTCCCTTCAGGGCCACCATACTGCTGGAAACCAGGCCTTTTTTTTCTGGTCAGCCGTTGTGGAAGAAGATTCCGACACCAGGATATTCCGTGCCCCCAAGATATTCCGTGCCCTTCAGGATATTCCGTGTGCCCCCCCCCCCCCAGGATATTCCGTGCCCCCCCCCCCCTGATATTCTGTGCCCTTCAGGATATTCCGTGTGCCCCCCCCCCCAGGATATTCCGTGCCCTTCAGGATATTCCGCGCTGCAGAACAGATTTTCCTGGCGTTACCAGGATATCGCGTCCCCGACAGTTTCTCCTTGCAGATTTTGTCCCTACTGCAACAGAGATTTTGTCCCCAGGATATTCTGTTTCAAAACAGAACAGAATCGGTAACTATAGCGGTAAACTTGACACTCACTTGTAATTTCCACGAACGGCTGGGTCTAAATACTGGGGAATTTCTCATGCCAGTCATGGCCTATAAATCCAGAAATATATAGCAAGTTATGTCATTGCTGGCCGAACCCCGGCTTACAGGACAATACTGCACAGAAAAATAAAGACAGCGAAAACATCGATGCGTATCTCTAATTTTCTTCAGTTATGTGGACTAGTAAGAATTATGTAGCCGCACTATCCATCTCTCCATCCATGCAAAAAAATATAGGGGGAATTTCTCATAACCAATGGCTTAAAGCCAGAGACACAGCAGGCGTTTTTCTTGCATAAAATGCCTTCAATCTGGTAATTGCTTTTAGTGGGTTAGTGCGTAAGTTTAAAATGATTCTATGTATCGAATCTTATGACTGGGCACGTTATAGCTACTCAGTGGAGATCCCAACCACTTACCAGGCACGAATCTTAGTACCTTAAGAAAGTTGACTGGGCATCACCGCTGGGCATCATCATCCAGTTTGACTTCAGGTTGTGATGCAAGATGTTTTCCTAGGGGCTGTGTTAAATTGGGATGATAATGTTTGATGAATAAGTGCATCAGGGAGCTCGTTCCAGTCTACAATCGTCTTGGGGAAAAACATTATGGTACGCTTGCGTGCGGCATTTCAAGGAAACATATAGCACTGATGATGTCTATTTCTTTGTGATCTTTCTACTGGGGTGATGTAATAATGGATGTCAACTGCAATTTCTTTATGGATGGAGCGATAAAGCATGGTGAGCCTGCTGACTTTTCTTCGATGCTTGAGAGCTGGCCATTGAAGATGTTGCTGCATGTCTGTGACACGTGATGTATTTTGGTATATAGTCACCTGTGACGAATCTTGCTGCTCGCGCTGTACCGTTTTCCAGTTTGTTGATGTGGTCATTATTATTCACTGCGCTGCATCAGTTTGCCGTGTGGCCGCAAGAGAATACAGGAACCTGGAGGACAGTCTCGAGGTAAATGATCTATCTCCAACGCGCTAAATAATCTGTATCTGTATCTGTGGCATACTGTAAGCAAACTCCACTATGGGATATACGGTTGCAGGCACGTGGTGGCTAGCAGCATCCCTATACAATTTTGTTGGTAGGCCCCCTTAGTGTTGAAGACAACTGCATCTCATGGAGCCTTGACTTAACGGACTCCACTGAAGTAGCTTCTCTGATGACTTCTGTAGGAAGTAAGTTCCACTGAGCTGTTGTTCATGGTAGGAAAGAGTATCTGTAGCAGTCCTTTTTAGATGTAGAGTGAACAAAGGATAATGAAGATGATTTCTAGTTGAGATGTTGTCCTGTTTGGAATCAACTTGGTACTGATCAACATCAATTGATGATCAAGTGTCTGTGTCAAACCCGCTTCTATAAGGTGATACATGACTGTGTTACGCGGCTGTAACTGACTAAAATAGTTGTCATTGCCATGTTTTATGTTTTGTTGTGCGAAATTCTAAAATGTAATATAATCGAACATTTTGACATGCGTTCGCTAACGTGGCGCACTTCGACGTATACCCCGACTTTCCTCATGTTGCAAACTTCGTTGTTGACAATTTTCAAATTCATTCAGTGAAATACTGGTACTTTTACCTTATTATAATACTTGCGATTTAACCTCTGTGAACGCTATTTAACCTCTGTGAACAATTTCGGTGTCATGAAATTTAATCCGAAATTCAAAAACGGTGGCGTCCGGATATTGGGCACAAAATCAGCTGAGTGTTCCCGAATGTGACGCACTTGAATAAATCTCGGAAAATTCCAAATTAACATAAAAGAATTTCTGTAAAGCTGATAAATTATGATAAACCATTATTATCTCCACATACCCAACTAGAATTTTCTCAGAAAATTATTTTCTTATTTTGAGGGGACATTTTCAAAGGGTTTACTGTGCACTTTGAAATCAAATAGGAGAAAGGCGCCGAAATATTTTTTCTTCTAACTTTGTAACGAGTAAATGAATTCGTGATTTATGAACAAAAGTGTTTAGAACTTGATAAAATTTCACTTTTTGTGAAATTTCAGTTAAAACTTTTGCTCTAGCTAGACGATACAGGCGAAAAATTCAAGGTGCGCCATGTTAGGGGCCGCGCCACGTTAGGGTACATCAACAATATAGGATATACAAAATCGTTTAAAATACATGGCTTTCCGTCTCATTATAAAGCACGTGGCTCGAAAATTACTTGGACAGATCTTATCAATGTACCAATTCTCTTGGATTGATAATAAAATGTTTCTCCGAGTTCCCTTAATTCGATCAATTAAAAACGTTTTGGTCAAGAAATAAGTGTTCAAAAGTGGGATATCCGTGTTCTATAACGTACCAACTGTTTGGGTTAATATAGTTTCTGTTAAATTCAACCAAAACTTGTGGTCATACAAGACTCGATTTAATATGGTCTTCCATGACTGCAACCTTTGCGTAATCGGATTACGTAATCTGACTATTTTTTTTTTTAACAACGGGGACGCCTCAGGCCTTCGCAACCACACAGCTGAGTTCACGCATACGAGTTGTCTACGGATCAGACGTTCACGCGTGCAGATAGAGCCACACAATGAACGTCCGATATTAAATTTTACGCAAACGCGTGCACCAGCCAATGAAAGCCGCCTTCAGGAATAATTGATGTACAAGCGTCTGTTCCATAGACTTCGTGTTGTGGTCGATGCAAACCCTCCCCGCATGTATGTGCCATTATACTGCACGCTACACGCACGATGGCTTTATAAACCGGGGGGGGGGGGTGGACAAACTATCCTAAACAAACTTTGCACAATTCAGGACTCCATCACCGGCCCAGTCGATCGCCAACCTACCATAATTCCACATCGCTCGAATTCCAACACCCCAAATGTACAAAACCACGAACGAACATGAAACACAAGATGTACCGAAAAGATTCATGCTTGCAATGTACCCTACTTTATTATAGAATAATAAAATCATTTGAAAAAAAAACTTGAAAGAAACGAAAGCTTACAAAGTCAAACATTATTCACGCAGAGCTTGATTGTACGTGTACTTAAATTTGTGAAAGAGACAGAATACTTCAAACGCTCACAAAATGTACGTCGTTAATTGACACTGCACTGGACGCCGACTTTTGCTGGGAGAAAAGTATGAAGCCCCACTCACACATTCACGGTTTGGAGCTACGGATATCCATTGTTTAAAATTCGTGATAAACCGTGGCGTTACCGTATTCATCCTTAGTCTTTGGTAATCCGTCATCTTCCTTGGGTATTCGTGGAGGTTTGAAACTGTCCGCGGTGAATCGTTTTGAAAATCAATCCGTATAGTGCAACCGTGGGACATCCGTAGGACAACCGTACTAATTCGTAGTGTTATTTGTGGCTATTCGGACATCCGGAGATTCGTAGCTCACTCGTGGTAGAAATCTCTACGAATTCGCTACGAATGAACTACGGATATGCCCGGATATGCTAGGATACTGCAAAAGGTTGCACAACGAATATGTATGATTCAATTGTAGGAGAACCTTGGTCATCCGTGGCCCAATCGCAGACACGCGTGGCGTTAACATCATTATTCTAAGCAATACCGTCGACATTCTTTTTTAGTCCGTCCATATTCTTGACAAACCGTGGTGCATTCGTAGGAAACCTTAGGACAGTCATGGCTATTCGTCCGTAGTGCATTCTTAGAAAGTCGATTTCTCCTCGAATCTCGACGGTTCATCGTGATCGATTGATTCTTGGTAAACCGTGGATATTCGTAGCTTCAACTGTGAATGTGTGACTGGGGCTTTACCAATCTGGTTTATCACTTTGGTAATGTGAGTTGAAAATGTTGTTTCTTCAAGGAAAAGAGCGATTTACAATCAGAATGTTTTCTGCGGGATATATCACCTTGTGTTGGTGTTAAAATCTAATAAATGAAAGGTTTGCGGAAACATCATGTGCGAATATTTTCTCAACTAAGAGAATGGTACTGAAAAGAACCAGAGGTATAAACTCTTTATTTATAAAGAGGTTATACCTCTGGTTCTTTTCAGAACCATTTTCTTAGTTGAGAAATTATTCGCACATGGTGTTTCCGCAAACCTTTCATTTATTAGTATCTCCTCCATGCAAAGCCTCAAATCTTACTTAATGTTCAAATCTGTTTGAAAGATTGATAGAACTTCAGGAATGATCATGTTTGAAGCAATACAACACATAAATTATTCTGTAAGCTACATTTCACTTTTTACACTTCTCCTATTTCAATAATATAATTCGGAATGCACGTTATGCGGGCGAAGCTCAATAGATAATAAATAAAAACTAAAAGAGCTGAGTTTTATGTGATGCCACCCATCACGTGACATTTGTTTACGAGATTGGATGTTGTGGTCATGTCATGCCAACTTTCTGCAAAAGGTTCTCTTCTGCACTGCATGTCTTTCTCTTGAAATATGAATTGCTTAAAAGTGTTGACATAATCGGCATGGCGTCACGTGGCACATGGTCTGTAGGACAACCACGCGCTTTTACCAATCAAATTGCAAGAAACTATGCAAGAAAAAGTTAAACTGGATTAAACATAATTCTACGTCAAAGTGTTTTATCAGCAGTGGATCAAGCTAAATAATCCGAGTGAAAGGGCAATTTTAGTTGAGAAAAATGGTGAAACAATATACCTTTAAGTTTAATGGGTGACCGTCTATACATGGACGATACATCCACATTAGAGCCAAATAGGTAGAGGAAAAGTTATCATAATCGAGGCTAATTCAAGCAAAGCTTTTAAGTACGCCGTGGTCGGTTAAGGGGTGCCGGACTTATTGTTGTTGACTAATCGAACGGAGTGGTCGGCTGTGGAGGGAGGTCGAACGGAGTGGTCGGCTGTGGAGGGAGGTCGAACGGAGTGGTCGGCTGTGGAGGGACATCAAAGGGCGTGGTCGCCGGTGGAGGGACGTCGAACGGAGTGGTCGGCTGTGGAGGGACGTCGAACGGAGTGGTCGGCTGTGGAGGGACGTCGAAGGGCGTGGTCGGCTGTGGAGGGACGTCGAACGGGTGGTCGGCTGTGGAGGGACGTCGAACGGAGTTGTTGGCTGTGGAGGGACGTCAAAGGGCGTGGTCGGCTGTGGAGGGACGTCGAAGGGCGTGGTCGGCTGTGGAGGGACGTCGAAGGGCGTGGTCGGCTGTGGAGGGACGTCGAAGGGCGTGGTCGGCTGTGGAGGGACGTCGAACGGGGTGGTCGGCTGTGGAGGGACGTCGAACGGAGTTGTTGGCTGTGGAGGGACGTCAAAGGGCGTGGTCGGCTGTGGAGGGACGTCGAAGGGCGTGGTCGGCTGTGGAGGGACGTCGAACGGAGTGGTCGGTTGTGGAGGGACATCGGTTGTTGTTGGTACAGGGGTTGTTGTTGTGGTGGTCGTTGGTACAGGGGTTGTTGTGGTGGTTGTTGGTACAGGGGTGGTTGTTGTGGTGGTTGTTGGTACAGGGGTTGTGGTTGTGGTGGTCGTTGGTACAGGGGTTGTTGTAGTGGTGGTTGTTGGTACAGGGGTTGTTGTTGTGGTGGTGGTCGTTGGTACAGGGGTTGTTGTTGTGGTGGTGGTTGTTTCCTCAGAAGTGTCGCCGCCGCTGCTGCTACTGCCACTGCTACTGCCACTGCTACTGCCACTGCTACTGCCACTGCTACTGCCACTGCTACTGCTACTTCCTATTGGATTAACAATTAAAATAACCAATGTTTTTGCAAAATATAGCTCCTCGATTATTGCAATCACAAGCTGTTATTCTCTTATGATGTGTTATGCTGTAACAAATCGATTGTGGATAAGGTATTGAGGACGAAATTAACAAGAAACTGCGTTGGTTAAAGAATAAATTAAAAAACTAATTCAAGCAACTTATGGTTGGTTACAGGTACTGTAATTACTGTGCTGATTATCCTAAAATTGTCTCAAAGAAGTGTAGAAAAAGGATTTTAAAATTCCTTAATGTTGAATATTGTAAAAGGGAAACGCTTTTGAAAGCCTATTTATCATTAATTCTTAATAGTTCGTGAAATTGAGTATTTTCTGACCGACCTGAGCAGCCTTCTTCGTCTGAATGATCCCAACAGTCGTAATGTCCGTTGCAAACTTTCCTCCAGCGAATGCATTGAAGCCTGTCATCACAGCGGAATCTATGCCTACCGCAATGTACCACTAAAAAGAATATACGTTGATTTACAGTTGTTTAGAGTTGCTTCCCCTTTTTACTTTCGTTCTAGACTTTGTTTTAGTCGAAAAAAAGTTATATGGGCCTATATATACCCAATTTGCCAATCGAGGCTTTTCCCACAAAAATGTATATAAGTGAACAATGGTAAAAACGAAATCCCAGTATTGGCAAAACACATTCATTATTTCAGAATGTTTGATATGGGTAAAGACTTCCATCGACATTATTGTTAATCTACATTATTAAAGGTATATTTTCGGCCCTAAAAGGCTACCAGTATCATCACATTAATCTGAGCGGTTAAAGGGGATCGCACCCCCCCCCCCTCCCATCTCAACCACCTCCTTCTAGATCGGCCTCGGGTACCGTTCATCAAAATTAAAGAACCGAACACACTTCAAAGTACCCACATTTATTTTGGTTACAATATATAAAGTGCGACAATTCCATCCTCGCTTTTAGACTGCATCAAAAATAAGATTGCATAATTCATTACAACTTTTTTGAGACTAATATGCGTTTTCACAGCTGTTTTTTGTCCCTTTTTGGGGAGAGGGGTGAAATCCTGCTGCAAAATTGGAAACTCGCCAAAACACGGCTGGATGCTGTAAGGACGATATCATGGCATTTCAAACAGACGCGAATCCCATGATGTGCACGTAGGTTAACATGTTGCTACACACACATTTGTACACTCCTTAATTTTGAGAGAGAAGTTCAATTGCAAAATTGCCTCAATAAGTGTTATGGTATACGTTGATGAATTCACGCTCTGATTGGATAGATTTTGCGTGAACTGTGACCTGCGAGTCATCACGGCCATAACTCTGCCGCAAGGTTTTAAACGGCCGTTAAGACTGATTCAATACTTTTTTTATTCCAATTCATAGATATTTTTCCGTTGAAAAGCGTCATAAGGTTGGAAAATCTGTAAAACTTATCTGCGATGTAAATTTGCAATTCCCGTCACTTGCTCAGGCTCCGTTTCGAATTCACCATGAATTCACGAACGGTCAATGATTGCATAATGCGACGCTCAAAATTTGTCCACATTGTCCGCAATGAAAAAGTAATCAAAATCCGGTATGGAACGTGTGAGAAAGAAAGAAATCTCTATGCGAAAGTTTTCGGATAGCATTTGTGCGCAGTGGCTAACTGCGGTCTTGAACAGCTGCAGCAAGATGCTTGATTCATAGGTCGTGATAAATTACCCAGGATGCCTTCCCCACTTCCTTCACAAGATTCTGTGAAGCTCATCAGCGTATCCCAGCGTCCTGTTTGTAGTGGCGTAGCCAGGAATTTTTCAGTGGGGGGGGGGGGGGGGCGCTGGGGGGGGGGGCTGGAACATTTCATGGGGGGGGGCGTCATGTAGATCATGTGGGGGGACTGGGGGGGACTGGGGGGGGGAGCGACAAGGTTTGGAGGGGGGGCTATCGCCCCCCCCCCACGCCCCCCGTGGCTACGCCACTGCCTGTTTGCAGGGCGGAGGTACGAGCGAAAATGTAATACAGTTCCTAACTTCCACCAACCTGGGCAACTAGCCTCGTCTGAACCGTCTGCACAGTCCCTACGTCCGTTGCAAACTTTCCTCCTAGGAATACATTTTGTAGTATACCATGCAGTATAACACCGGAATCTGTGCCCCCTGCATCGAATGTCTGAAAAGAAAAGAAACCGAGAGGATTTCCTTGACATCGTTAAAAATCAGTATCGGCAAATCGCAGTTTCGAAAAAACTACAAGAGACGGGCAAGGGCGGATCCAGAACACAATTTTTTTGGGGGGCCCAAAAAAATTTTGGAAATTTTTTTGGGGATTCTAGATGCTCTGTGGTGCAATCTGAGGCAATTTCTGACCACTGTTTTTTGAGGAAAAGATGCTGGTGTACTCATTGCCTGCCTTTATTGCGATGTCACATAAAACAAAAAAAAGTTTGGTTTCGTTTTTGGGGGGGGGGCATGGCCCCCTTTGCCCCCCCCCCCCCCCCCCCCCCCCCGATCCGCCCTTGGAGACGGGGTTGAAATTTAAAAATCAAGGTTTTCAAAATATTTGTAAAAAAAAAACTGAATGAATGTAAAAAAAAAAGTAAAGGTTATGGAAAACAATGAAAATATTTATATTTATTTGCATTTTTCAAGTTCGACCTCGAAAACTTGATTTCATTTTTAAATTGCTATTTGTTTTTAGCAATGATATCTTTGTTTTCCCTCTTTTTTTAGCAGTACCAAAGTTGTACATGGTGTATGAAACGAAGTAATAAAAAAATAATAGGTTGATATGTAAAAGCTATGAACTTCGACACTGTCAAGGAGGCTCCATCTTAAAGGTGCAGTTCTTTAACTTTTTTTGATATCCTGTTTGCATCTTTTCAATCACGAATGACCGAGCACCATTGATTTCAAAACAAATTTAGGCCAACAAACCTCTGTTTCCGAGTTTGCCGAATTCGAGTGGTGCTTTAAGCTGTCGGTTGAATGCGCTCGACAGTTAGAGATTTCGGTGCATAAAATGGTACGAAATAAAGTTGTTCACGAAAGATTGATCATTTCAGAGATTTTGCTCATCATTACGAGGCCAAAACACCCATTTTTTTTCCAAGTTTACCTGGTTCAGTGGTGAATTGATCTGTCCAAAAACGTTCGCAGTCGCAGTGGATTATGCGCAAAATGGGAGGGGTGGCATGTTGAAAGTGTTTGAGCATAAATTTAATGGAATATCCTGTTTCATTATTAATCAATCATTTCAAAGATTCCTTGTTTATTCTTTTAAATAATAACTACGTAATGGAAATTTGTACTCAAAACATAGCTTGAACGCCGGTCCAACTTGGCATGGCTTTGGCTATGCCCATTGCACGCTATGTTCAAAAATAAAATTGAAATTGGGTTGCTAGTTTTTATGAGAAACACAAAATCTTTGAAATGATTAATTACTTATGGACAACATGATGTATCATTTTAAGCAACATCTCTAAGATACCCCTTTTTTTAGGCATTTTCCACAGCGACAGCGTATTCATCCGACAGCTTGACTCACCACTTATTCGCCAAACTTGGAAAATAGAGGTTTTGGGGTCTTTGTATTGCAATGAAAATGTTGCTCTGTCATTCATGACTGAAAAGATGCAAATAAGATATCAATTGAAAGCTGATGAACCATCCTTGTAAGATGGACCACTTTGACAGTGTATAATTTCCTAACTTTTTACATATTCAGCCAATTGTTTTTGGATTACCTTTTTTTATACACCGTGGGCATTCCGATTGATACATGGAAGGGCCATTCATGACTTGTTGCTCGGGATCCTGCCACATTTGATATTTGTGATTGTGACCTTGAAATTAACCCTTAAAATCAAAAATCAAAGGTTGGTATCCATATGGGTTACTTCAATCGAAATGTTAGCCCTCTTTCCCTCTCATATAATTATACATGCAATAAAATAAATACGAGACAAAGAATACCAATGTATTACTTACAGTGCGCGTCACAGGTGGAGATCCCAACAATCACTAAGCACACTAACAGAAGAATAGACGCCTTCATGGTCACTGTCTGTTGTCTGCAAAACGAGAACGAAAAATTGATTGGAGAGGAGGAAGAACCTCCAACTTCCATAATACCGCAGCAGCACACTACCAAAATGGCTATCGAACCTTATCTTAAATTGTCAATAACATCAGATACGGACAAAGTGTTTTCCGAAAGGTTTGAAGCCATGAATGCTAAAAGGGTGAAAATAGGTTTGGCTAAGATTAGCATTTTTGGCCATACAAGATGAACATTTCTTCTGATATTTAAGGTTTTTCTGGACTGGCATGGTCGATAGTGAGTTGAAAACCTTACCGGTCTGGGAAATTACGCTGCATCCGAATTACTTGGCTCTGGCTGCAGATAACACACGGGTCTATGAGAAGTGGGTGCAGCCGCTGCCATAGGCGCGTCTATAATTTCCAGCCGTAGTATGCATGTTTACGCGGCCTTAGTTTGAAAGTGTATACTGGCCATGCTTTTTCAACAAACTCGATTTCAATTTCTATCTTATGTTGATATGAAAAGAAACTTTCAGTCATTTTTGTGGTGAGAAACCCTTTGAAAAAAAGGTTTTGTTATTTTTGAATGTTTTTGCGCACAATCTATCCAGGATCCCGCCCACTGCATAATACACATACACTAGTGCACAGTCCCTGATACACCGTGCCCTCTGGAGACGTGTGTACAATAGGGAACAAAAGATTGTATACGTCTCCACAGGACAATTTCTATAGATGAATACGTCTCCACAAGATTTTCACGAAATAGATATATGGATTTTACTCAAAAACTAGGAAATCTGTCACAAATGGAAGAGTTTTAGAAAAGGGATATTAATTCAAAATTTTTAGCCAAGGATATTAATTCTGGTTAAAATAAGAGCATTTTGAAACTTCACTTTCAAACTCGAAAACTTTACTACACGAGAACAAAGAAATGTCTCCACAAGAATACACATTTCAGTAGTGACCAGAAGAGTGTGCTATTGCCCCTCTTCTGGTCACTCACAGGCCTGAGGGGGGTATATACGTGCACTAGGGACCGAATTACGACAGTCCATATGTGTTTTATAACTCACCTCTGTTCAAAATTTTATAAAAAGTTAAGGAAAAAAATTTCAGTTTTATAATTCTACTGTTTTTAATTCAACAATTAACTCATAAGCAACTCAACTTTGAGCAATTCAACGATTAAAAGAACGGTTTTAGTTTCCCATGAGTAAAAGTTGTTTGAGTTTTATTGAGTTTCATAGAGAGCACTGTAACCAGTCAAAATTTTTGAGTATAGTGCCCGATCGGGCCACCGCAGTGCCATGATGTACGCTGCTTGTAGACATTCTCAACAGAGCAAAAACGGGCTAACTATATTTGTGGGGTAAAATCTCCATGAAAAAAAATGTTCCGTTATTTGGTTAGCGATATAAATGGAATATGACGCCTACCTTTTACAATCTCTGTGTTCTCGCAGATTGTGGCCACAAGATCAATTCGTCTCCTCCTCTCTCGCCAAGTATCCTGTCCTCTTATATCTGCTACACCTTCCTATATATAGGCATCCCATATTTTGGCAAAGGGGTGTCGGCTATGTATTTATTTTTCTATGGAATGTCCGTATGTTTTTATTTTTGTGTAGACATCCTGACCGGTAGACATCTGGACCACACAGCGTAAATAAGAACACATGTCAGTTTAATTCAATCACTTGGATGACCTGGTTTTTATCATAGTGGTATTTGTATTAAACAAAACTTCATATTAATAATTAAAATAGACACGGTCTGGAACAGCCTATGTGAATACGTCATTTAAGATGAAGGTCAACAAGGGTCCAGAGACCTTAGTTTTCAACGGATATACCCGGGCCCAATTTCATACAGCTGTCTGGTAGAATTTGTTTTAATGTGGTAATGTGTGTAGACCAGATTAGTGGCGCACCAAAGGGGCGGGGCCTCGGGAGGCTTGAGCCCCCCCCCCCCTTTGTCAATTTTTTTATATATTTTGTTTTTGTCGATTTTTTTAGTCCCACTTTTTGACCGCGTTGATATGCATGTGGCCTATTTTCGAGTAGCATAATAGGGGTGTCAATGGTGCCACCAATGTTAAAATAGTCCGTCCCATTTTGGAGGGGGGGGGCAAAAACGTTTGGGCAACATTTTGTGAAAACAAATTAAAACGTCTAAAAATAAATGTGAGCACCCCCCCCCCCCCCAGCCAAATCCTGGGTGCGCCACTGTCACAAGATGCATGAAAAGACTTCCCGCGAGTAGCCATTCGGAATCAATTGAACATTGTGCACTCTGGGTCCAGCTCGACTAGGTTTGCCTCGTTTAGGTTAACGAGTCTTTGGTCTGCATCTCCATACATGTGATGGGGATCAGGGCCTAATTTTATGGCTCTGCTTACCTCAGAATTCCGCGCTTACGATCGCCATTCTGTGCTAACCCTGTAAGCACAGAATCCTATTAAGATTAAGGGCTGTACGCATGCGCGTGATGTGAGCCACACATCCTCGCTAACTTGAACCCGTGAAATTAAGTCTACATGCAGCCTAGCTTAGCTCGGCATTTCGCGCTTATTGTAAGCAGAACCATGAAATTGGGTCCTGACTAATCAGGCGAACAAAATTAAAAGAGACCAATTTTCAGGCTGGCGCGCATGTCGCACGCATACGGTACTAATGAGGCTATAAGGAGTTTGATCGCCAATACAATGGCTAAGGCAGAGGAGGGCGCGAATTCTGGTAACATTATAGGCTCCCACCATGGCTCCCACGGTGCACATTTACGCCCTCAACGATAAGAAAGCGGGATACCAATGCGAGAGACGTTCGACCACATAACCTGCGCGGAATCGTGGTTCCACTACTCACAGTGAAGTTATGATAGACCTTATGCGAATACCGTAGTGTTCGGGCGGTTTCGGGCGCGAGAGTGAGTAATAGGCAGGGCGGTTTCGGGCGCTAAGTGACTAAAGAGTTTATCCAGGAACAATGAATGCAGAGAAGGTTAACTCGCGCATATCATAGTCAGTTCATGTTCCAAATCATTCATGTGAAGGTGCACGTTAGTCGGGAGATCGCCAATGTTTGTTGTTTTAGATTGGCAATCTACTTTACCATTTCAAGGGTCTGCGATGCAATGCGATGCGATGCAAGGGTGTAGTCTAGCCTACACCAAATCGGTACTTGGTCGCCGCCCTCCACTCTTCCCTATCCAGCATTAGGGTCCTCAGCTCCCCTGTACTGTGTCATGAGACCAACATCCCGCCGCCGCATCGCTTCGATGTACGTGGCTTGTCTCCGCCCCGCCCCCTCGGCCGCGTGATTTGATTACGTAATTTTTCCCCTTTTATTCCCCTTTTTTCTAAACCGGCCATATTTGTAATTCTAAACACAAGGAATATGTAAACGAAATCTCAGCGCCTCCGTCAGGTAAAAATATACAAAAAAAATTGTTGTAATTTTGTTTTTCGCTATGGCAGTAGAAGTTCATATTCTGGACGTCAGTCGTAATGCAGTGAAGTCGTCGTCCAACCTGGGCTAGGGTGATGATAACAACGCATTTAAGCTAAAATATGGCCCCTGAACATGAACTCAAGAAGTCTGGAAGTATCGCCGAAAGAAAAGTCGCAAATTCGGAGCATTTTAACCGTTTGTTTCATTAAAAAGATACTTATTTATAAGAATAACAGTGTTTGGACGCGGTCTGCACTGCGTCCTTCGGCTCAGTCCATTATACGGCCATCCCCCAACCCGGTCATTATCACGCAGTGAAGACCGGGTCCTCACACTGTTATTCCTATAAATAAACTCAATTGGAAAAACACAAACCTGAAAGAAACGAAAAATAACAGACACTTGGAGTATCAAGTCATTTTCGTCTACAATCTTACAAAGTCAAACTTTATTCACGCAGGGGTTTATTCTACGTGTACTTAAATTTCTGAAAGTAACATAATATAGACCTTTCTGCGCTTGATTGGCAAACTGCATTTTTGCCAACCACGGCCTGCAAAACTATGGAAGGTTCAACACAGCAAAAATGGAGAAGAGTTATTACAGATCACCAAACTATTATTTGATACTTGAAAATACAACATTTTCAACAAAGCTGCAAAATAATTCCCACATATGCCTTTTTACTATGTGTTGATGGCGTTATGATGACTTTTTGGGAAAAATATGTTGCCAACCACGGCTTCAATTTATGCGCTTACGGCAGCCCATACAAAATGGCGCCAATGTTTACAAACAAAAGAAAGGCCTATAGACCTATATCACGCTTCCATCATTTAAGTCATGTTCCCTGTATCCAATAACAGTACTATATGATAATGTTTTTGTGCAAAAAGGAACCAGGCTATTTTTTCCTTCCAGCCTCGCTTTGGTTACACTGATCTGAATGGGAAAAAAAAAATCAAATGGCTGCAACATGATAATGGTCTATTCCTAACGTTCACAAAATGTACGTCGTTGACACGCGACGCTGATTTTCGCTGGGAGAAAAGTTAACCAATTTGGTTAAATGTTGAATATTTGTGGTTGCTACTTTTCTAGGGCAAAGAGCGATTTGTAGGGGAAAGAGCGTTTTCTTCGGGATATACCACCTTGTGTTACGTGAGTGCTCAAATCTGTTAGAAACATTTATGGAACTTCAGGAATAATAATGTTTGAAGAGATACAACCAGGAATTAATATTCTTAAGCTAGTAGCCCCTCGACATTTCGTGTTTACACTTCTCCCATTTTTAATCATTCTGAATGCACGTTATAGCGGGCGAGGCTCATTAAGTAAAAAGAGCTAAGTTTTATATGATGCCATACACCATGTGACATTAGAAAATGGATGTTGTGATCATGTGATGCCAACTTACAGCAAACAGTTCTCTTGTGCACTGCATGTATATCTCTTAAATATGAGTGGTTTAAAAGTGTTGGCATAAAACTATAATGTGGGCCAAATAACATGCAATAGATGCTTGACTGTTTGGGTTGCCCGGCAGTTGCCAGTCGGCATGACGTCACATGGCACATGGTCTATACAACCTCTCACTTTTAAAAATCAAGTGGCGAGAAACTATGCCAACCAATAAACAGCAAAGTTAAACATAATAAGTGTTCTAGCGCGAAGTCTTTGTGGACTTGCACACGCCAACACTAGGTTCCCCCCTATCTGAAAAACAGGTTTAGAGGCATTTGGGGGTTAGGTTTATGTGTCGCAAAATGAAGAGGAGCACTCGAGGAAATCTTGATAACAAAAATGGGCTGAAACAGTTGTTCACAGTGCAAGTAAAATAAGTTTTTTTCATTCCGGGTTTTCTTAACTACATACAGGAATACAAAGGGATGTTCACAGTAGGTAATTAAGGTAAGGCTGGGTGTGCCCAAGCTTTACGCCGGGATGTGTGAGCTTGTCTTACATACGCAGTGTGGACTTCCGAACAAAAGACGTCCACATAATGTAGGTAGCAGCGACGAAGTGTGGACTTGCCCACGTCCACACAGTGTTTCCCCATTTCTGGAAAACAGGTTTAGAGGCATTTTTGGGTTAGGTTTATGTGTAGCAGAATGAAGAGAAACACTAAAGGGAATCATTGAAAAAAAATTGGGTTGTAAGAGTTTTCACAGTTTGAGAAAAATGAGTTTTTCCACTGGTGTTCCTTAACTACACGAAAAGAAAGGAAAGTCCACACTAGGTATGTGAAACAAGTCGGGGTGTGTCTTCACGCTGCGCGATGTGTGTCTTCACGCGGCGGTGTGTGCGGGTGTAGTGTGTGTCACGCGGCCGGCGCGGTATGTGTCTTTAAGATTGACGCTGTCCTCCAAATTTGTAATTGCGTGATCAATATGATATTTGATGACTTTTCCATATTTCACCATAGAACTAAAACGCACTTCTGTGGTGTGCCCATTATTGCAACGGTAAACGATTTGAAAGTATCGGTCGGCATACATTTAAGTAAAAAAATATGTCCATTTCCAATACCTATCAATTATTCTATTTAGACTAAAATTCACGGCAACGTGATTAACAAGTCAGAGTACATGCTAAGTATCTAGCATGGCCGCCATTGGTGAAAAAGCCCATTTAATTTTCCCATTTCATTCTGTACTGTTCATAATTATAAATCCTGCTCCACTTCACTGGAGTGATCCTTGTTTAAAATACATGTATTTAAATTAAGGGAACAAATGTGTGCTTGGCCGGTTTTAAACATTATGTTTAAGACTGCTTAGAGTCTGGATGCTGATAATCACCCGAGCCGAATTTTCACCTTTCAATCGGTACCATTCTGATCCTGTTTTCACTCGGAGATTTCACTGGAGTGATCCTTGTTTTCGGGCTCTATTCAGAGGACACTTTTTTCTTTTCTTTTTTTGAAGATCCTGAACAGTTTATTGTTTTGAAGAGTGTATATGTATACAATGGAATAATAAACAGTTATGACACACGCGAATTCCTCGCTCAATTTGTGACCACAGTTGTGGGCACAAAAGGGGCATTATCATAGTCATTGCGGCTTAGACACCCCACCCTCACCATCATGCAATGCCCCTGGGGGCAGGGGAGGCTATGAAAAGGCAGTCTGTGTAGTTCTGATGTGACTTTGTATATTATAGTGTATTATTTTTTTCGTTATGCAAATAGCAGATCTGGGCTCAATTTCTTGGCTATGCTTACAGTTAGCGAAAAATCCTGCTCACTATAGCAGAAAATGCTGTGCTTACATGAAGCGCATTTCACGCGTTAGCGAGGAATTGGCTTCTGCGCATGCGTTCATCCCGTAACTAAGGATTCTTTGCTTACAGTCTTAGCACCAAAAAAATCTGCATTCAATTCGAATGCAGTGTTTTGTAAAACAACAACAGCCGTTGTCTATGACACGCAATGGGTCAATGACCGAAGACCCGATATAGAAAGAGTCCACTATGATTGGTCAAAAACTAGGAAGTCACGTTCTTTATTTTGTTTTCTTATTTTGTTATGCAAATCGCCCATCACAAGGCCAAAGGCCACTCGAGGTGAGGGCTACAGATGAAAGTGTGGAAGAACCAGCCCCTCACACTGACTATCGAATACCCACAACACCAATACACAAAATGTTATTTCTCACACGTGTCACAAATGATTTGTTTAAAAAACGCGTTTTGTGGCCCATGTGGGCCTATTCCAGGACTTAATGTTCCTTTAAGAACGCTTATTATCGCGATGCTTAACGACACTTACCGCGACGCTTAACGACCCTCACAACGACGCCATCGACACTCACTGCGACGCTTAACGACTCTCACCGAGACGCGTGAAGACACACACCGCGACGCTTCATGAATACTACAACGCATGAAGACACTCACTACGACGCACCCATGCAGACACACTGCGCGACGCTGCAAGTCATGTCAAATAGTTTCCATACATTTAAGAGGAGTATAAAGTTGCACAAATTGTGTAAGAAAAATTCACCGCATGAACCTATAATACCTGCGATTCTTGATGATGTGACTAGTTTTATATTAGACTTAAGGGTTTGCATGGTAGACATGATCAATGATTGCAAGGTCTGCGTTAACACTATGTGGATGATATGTCTTTGTGAGTTGTGTGGTTCTCAGAAGAACCAGTTGGTTTAACTCGAACAATATGCCATGTTCGTCATCAAAGTATCCTTTTATATTATTTTTTTTATTAGTAGTCATTTTATATATTAGCAGGGCCTTGGCCTTAAAGGGTATAGCATTGGCCTTAGCCTTAAGGCTTAAGGGTCAAGGCCTTGACCTTGACCTTGACTTGAGGTTCAAAGCTTTAGTGGCCTTGGCCTTGGGAGTCAAAGCCTCGGCCTTAAGGGTCAAAGCCTTGGCCTTCGCCTTGGCCTTGGATGGCAGAGCATTTGCTCCAATCTTTGCCTTGGCCTTCGCCTTTGCCTTGTATGGCAGAGCCTTTGCCCCAACCTTTGCCTTTGCTTTGGCCTTATAGGCCTTTGCCTTGGTCTTATAGGCCTTTGCCTTGGCCTTGAGGGTCGAGGCCTTGGTCTTCTCCTGGGCCTTGGATTACAGAGCATTTGCTCCAACCTTTGCCTTGGCCTTCGCCTTTGATGACAAAGCCTTTGCTCCAACCTTTGCCTTTGCTTTGGCCTTATAAGCATTGGCCTTGGCCTTAAGGGTCAAAGCCTTGGTCTTCGCCTTGGCCTTGGATGACAGACCCTTTGCTCCAAACTTTGCCTTGGCCTTCGCCTTTGATGACAGAGCCTTTGCTCTTACCTTTGCCTTTGCCTTGGCCTTATAAGTCTTGGCTTTGGCCTTGAGGGTCAAAGCCTTGGACTTGGATGACAGAGCATTTGCTCCAACCTTTGCCTTTGCCTGCGCCTTTGCCTGCGCCTTTGCTTTGGATGACAGAGTAACTCCAACCCTTGTCTTTGCTTTGGCCTGGAGGGTCGAGGACTTGACCTTAGCCTTGAGAGTCAAAGCCTTCGTCTTCGCCTTTGCCTTGGCCTTTGCTTTGGCCTTGGCCTTAGCCTTGAGAATCAAAGCCATCGACTTCGTCCTTGCCTTGGCCTTTGCCTTGGCCTTAGCCTTGAGAGTCAAAGCCCTCGTCTTTATCTTTGCCTTGGCCTTTGCCTTTGCCTTGGCCTTTGCCTTGGCCTTGGCCTTGGCCATGGCCTTGGCCTTGGCATTGGCCTTGGCCTTGGCTTTAGCCTTGGCCTTGGCCTTGGCCTTGGCTTTGGTCTTGGCCTTGGTCGGCAGCGCAGCCAGGTCGAACGGGGTGGTAGGCTCGGGAGAGAGATCAAACAGAGTGGTCTGCTGTGGAGAGACGTTGAACATAGTTGTCAGCTGTTGAGAACGGTCAAAGGAGGTGGTCAGCCGAGTAGTGAAGTCGAACTGAGTGATTGGCTGCGGAGGTAGGTTGAACGGAGTGGTCGCCGGTGGAGGCAGGTCAAATGGGGTGATCGCCGATGGAGGCAGGTCAAACGGGGTGGTCGCCGGTGGAGGGACATTGAACGGGGTGGTTGTCGATGGAGGGAGGTCGAACGAAGTGGTTGCTGGTTGAAGGAGGTCGAACTGGGTGGTCGCCGGGGAAGGGACTTCAAATGGATTGGTCGCAAGTGGAGGGGTGCTTGTTGTGGTGGTCGTCATCGTCGGTACAGGGATTGCTGTTGTTGTTGTTGTTGTGGTGGTGGTGGTGGTGGTCGTTTCTACAGGGGCTTTCGTAGTGGTGGTCGTTGGTACAGGGGTTGTTGTAGTTGTGGTCGTTGGTACAGGGGTTGTTGTTGTAGTGGTCGTTTCTACAGGGGTTGTCGTTGTTGTGGTCGTTGGTACAGGGATTGTTGTAGTGGAGGTCGTTGGCACAGGCATTGTTGTGATAGTCGTTGGTAGAGGGGTTGTTGTTGTTGTGATGGTCGTTGGTACAGGGGTTGTTATTGTTGTTGAGGTGGTGGTCGTTGGCACAGGGGTTGCTGTGATGGTCGTTGGTACAGGGGTGCTTGGTGTGTTGGTCGTTGGTACGGGGGTTGTTGTTGCTGTGATGGTCGTTGGTACAGGGGTTGTTGTTGAGGTGGTCGTTGGTACAGGGGTTGTTGTTGTTGTAGTGGTCGTTGGTACAGGAGTTGTTGTTGTGGTGATCGTTGGTACAGGAGTTGTTGTAGTTGTTGTGGTCGTTGGTACAGGGGTTGTTGTTGTGGTGGTCGTTTCTACAGGGGTTGTCGTAGTTGTGGTCGTTGGTACAGGGGTTGTTGTAGTGGAGGTCGTTGGCACAGGCGTTGTTGTAATGGTCGTTGGTAGAGGGGTTGTTGTTGTTGTAGTGGTCGTTTTTACAGGGATTGTTGCTGTGATGGTCGTTGGTACAGGGGCTGTTGATGTTGTGGTGGTCGTTGGTACAGGGGTTGTTGTAGTTGTTGTGGTCGTTGGTACAGGGGTTGTTGTTGTGGTGGTCGTTTCTACAGGGGTTGTCGTAGTTGTGGTCGTTGGTACGGGGGTTGTTGTAGTGTTGGTCGTTGGCACAGGCGTTGTTGTAATGGTCGTTGGTACAGGGGTTGTTGTTGTGGTCGTTGCTACAGTGGTTGTTGTTGTGGCGGTCGTTGGCACAGGGGTTGATTTGATGGTTGTTGGTACAGGGGTTGTTGTTGTTGTTGTAGTGGTCGTTGGTACAGGGGTTGTTGTTGTTGTTGTTGTTGTTGTAGCGGTCGTTAGTACAGGGGCTGTTGTAGTGATAATCGTTTCCTCCGAAGTGTCGCTGCCGCTGCTGCCACTGCCGCTGCTCCCGCTACTCTCAATGCTATTGCTTCTTCCTATTGGATACAAAAAGTAAAACTACCAAATGTTCTAAAAACAAATGTAGCTCCACAATTAAATATAATATCAATCACAAGCTGTTATTCTTTTATGTTTTACAATGAAACAAATCGATCGCGGGTAAGGTACTAAGGACGGAATTAACAAGAAACCACTTTGGTCAAAAGACATAAAGAACTAATTCAAGCAACTTATGCCGTGGTCGGTTACGGGTACTGTAATGTTTACTGTGCTGGTTATCCTAAAATTGTCACAAAGGAGTACAAATGTATTTTATAATTCTTTAAGGTATGAATATTGTAAAAGGGGGACACTTTTGAAAACCTATTCATCCTTAAATGTCAATAGTTTGTGAGGTTTAGTTGGGTTTTTTACCGACCTGAGCAGCTTTCTTCGTCTGAGCCGTCCCGACAGTCCTGATGTCCGTTGCAAATTTTTCTCCAGGGAATACATTGACGCTTGTTATCACAGCGAAATCTGTGGCTTCTGCAATGTACCGCTAAAAAGTAAAAATGTTTCCCCTTTTTACTTCGTTCAAGATTTTTTTTTTAAGCTGAAAGAAAAGTTATACTCAATTCTGCCAATCCGGTTTTCACACAAAAAAAATGTAGCTTGGTAAATAATCGCAAACGAAATCTCAGTACAGTAATTGGCAACACACAAAACAAATTTCAGAATTTGGACATTATTATTAATCGACATGATTAAGTATTTTGAGAATAAAGATAGGAACTTATAAGTATTCCATTTATTATTTTTGGCCCCATTCTGATAGTATCATAGCATTAATCAGCGGCTGTACGGGGTATTGCACCCCCCCCCCCCCCATATCTGCCACGGGTAAACCAATTATCAAAATTCAAGAACCGTATTTGTATACAATTCGATAATCTTTGGACTGCACATTATTTATTTTGGTTACAATATAATTAAAAGTGAGCCATTTCCATCCTCACTTTTAGATTCCGTGAAAAGCAGATTTCACCCTCATCATAGACTAGTATGCGTTTTCGCAGCTGGTTTTATCCTTTTTTTTTAAATCCTACTGCAAAATTAGAAATCAGCAAATAACGGTGGGTGCTGTACAGGGTGAGTCAAAAAAGCTAAACCAAAATGTCGGGACTATTGTTTTAGTGAAGTTCTGCATGTAGCTATAGCACTTTTAAAATCCAGGATGTGAAAGCCGAATTCATAAGTTCTTTTACTACAAGAATCATTCAAATGATCACTCATGTACTTTTCAAGTTACGGATTTTAAACACAACCACCGTTTGAAAGTTCTGTCCATGGATCACAAGAAGGTAAGTATTTTTTAGCAAAATGAAAACAAATCACGTGGGGAAGTGTGTGAATTGTTTTCGTTTTGCTGAAAGAACGCACATCATTTTTTTATGATCCGTGGACAGAACTTTAAAAAGGTGGTTGCGTTTATAATTCCGTAACTTGAAAAGTACATAAATGATTTGAATGATTCTTTTACTATTAAAAGAAAGCTTATGCATTGGGCTTTCTTTCATATCCTACATTTTGAAAGTGCTATATGCTGAACTTCACTTAAACAATGGTCCCGTCATTTGGGTTTCACTTTTTGTTTACTCAACCTGTATTATATAGGGCGATATTTAGGCGTTACAAACAGACGTGAATCCCAGGATATGAACGTTAGTTAGCATGTTGCTACACTGTAAACAATAATGGGTAAAACACTGTAGGGCAATATAATTTTACCCAACATTGGTTTGAAATTACCTACTTTGGGTAAAAATTGTCCAACTATTGGGAATAATTTTGCCCAAGAGTTTAACCTGTTGATATGTTGACCAACGTTGGTCTACATATCAACCCATTTTGCCCAACGTTTTTTTTTTTACAATGTTTAATTTTGAGATAGAAGTTCAATTGCGAAAGAAATTAGCTTTAATAAACCTTTCCCCCTCTTTTTTTTTCAACAATACCAAAGTTATACATTTAGATTGACTCGTTAATCAGGATCCGGCCACATTTGATTTTTGTGACCTTGAAATAAACCCTTAAAATCAAGATCAAGGGTGGCATCAGTAGTTAACTTCAATCAAAATGTAAACCCATTTGCCTTTTCATATATAAATGTACATGTAATATTAAAAACGATACAAGAAAACCAATGTATTACTTACACCACGCGTCACAGGTGGAGATCCCAACAATCGCTAAGCACACTAACAGAAGAATAGACGCCTTCATGGTCACCGTCTGCCGTCTGCAAAACGAGAACGGAGAACTGGTTGGAGCGGAGGTAGAACCTCCGACTTCCATAATGTACTCTAGCGGTACACTACCAAGATGGCTACCGAGCCCAATATGCCCCATGAATTAATTCCGATTTGCGTGCGCCACCGTGCGCCCCCTGGATTAACGCTGACAAAAGAAATTGGGTAGCCGGCCGGGGCGGGACCTTATTGCCAATGTCATCGGTTACGGCCCGGAGCTTTTTTGAGAGGTCAGACGGCATGAATCTTAAAGGGCTCATGTGTAATGTAATTTGTTTTAATGCAATCCTCGAAATGCACCCTTGTGTCCCATTTAACCTTATTTTCAAATTTCGTTTTGCCATTTTCCAGGGTATTTTGGTGCCGTTTTTATGCTGATGCGAAATTCCATATTCGTGAGCAAAATTGTGATTTCATTTCAGGCAGAAACCTCCATGTTACAGCTATTTCATCAGCACAAAACGTTACCGGAGTTTTGGAAATTTTGCTGTTGTAAAGTTTCTTTTCTTTGATGGTTTGTTATGTGTCAGTACATGGCAGTAAGCCAATAAGCAAACTTTTCTCACAAATGGTGAAAAACGTTTTTCGTGAAAAATCAACGATCCTTCGGACTAATGACCCTTCGGACTAAAGAACCTTCAGACTATCGAACCTGCTGACTATCGAGCTGTAACCTTTAGTCCCGAAGGGTCATTAGTCCGAAGGTTCGTTAGTCCGAAGATTCAATAGTCCAAAGGAAAAAATAAAGGAAGGAAGGAAGGGAAAAAAGAGGGGAAAAAAGAAAAGAACTAGAGGTTTATGTCTGTTCAATCAACAGAACATAGGGCTTTTTCGCGTTGTTGATTGTTGTTGTTGATTGTTGATGTTGATTGTTGATTGTTGATGTTGATTGTTGATTGTTGATTGTTGATGTTGATTGTTGACGTTGATTGTTGATGTTGATTATTGATGTCGATTGTTGGTGATGTTTCTGATGATGATTGTTTATGTTGGTTATTGATGTTGATTGTTGATGATTGTTGATGTTAATTGTAAATTGTTGATTTTGATTGTTGATTGTTAATGTTGATGTTGATTGATGATTAGTTGATGCTGATTGTTGATGTTGATGTTAATTGTTGATGTTGATGATGTTGTTGTTGAATGCTGATGTTAATTTTTGATATTGATCTTTGATGTTGATGTTGTTGATGATTGTTGACGTTGATTGTTGATGTTGATTATTTATGTCGATTGTTGGTGATGTTTCTGATGATGATTGTTTATGTTGGTTATTGATGTTGATTGTTGATGATTGTTGATGTTAATTGTAAATTGTTGATTTTGATTGTTGATTGTTAATGTTGATGTTGATTGATGATTAGTTGATGCTGATTGTTGATGTTGATGTTAATTGTTGATGTTGATGATGTTGTTGTTGAATGCTGATGTTAATTTTTGATATTGATCTTTGATGTTGATGTTGTTGATGATTGTTGACGTTGATTGTTGATGTTGATTATTTATGTCGATTGTTGATGATGTTTCTTGATGTTGATTTTTGATGTTGGTTATTGATGTTGATTGTTGATGATTGTTGATGTTAATTGTTAATTGTTGATTTTGATTGTTGATTGTTGATTGTTGATGTTGATGTCGGTTGATGATTATTGATAGTTGATTGTTGATAGCCGATGATTTTGGTGTTGATTGTTGATTTTGACTGTTGATTTTGATTTTTGATTTGTTATTGTTGATTAGTTGATGGTGATTGTTCAATGATGTTTATATGTGTTTTCAACTATTGCATTTTTGATGACGTCATGATGACGTCACATTCTTTTCAAAATTTTGTGTATATACTTATTCCCTGTCAAACCAAATACAAAAAGAATTTTGAATTTTGCATGTTGCGTTCGTGTGATATGGCTTAAAGGGTCCAACAACTCATAAAATCATATAAAATCGTATGATGACGTCATTATGACGTCATTTCAATTTGTACCTATAACACATCCTGGTTTACCTACATACCGAGTTTCAATACAATCAGACTTACCGTGCTGTAGATATTGGGCTTTGAATTATGAACTTTAAGATGACGTCACGTGACCCATGATGACGTCATTATAACAATACTTGGCGGTGCTCATTATTCTTTTGTGGACTTAGCCTGTACCAAGTTTGAAGCGACTTGGATGAATAAAAGTGTTAAATTTCGTAATCAGAATAAAATTGTAAATATTTAAAAAATCGTAAAAAATCTGTCGATGACGTCATCGTGACGTCATTTCATATTTTGTGCACTGGTACAATTATCTACCCACCCACCAAGTTTCAGTACGATCGGACATTCCCTTATATGTGTTTTACAAAATTGCATTTTTGATGACGTCATCATGACGTCACACATTTTTCAAAATTTTGTGCATATACCTATTGCTTAACAAACCTAATACTAAAAGAATTTTGAATTTAGCATATTGCATTCGTGAGATATGGCTTTAAGGTCCAAAACGTCAAAAATCGATATAAAATCACACGATGACGTCATGATGACGTCATCTCCATTTTTATCTATAACACATCCCGGTCTACCAATATACCGAGTTTCAACCCAATCCGACTTATAGTTCTTTAGATATAGGGTCCTAAAGTTTACACATTTCAGATGACGTCACGTGGCCCATGATGACGTCATGATGACGTCACTTTTCCATGCACGAGTTCACTTTGGGTCTTGACTCTGTGCTAAGTTTCATTAAGATTGAAGTATGTTCAGGGTCAAAAGTGGGGTCCAGAATGAAACATGTGCAAAGTCAATGGGATTTGGGATAGAAGAACAAGAAGAAGAAGTAAGAAAAAAAAAATCAGAACAGAAACAAAGGCTTTTTCGCTGATGGCGAAAAAGCCAAAAAGAGGCACGAAGTCATAGTGGTGTAAATTTAATGGGTTGGGGGGGGGGCAAAATGTCCCTGCCCCCTCTAAAACTGATAAATCGAGAAAATGTTGCGAAATACAAGATTTTTTGGGGAAAAATATGTTTTGCCGCCCTCTAGAAAAAATCCTGGCGACGCCCATGCCGATCCTCAGTCGGACTAATGAACCTTCGGACTAATGAACCTTCGGACTATTGTATCAAATGTTCGGATTAACGAACCTTATTTCATTTTCGGACTAACGAACCCCTCTTGTGGGAATTGTGTGCATTCGGACTATCGAACCTTCGGACCAAAGAATCTTCGTACTATCGAACCTTCGGACTATCCGAGGCGCCGAACCCCGTTTAAAAACCTAATGCCCTTTCTAGCGGTCTTTAGTGGGAACGTCGGGCATGATTGTGCCGCCGTGAAAAGCGCGGCTTCCTTAGAAAGATGATAACAGCACCTCCTTCCCCCCCCCCGGCCTGCGTCGCCGCTGCCGGAGTGCCATATGATGTTTGTAGATATTCTCAACAGAGCAAAAATTGGCTAAGCAATCGGTGAAATTTGTCCATATTTGGATAGCGATAGTGGAATATGACGCCTACCTTTTACAATCTCTGTGTTCCCGCAGATTGTGGCCACACAAGATCAATTCGTCTCCTCCTCTCTCGCCAAGTATCCTGTCCTCTTATATCTGCTACACCCTCATATATATTGGCATCCCGTATTTTGGCAAAGGGTTGTCGGCTATGTATTTATTTTTCTATGGACCGTCCGTGTGTTTTTATTGTTGTGTAGAGGTCCGGACCATTGGACATCGGGACCACACAGCGTATATAACTGAGAACACCTGTCGGTTTAATTAAATCGCTTGCATGGCCTGATTTTTATCAAAGTGGCTTTGTATTTTGTTTTTTTAAATAATAATAATAATAATAATAATAATAGAAATTGAAACGGTCTGGAACAGATGTGAATACTTCGATTACAATGAAGGTCAAAAGGGGTCCAGATACCTTATTTTTCAACCGATATACTCGGTTGTCTGGTAGAAAATTTATTTTTTTAAATATGGTAAATTCAACTGGGAACCCGACACATTACGTCACAAAAAAATGTTGCTTTACTTGGTTGAGTACCAGGGCGAATTAGAATAAATCTACTTGTTATGTAAAATGTACACGGTTCGTCTGCCCAGAGCGGGTAATTTGAATGTGGACTGGTTCACGTGTTAGAAGTGAATCTAAAGCCTTTCTCAGGCCCGGACCTGTGATTTGCTTGCGTTGCGTCGGATCAGCCGTTTTATAGTCCACAAACTGGGCGCTTTCCATGACTGTTAATACCTGACGACGGGCATATACTGTCCGAAACGTTGAGTTTCCGGTTCTCCCAGAAAATATCATGTTTTGGATTGTTTATTTATCCTATATCAAAGCTCTGGTTTGAAAGGAAACTAACCTAATGTCTTACCGTTCCCGAGAAGGGCCGAATGCCTTTGGCATGTGCCAAAAAGCGCATTTTGGCTGCCTATTATAAATGTATGTTTTTGCCTCCCTATTATAAATGTATGTTTTTGCATTGTGCTGACGACAGAGCCCCGTGAAAAGTTGTGTGCTGCTTTTCTGACAAAAAGTGGTGACACTGGGTAATGATTTATTGTGCAACAGTGCCAGTACTATAGTATACAAATAACGAATGTTTGTGAGTGCGATGGTAAGAATAATTTCATGAGGTGACAGATTGAATGTTCTATTCCACGAGGCGAAGCCGAGTGGAATAGAACATTCAATCTGTCACCGAATGAAATTATTCTTTCCATCGCACGAACGTAAAACATTCGTTATTTGTTTTATACAACACCAGAATAAATTCTCGTCATTTGATTGGTAAATTATAAACTACAATTTATTTTGATTTTAAAGATGTTGAACTACCCCTTCACGAAAATGTTTGAACCCAACGCTGTAGCGCTGGCTCTTTGGAACAATACGCGCTACGCTGATCGCGCACACCAGCATGCATTTTGCACGCAAATACCGCGTCATGGAACAAGCGCAAAGTGAAAGGGTATAACGCATGGGTATAACGTATGGTCGCACCGTGCATTATACCGAATAATAATATGTCACGTGATCTACAATTCACCAATCAGATGACGGGGATTTATTCAGGTGTTGTATAATACATATTATACAACACCTGAATAAATCCCCGTCATCTGATTGGTGAATTGTAGATCACGTGACATATTATTATTCGGTATAATGCACGGTGCGACCATGCGTTATACCCATGCGTTATACCGTTTCACTTTGCGCTTGTTCCATGACGCGGTATTTGCGTGCAAAATGCATGCTGTGGTGTGCGCGTTCAGCGTAGCGTGTATTGTTCCAAAGAGCCAGCGCTACAGCGTTGGGTTCAAACATTTTCGTGAAGGGGTAGTTCAACATGTTTAAAATCGAAATAAATTGTAGTTTATAATTTACCAATCAAATGACGAGAATTTATTCAGGTGTTGTATAAAACAAATAACGAATGTTTTACGTTCGTGCGATGGAAAGAATAATTTCATTCGGTGACAGATTGAATGTTCTATTCCACTCGGCTTCGCCTCGTGGAATAGAACATTCAATCTGTCACCTCATGAAATTATTCTTACCATCGCACTCACAAACATTCGTTATTTGTATACTAGTGGTCATCTTGGGACTTCTAAGTTTGATGATTGGACACGCATTCGCGAACCTGCGTTCCGTGCACAGCGCCCTCTAGCACTACAACAAGTACAACTGAGCCCGGCCGGGGCCTTTTTGGCTTAGCCCGACTGCGTCTGGCCGTACAGTACTATCGCAAGCTCTGTAGTACGGCCAGACGCCCGATGCTTCCAAAAAGACTGAATTTTTTTGGCCGCCGATGTAGCGATTTTGCTACATCTTTCGATCGCGATTATCTTTTCATCCAGGACACAAATTTCCAAAGTTAAGGTTCGTAGTCGTAGAGCAACTCATACCTTTTCGAAAAAAACGTTCTTTGGTCTCAATATTTTCATCCATCTGGCCACAAGACGAATTTCAGTCATCAGATTCCACAAATATCGTCCCCCATGCGATCCCCCATGCGATTTCAAAATGGCGGCCGCGCTGTAATGTATGCATTAGGCGAGCGCGCTTGGGCAAGATAATGAATATGCATCATAGTTTATGACGTATGTCGGACACTCAGCGCGGCTGGCCATACAAACACGAGGTCATGAACTAAATAATGCATATTCATTATCTTGCCCAAGCGCGCTCGCATAATGCATACATTACAGCGCGGCCGCCATTTTGAAATCGCATGGGGGATCGCATGGGGGACGATATTTGTGGAATCTGATGACTGAAATTCGTCTTGTGGCCAGATGGATGAATATATTGAGACCAAAGAACGTTTTTACGAAAAGGTATGAGTTGCTCTACGACTACGAACCTTAACTTTGGAAATTTGTGTCCTGGATGAAAAGATAATCGCGATCGAAAGATGTAGCAAAATCGCTACATCGGCGGCCAAAAAAATTCAGTCTTTTTGGAAGCATCGGGCGTCTGGCCGTACTACAGAGCTTGCGATAGTACTGTACGGCCAGACGCAGTCGGGCTATTTTTGGCTGTGATAGTGCGCACCGAAATACGGTGACTTTTGCTGATTGCAGCGTTGTGAAGGTACTTTTGGATGACAGAGGTAATTTGTCTCTCTAATTCGGAATGTTTTCGTACTTATTCCGACATAGGCCCCTGCTACTTTAGGATTAAGGCCTAACGTTACTTCAAGTATTACAGGTTTGCCCAATTTCCGGACAATTCCTTGCGGGTCCGGTTACTTGCAGTGTTGCAGGTCAACTCACCCCCTGACCGACTCGCCCCTGACCGACTCCTCCCATAGCCCGACTCCTCCCATAGCCCGACTCGCCTCCTCGCCAACTCACCTCGGAAAGAATGTTGCAACCTGGCGCTACTTCAGCGGTTGTGTACAAAGTCTATGGATAATGGAGCTGGCTGGAGAGTCATTTCCTAACAAAATTGGAAATGTTTCTCAGTCCCAGATTCATGTCTAATTTATCATCATTTTAGCAATGACTGACTTTCATTGAGATGATGAAAAAAAGCAGCGTCAGGTTGCAACATTCTTTCCCTCGCCTCCTAGCCGACTCGCCCCCGGCCCTGACCGACTCCTATTTTGATCGAGAATGAAAGTTCATTTCCTCATTCCCATCCCATTATTCCTGGCATTATTATATCAAGTAAAATAAAAGATTCACTAATTTTTCCCTTCAGTGACCTATCGGCCATAAGAAAGTGATGATATGTCCTAAAAAGTCAAATTCAGCAGGGAAAATTTTGAGGTGTTTACTGAGAATAACACTTAGAAATTTTAATTTCAGACCTGTCTCATACGGTTTGTGCATAGGGTGATAAGTGATGGCCAGATATGGGAATCTTTCCAATTCCTATTTGAGTTTTGACTTTCAGATATTTGTGGAGTGTTCATTTATTTCAAATTGTAACAACTCAACGATTGCCCCGAAATAGTCTAGTTATGAAATATTGCTTCACTAATCTACTCGCAGTAGTATGTTGTAAGCACACGAGGGCGCACTTTTAAGATTAGTCGCCATGTTCTTGGGTTTTGTAGCTGTCAGTGTTTTACCCCTTAATTTCCCTCAAAAATCAAAACCCTGCCTTCTTTCCACAAAATTAGTCTTGCAGATATATACAACATGGTGTCATTGTCATTTACTTAGGTGAGCCAAAATTTTAGAAGTAGATTTTCGTTGCCTTATTTACATGTGCTAAGAACGGGGTCCGCAACTACACAAACGCCAATGTACTCACAAAAACTCTCCAAGGAGTTAAAACAACACAAAAGACAGGACAAGTTGGGAAAGGTAGTGAGCGATCTCTATTCCGATCGGGAAACTTGACAAATATCACGATAAAACAGCATCTCATCCTACTAGTACTACTACATGTACTACTAGAGGTGGATTTTTGTTCTTTTATACTTAGGAACGGGGTCCATAACCTCACGGTCACCCTTCAACCGAAGCTGAGTTTCACACGCCCATTGCTTTCCACAGCATGGCTTCACTGTTTGACCAGTATGAGCAAGCCACAGCAAGAGCTGCCTCCAGCATTTCTCAGGGGCCAAAGGAGGTAGTCTCTGCACCTGTAAGTTTGCAAAGATCTCATTTGAACTTAACCTTGGTCGAGGTGTTGGACAATAGTTTCCGACAATCGAAAATAAAACAGTCCCCGCAAGCTACATGTTAGTCCGAAAATTTGGGACTCTCAATACTGTGTATGAGAGTCCCAAAACTTAAGGTATCCATATCATGCAAAAGTTTGTGCTGCATAATAAAACCAGTGTGCATCAAATGTGCAAGCTTCTTACTCACTACAATTTCTTCAATAATCCCCGAAACTTCTGCCTAGCAAAGTTGCTGTTGTGAGCATTGCATCACCAAAAATTCAGCTTTTAATTCTAATTTTGCAGAGAGTTATCGAAATCCAAACGTGAGACATCACGTTGATGTGTACTGCAATGCATTGTGCAAAAAACCTCCCTAGCTAGAACATTTTCATCTTGTAGATAAAGCAGCGCCCTCTTGTTGATCTGAGTGAATGTAGAATGTTTCATTTTTTAACAGAGGGCGCTGTGTTCATTTGGCTATCAATTAAAAAACAAGTAAGCTGCAGGGCACTTCCTACACCTACCCAGAATACATTGGGAATCACACACCCATTTCCAGAGCATGGAGATTGACGTGGATGGTTTTTGAACTGCCAAAAACTTGCCTTAAAATTGGATTTAAGGTCTCAAATTTTGCAGATGACATGCTTGCAACTTTATCATTTTGATGTATGTGTTGTGTGGGCATTAATTAGCCTAATGGTGAGTAAAAAAACGTCAGTAGTAATTTTGCACGTTTTTATGCACTCACGGTCCCAGTCTGGCTACATGTATGCACTCTCACGTACTAGACTGTACGAAGTGCGAACAGCGACCTCACGCAGCTTGGCTACAATATGCAAATCAGTCGATGCTGGTCAAATACCTTGGAACAACGGTCGCTTTGGCCTATCTTCTTCGGCCAATTTTTTGTTATTATGTCCCTGGATTTGCATCCAGTTATATTTGGTTTGTGGACTCCAAACTTGTTAGAGAAATACGCTACCACACTATCCAACTCTCTTTCCATGTATAAAGTATGAGCCTCCAACAACCAAATACTGAATAATAATGTTATCTTTATTCACATACGAGGTCGTCACTGGAATTCCAGCGACAAAAACAAAACAACATAAGCCAAGTTTGTTCCAAAGCGTTCGAACATCACCAATTGATTTAATATTATAGCCTAACAGCGTGAGGTCACTGTTCGCTCTTCGTACAGTACATGTGAATGTGAGTGCATAGCTCACTGCTACTGTTTATGTTAGCGGCTGACCATCGGTCATCAGACACTATGGTCAAACACCTTCTCCAAGGCTAATTTTAACCCTATTAAACTGCCAGGAGCAACCAGGCGCCTCACAGGTGTCAAGGGCGGATCCAGGGGGGGGGGGGCCAAAGGGGGCCATGGCCCCCCCCCCCCCCCCCCCCCCCCCAAAAACGAAACCAGTTATTTTTTTTTTATGTGACATCGCAATAAAGGCAGGCAATGAGTACACCACCATCTTTTCCTCAAAAAACATTGGTTAAAGCGGTCAGAAATTGCCTCAGATCGCACCACAGAGCATCTAGAATCCAAAAAAAAATTTTTTTTTTGGCCCCCCCAAAAATTGTGTTCTGGATCCGCCCTTGACAGGTGTAACACTAACAGGGACTTCCTTTCTTAATGTACTGGTACCTGTCATAGTGCTTCCATTAATTGAAACCCTCCCTCTGTGGCTGACAACTTCAGCCACGCCATCACAGCAGTCAAAATCAACCAGCTTACTGTTTTTAAGACTTAAGAATTCCCTTGCTAATTTGATATAGCTACGTGTATGCTTTGACTGGAGGTGATTGATATATCAGCTGTACCTACCAGTTACCTGTTTTGTCTGTTGATGGAAATTTGACTAGTCACAGTTTTTACACCAATGTGATCTGACTTTTTGTGTCCTAGTCTGTATACAAATCCATGGAAGGGGAAGTGGAAGAAAGTTTTGACAGTCTGTGACTGCATGATCAAACAATAGGAGGGTTTTAATCATGGCTGTGAATGGGGGCAGGTCATAATGTTTTGGTGAATTGTAAGATAGATCCCACTACCCCTGGGTATGATGTATAATGGCTGTGTCATATTCTCTACAGCTATGACTGAGGGAAGAGGGGGAGGTTAGTCCAGACTGAAGTCCGAGTCCGGACTCGATGTCCTCCATCACTGACGATACTTCTTCGTGTGTATTGCAATCTAGCTTTGTATCCCAGACCTTTTTGATGACAAGTTCACTATGAGTCTCCTTGGCTTCTTAATCGTCGGGGACATTTTTCATTGGCTAAGTTCTAGTTTTTTGTTTTCAGATCACCTCTGGATACGTAACAGCAAAAATGGAGGAAGAGGTCAAAATTTTCTCCAGAATGAAGATCAACTTCACGTATGTTTAATGAAAATTATTTACATTACATCATTTTTGTAAGTCTTACCCCTTTTTATACATTTGAAGGATTTAATTTCCTAGGCCTTTTTGGCTAGGAACCATCCTCAATCCTGCAAAATCCTCCAATTGCCATCATGTAAAAATTGGATTCAGCCTCAATCCTCCAAAATCATCCGTTATTTCTTGGATTTGTTTTGTGGAGGGGTGCCCATTGCGTCTATCCTTTAAAATCCTCCAACAATCACTGTTAATGGGTTGATGAGGCAGTGCCGATGACATTCAGAAGCAGTGTGGATGATATCGAGCATAATGCAGGGCTCAATATTATGCATGGCTGAACATAAACAATGCATCCTCCAAAATCAACCGACACTTTTAAGTTGAGTAAAACCATATATCTATTTCTTGATAACCTTGTGGAGACGTATTCACGTATAGAAATTGCCCTGTGGAGACGTATACGATCTTTTGTTCCCTATTGTGGCGCACTCGCTTGTCTATGGATAAGGAATTACACCCACACCAACAAGAGCTGACTATCCCACAAAAATATTTAATAACCTTACATGCGCATGAGCGGTTACACGCAAATAAGGGGGGACTACGTCACGAACAGAGGATTCAAGTCCTAGGCCTGTCCGTTTGTTGGAAATATACCAACGCTAAAGGAATACCAATTCACGTGGCAAGCAACCTAGAGGTGACCAGGGAACCTCAATAAACCTCACAACACATGTGTCTTAGAGAACAAGAAACAACTCTTTATTCGGTCCAATACACAGGCTTAAAGTTCAATGAGTGGCCAATAAACCTCGCAGAACAACGTTCCCCGCTGCTCTAGGTTTATCCCTATAAAGTAAGCCTTACACAACAATAACCTCTTACTATACAATGCTTACAACAACCAGCCTAACCAGGCTCTATGTAATTAACCTCGTTGATTATCTAGAAAGATTATCCCACAGTGGCAAGAACCTCACTGTGCACACCCAGTGCGATCAACAGCAACAAGTTATGAACTGCACACACTGATCAAGACTTTACCAGAGTAACCCTCACATGCAACCTAGCATACAGAAATCACTGGGCTCAGGTTACGGAGCGCGGTTTATAACCCCGAGGTGACTCCTGGCGACAAAGGTCGACAGGCAACAGGCAACCCAATTCCCGACCAGGGAATACTGCTGCACATACCACACGAACCTTAGGTCTCCAGTCACCAGCTCAACCCACAGCCACCCAGGCTAATTTTCCCTTACAACAAAAGGTCTAGCTTGCTAATTATTACTCTAAAGTCTCACCATCCGCCCTTGACTTGCACGCCGCGTTGCCCAAACTATCTCTACGTCTACACACGAGGTTTACTCGGATTCGGAGCTCAACGCTAAGTTTCCACTAATCGATGTTCACACAACGGCGTCTTTAGACGGACTGCCTAAAATCTCTGACTACGCGCTATACCCTACGCACGACGTCGGGGAACCAGGCGAGCCATGGTAAACTCGCACCAGTCCACCGGCTGTTTCGCCACACTATTATACCCATGTCTCCACAGGGTACCGTGTACCAGATCCTGACTCCCAAACTCAGTAACAGCGAATGAATTCAGTAATGAAGAATGAATTGTGTTGTTATTTCAGGCCTCCTCGACCAATCACTCACCTTGTCGTTAACAACAACATGCTGATGATGGCTATGTCCGACAATGTCATCTTGCGAATTGATCTGGAGCACCCAGACCAACCGGACGGTAATGTGCCACAATGATACTGACTGTCAATTTCCATTTTAGCTACTAAGCACCTTAGTTTGATTGAGCACAGAAAAGATTTTGTTCTGAAAAAAATTGGATACCATGATCCAAAATGACATGAGTCGTAAACAAGGGAATCACAAGCCAGCCATAAGCCAGTCACAAGTCAATCTGAGGCCTGTTTAAAGACAAGTTCAAGTCAAATAAGTCAAATCAGGAGTCAATCACAATTCAATCACAAGCTAATTTCATGCTTAAACACAAGTCTATCCTGAGTTGAGATTGGATGACTTTTGATTGACTCCTTAGGAATGGATTACAACTTAGTATAACACTAGCACTGCTTATACATTCACAGCGCAATAAATGCGCTCTACAGTATGTCTCCCCAAAAAGTGTCTATCCAACTATTTTTTAACTACCAACAAAACCACGAAGTAAATGATGAAAAATTTTAATTGTGCAAATGTTTCTAAGGCCAAAATAAAGTCTCCAGTTTCTCCAATTAAACAGTTTTGTCTTCAATGTAAGATGATGTCTCAAAACGGCCAAACTCACTGGTTTGACTGGAACCCTGCTGCTGCACAATTTCAATGCGTTTTTAGATGGGATTATAATCGAGTGTAAGCTTTATGTGGCCTCTCTGGGCTCCCATACATTTTGCACTAAATTTAGTCGGGCACCATTTGCAGTCATCAGCCAACAATTGAAGAAAAAATAAGTAATAAGGCCTTCCAGTCTGAAAGACGTGAGCAGGCCAGGTTCACCAGTGGTGGACACCACCCTACATTTGTCACATACATGTATGTATGTTTCAGAAAAGTAACCATTTCTTATCAATAGAGGTGAAATTGGGAGAGTATCAGATTCACAAGTTGTTTCTGGATCCCACCGGCCGTCATCTCATCATCAGCACTGAGCAGCAGGAAGTCTTCTATCTATCCAGGACAGGTCGTAAGGGTAAACCACTCCAAAAACTCAAGGTAGGTCGTGATGGAACGTATACATGTACTACCACACAGAACAGTTAATACATATTGGTTCTTCAACCCACAAGGACATGGTCTAAGGATCAGGGATTAAAGCTACAGTCCATCATTTGCAACTATCCAAAAATTAACTGACGTAATTATTGTTGACAAACATACTTGGTTGTAAGATAGTAAGGGGACTAAACTCCCTGTGAAATTATTCTCTCTGGCAAGCTGTCATTTTGAAGAAATCAACGAAAGAAGGCCTTTCCAACAGTGCGTCTTAAGACGCACCATTGGAAATTTTTGTTAGTAGTTTGTTTTTTTATTCGGCGAAGTGTTGGCACGACACACACGCGCGCGCGGCTGCTATAATTCGTCGGATCGGTGCGCGACATCGCGTAGCTGCAATCGGCTAGTGAGAACATGTCTCGGACGCTGAAATTCAGGCCCAATTCAAAACATGATTCCGCAAATTTTGATTTGAAATCTAGATCCTAGAATGTTGTTTTTCTCGAAATATACAGCTGAAGCTGAGCTGAAACTTCATCAGGTTAGTTGTTCAGCACCCTTTAGATTTTTAACACTTTTGTTGCTTCAAACTAACAAAATGCACAAATTACAAACGATGGACTATACCTTTAACCTGTGGGCAGAGAGCCACAGTAGAACTTCTGATATATCGTAGCATGTCAATTTTGTGTCACCCAGCGCGCCAGCCCTTCAGAGTGGTCTTTAGAGACCATGACATCATTTCGATCAGAAATGTGGACTAAGCTGTGGATAGGTCAATTTGGCTGCCATGTTTTTGTAATACAACAACGGGTTACCGAAGACCGGGTAGAAGGCTCCTGCCGAATTGTCAGAATCTGGAGATCAAGAAGCAGTCTTGTTTTGCATAATTAATCACCGAATCTGCTCGCATATCATAGACCCTTGCTGTGCAAGGGGACATTCCATAGACTAGCGAGGACAAGGGAAATCATATGGCACACAGATGCCAGTCATGCAACGTTTCCTCGGATCAGCTGATTTCCTCGTTTTTCACTTCACACTTACATGTATGCCATTCAAATTATGCCATTGAAAAACACTGTGTAAAACTTGTAAAGCTTGGAATTTCCTGTTTTTGACTACCCAGTTGCTTGCCCGATTTAGTGCAGCATATTATTATCCATGTTTCACATGCTCATCAGATAGCAAATGTTTCTTGAAGAAACTTTCATCAGCTTCTCCCTCTCTTTTGGAACATGGCCATATCACACAGCACAGTGTTTATGCTGTGGAATAAAGAACATCTCTTTGCTGTTGACATAGGATCAACGGATCCGTATCAAGGATCTAAGTTTCTTCACTTTACCTTTGCAATAGTGCGCCCTCTAATGATGACGCTTCATGCAAATAAATTCCATACAACGATATGCACATTTTTACCCACATGTTAAACAGTCAGCTTTGCGAACGCTCAGCTGTTCTGTCATACTTTTGTGGCCCAACATGTTTATATTGTGTTTTGCACATCTGTTCCTGGAGCCCTCTTACGTAACATTGGGCGTGGGCCAAGCAATAATTTTTGTGTGGCATGAACGCCAACTATTTCAGAACAGTTCCAACTTCGTCCAGAGAAAATAAAATTCTGTGACATTTTTGTGTATGCATTTTGTTCACACTCGGTGTGGAGTGCTAGGAATCATGGTGGCACAGATCGTGGAAGGCTGCATGTTGAACCGTATTCAGTCTTGCATATATCATCCACCACCTTTGACCTGGAACTAGGTTCTTGACATCAAAACAGTGTTGGTCTATCTGCCACATTTCACTGTCGTTTAAATTGGTTGTTCAAACCTGGGCCCAATTTCACGGCGCTGCTAAGCACACGATTTTCTGCTAACAGAGCCTCTGTCTATTTCATGCAGACCGTTAGCATAAGCACAGCAAAAGGCACGATTACTTTGTGGAAAAAATTGCTTAACTTAGTGACGTAACAATAGAAATCGCCATGCAAGCGCAACCATTAGCACGTCCACACCGTGAAATAGTGCTTAAGGTTAGCAAATTTTTCTGTTATGCTAAGCACAACTTTTCTGATGGGCCCTGTTGTTAAATTGATTGTTAAATTAATCGTTTAAATTTAGCTATTTTGTACGGACACATAAAAATTTGGAATATATATATTCCTATGTGAATAAACTTCTATATCTGACATATTGCTCTTGGATCTTCTCATTCAGCACTGCTGTTGTCCTTATTAATTTCTAGCATATTTCCCCTCATCTTGTGCTGGAATTTTGTTGTTGTTGTTGAAATGTTACCACTTAGTTTGTACATATGCATGCTTGTTTATCCATGGTTCAGGGCCACATCATCGATTCCATTGGCTGGAACAAGCTGAATACCAGTGACAGTACAACTGCAGAGGTACTGATGGGAACCAGCAAAGGTCAGTCACCTTGAACCTTTTCACCCTAGTCAAATTAGTCAAGTAGCCTTGCATTGGTATCACTGTATACAGGGTGAGTAAAAAAAAAAAAAAAATTGTCGGGACCATTGTTTTAGTGAAGTTCTGCATGTAGCACTTTCAAAATCTAGGATATGAAAGCCCAATTCATTAGTCTTCGTTAAGTACACGAATCATTCGAATCACTCATGTACTTTTCAAGTTATGGAGTTTTAAACACAAGCACCGTTTTAAAGTTCTGTCCACGGATCACAAAAAAAGTGTGCTTTCTTTCAGCAAAACAAAAACAATTCTCACACACATCCTTATGTGATTTGTTTTCGTTTTGCTGAAAAAACACTGAACTTTTTGTGATCTGTGGACAGAACCTTAAAACGGCGGTTGTATTTAAAACTCCATAACTTGAAAAGTACATGAGTGATTTGAATGATTCTTGTACTAAAAGAAAGCTTATGAATTGGGCTTTCATATTCTAGATTTTGAAAGTGCTGCATGCAGAACTTCACTAAAACAATGGTCCCGACATTTGGGTTTCGGTTTTTTTTACTCACCCTGTACATGTAATTGCATCAGTGTTATGTTTTCTATCATATTTTTTTAAACTATACAGCCTACACACACAAAGTTTTTTTAACAAAGAAACAAATGAGTATTTACTCTTCTTTTTTTTCAGGTCTGATATTTGAGACAGAAATTCAATCAGGCGATGACAGTAGGTTCTTCCAGCAAAGTCTTGACCAGTATTGGAAACAGGTAAGTCAAAATGGAATATCAAGCAGATGGTTGAAAATGAAAAAAAAAAACAATGTGTACATTTTGAGTTCTTGTGATAGAGGCTTTAATCATATTGGTTTGAATACTGCAATGTGAAAGTGTTGTGTTGGTCCTTTGGAAAGGTACTTCATAGTATTTGTGTCACCAAAAGGGCTGTGCATTGGAACCGAGTGCCCGACCGTTGATGTCAGGAAGTGGATCCAGATTATGGGATCGGGCACCCATAACCAACTTTACAAATTACTTAGTAACTTCTCAGACAATGAAAAAGAAAGGCTGTGAATGTCATTTGTTGGGAATTTTTTTAATGAAAGCCAGGCTACATGGAGAAACAGAACATAATTCACGTTTATGACACTCCCAAAAAGTTGCAGTTTTCACCATAAAGCTATAAAGTTCACTGTACACACTTGTATCTTGCTGCATTGATGCACCAATATTATTGTGCAGACCTGTATGAAAAATCTGGAACAACTTCCGAGATTTTTTAACTTTAGGGCTGGGCTTCTTTAATGGGGACCCAGGTACCCGTGGTTTCCATACTACCCATAAATGTACACCACTAGTCTCCACATTCAGAGGTTTATGGAGAGCAGTGTATAAAGTAGAGTTTGTTTCATTGTAATGTGCTAATTTCAAGCACAGCGATTTGCTATAAAAAGCTTAGCCAAGTAGCACAAAGTGGTTGCGAGGGAAAATGTCGCGAATTTTATCTTGACTGGTGCTCATCTGATTTTGACACCCAGCATATTTTATTTTCTAATAGCCAAAATGTACGGACAGACTTTATGGTACGTTTGGAAGTTCATGTAAAGTACTTTGATTAGACGATAAAAAACACGTTACTTGCCAATTATTTTAATTTATTCAGGTTTTCAATTTGGGCAAAGAGGGCGCTGTTCCTGTCACAGGTCTTGAGGTGGAACTCGTCCAACCTGCTCTGCAGAATGAACGGCGATTCTTTATAATGGCTACAACTCCAGGGTAAGGAAAATACTCATAATTATTAATAATTGGTTGAAATTACATTTTTCTTGAAGCCCGTGTCAAGTATTGGCTCATAACTAAAAATGGAGTCATCAAGTAAAATAAAAACTGCTTGTACTTTCAATGTTTTGACTGTCTGGATTTTCCCTGATATTCATGATATTGGGCATATTTAAAACTTCAAGTGTTTAAAATGCAGCTTTCGCTAAGACTGTTACTTGTTAGTACCCTTTGAATCCTGGGAGAAAAAAACAATCATGGAAAAATGTCATGCCTAAGGACACAACAATAAAGCAACAGTCATGTTGGCTTTTTGGTGTCTGCAGCTATTGTATTCGCTCTTTTCACGCTTCCACCATAGGCATGCACAGCCGCGATCTGGCAAGTTTACACTATGAAAATAGCCGGTTCAGTGATTCCGTGTCAGGGTTCAGATCACAACTCTGGCATTTTTCTTTGTGTCAACATGCCAGATCGAGGCTCTGCATGCCTATGGCGGAGCATGAAAAGAGCGAATTAAGGGCAATTCCAATTTTGTCAAATTTGTACTGTTGTGTAAAGTCAAAATATAAGGTGGATTTTTCTCACCTAAGATCCCTTGAAATTAAGTGACTAAATTACTTTTGAAACAACATGCAAATAAAATAACTTATGTTGGTTGGGCAGTAAGTTCTTTGTCGATAACTCACGTTGCACAAAATGACATGGAAAAAATGTAAGCACCTTGCATTTGAAAATGTCCTCATACTGTGAACTGTTGGAAAATCTTTTCAGTTTCCTTACATCATTACGCTGTAAGTCATACGCTACCATAATAATTATTATAAAAAAAATCAATCATGAAATCTCTACGGGGATATAGTTTGGTAAGTCATGTTGTGGTAACTCATGTTACAGTTTGTCCACCCATCTTTGGTACAAGATAAAACCTACAAATTTTTTTTATAATCTCACAAAAAACCTCTTGTCATAAAATATGAACCTTTCACTCTGTCTGACAATCAAAAACTCACAATAACAGTCGCATTTTGCATGTAAAAACAAGGTGCCAAAATGACTACCTAAAATCCATAATTTTAGCCCCCCCCCCCCCAAAAAAAAACAGTTTTGTGACCTAAAAAAAGCTCTTAACCATATCCCATATCACTGCTTCACCACTCAAATGAAAGTTCTTGTTGTTCCCTTAAATTTAAAACCAAATTTGAGGTTGTGATGCTTGTAGTTCTGAAGATTTCATAAATTTTCCACTTTTCAGCTATGTCCACATTCTCATGGAATTACCCATAAGTGTTTGGAAAACACAGTACTGTGAATGTAGCTGTTTGTTTTGGACACAACTATGAAATGCTGTGGTTGAAACTCAACCCCATTTTTTAGAAACAGAGCTTTTGGCATGAACTTGATCATGCAAAAAAAAACTTAGTAACCAAACTGTTTCTTACATTTTTCTTCAGACGACTGTACCAATTTGTTGGCATCATCCCTAGTTCTTCTGAGACACCTGTTTTCCAAAATGTCTTTCATAGGTACGAGGCTAGTCCTGGTAAGTACCACTCTCTCTTTGGGATCATAAGTGGTTATAAAAGACAAGATTCCAATCAGTGTGTCAAGCAAGTTTGCATTCTGCTCCAATATGACAATTTCTTTTTCTTATTTTTTCATCATCATTGCAGCTAGTTTTCTAGAATTGCCGGGTAACTTTGGATACAGTGAGCTCCAGTTCAGCTACGGCAGCAAGAAAACCATGCCGTCCAATTTTGCCTGGATGACTGGTAAGTGAGGATGTGTTACTTCAGTTACGCTGATTACATAAATTGTAAGCTATTTGATCAACTGTGAAATAAATGTGCAGGGTTGTCACAAGTTTTTTAATAATAATGATAATAAATACTTATTAAGCGCTGGTATCTAGGAAGACCTTTAATCCGCGCTGGGGTCTGAGACAATGAATGATAAGCTTGAATGAAAAGATAAGTAAGATTTGAGGCTTTGCATGGTGGAGATACTAAATAATGAAAGGTTTTCGGAAACACCATGTGCGAATAATTTCTCAACTAAGAGAATGGTTCTGAAAAGAACCAGAGGTATAAACTCGACGTTCCGGTCAGTATGCTCTGACCGTCTTCAGGAGAGTGCCTAAACTCTAAGAAAGAGAATACTTAAGTAGCAAAAGGCGAAGTCAATGAGGTGTGAAGTTGCATCCTGTGAGGATGCCAAGTAGACGGGATCCTAGAGCAAGCTTGGTGCCCACTGAAGTGGAACAGTAGGGTTGCAGTGTCAGTAGAGGGAGGACCTAGGGTATAGGAGACCCATCAGTCTAAGGTGGTAGCTGAGGACCTAGGGTATAGGAGACCCATCAGTCTGGAGAAGTGGGAGCCAGATAAGTTTTCATTCAGGATTTGAAAGAGACAGCGTCAGGTTGTGATCTCATGGCTATTGGCAGACTGTTCAATAGGCGGGGGGCTGCAACAGAAAAACTTCTGTGTCCATAAGTCTTCAGCCTTGAAGATGGAGCCACAAGCAAGTGTGCATCACAAGAGCGTAGTTGGCGCGCAGGCTTGTATGGCGATATGAGTTGTTGCATGTAATGGGGCGCTGTTCCGTTGATAGACTGGTAGGTGATGAGGAGGAGTTTGAATATTATGCGTTGCTCAACGGGAAGCTTGTGTAATACTTTGAGTACCGGGGTGATGTGTTCGAATTTCTTTGTGCGTGTCAAGTTTTTTGCATGTGTTATGTGTGGCCTACTCCTGTTAGCTGTAGGGCTGTCCCAAGTATACCAAATATTCAATCGTCAACTGAATATGGGGCGCTGTGGTCCAATGGTTACGGTGTTCGACTCGTGTGCCGTGGTGCATGGGTTCGAATCCTGAGTGTGGGAACATGGTGCTTGTGCTCTTGAGAAAGGCACTTTACCATTATTGCCTCGTCCTTCGGATAGGACGTGAAGTCGTAGGTCCCGTGTGTTGTGTAATGCACGTTAAAGAACCCAGTAACACTTATCGCTAAGAGAAGGGGTTTGCCCCGGTGTTTCTGGCAGTGGCTGCAATGTGCGCCGCAGCACTTTGTAAACCATTATAAGGTGCTACATTATGGGTCTCATATTTCTCATAGACTTTATTTACCTTTCTTTAATAATTGACATGATTTAAAGCGCCTTGAGTACCTAATTGTTGGTAGATACGTGCGCTATATAAGACTCCGTTATTATTAATATTCAGATAGCTTTTTGCTGGTTCAAATATTCGAACGATAAAAGAACTATGCACATACACACATGACTGTGATGTTTTGTTATCCTAAAGTTGCGGCGCTTTATTGTCAGATGCCACTTTCTGTTGACGGTAACTTTTTTGTCGACGGCAACTTTTTTGTCGACGGCAGTTCATTGTTCCCATCCTCCTAGAAGGTTAAAGCCCTCGACAGTTATAAAATACTTACTGCAAAAGACTCCAGCCGTCCATGTCGATCGCCGCACGCAAATTTTAACCAGAGAGCTTTGCGTCCAACTTTTGACAGGTGCGGCATGTAGTTGCAGCTAGCATGTCTAAACTTGACCGCCGAGTTTCCAACCTGGGCACAGGTCGTAGTGGAAAAAAAAACAATGGGGGTGGAGGTTGTTTTCTCGATTTTTAGATTTATTTGTATTTGTAATCTTTGGTATGTTTACTACACATCTTTTAAAGAAAAAGTATGTTAATTATGGAATAAAAGTGTTTTTAAGGGAAAAAAATTACATCTTTAATTTTCACAAATACAAAACTTCAAAGGCCTTTTCCTCAATATTTTAATTTATTGGCATGTTGATAAATGCGAACTTTAAACAGCCATAACTTGTCAACGGAATGTTTGATTGAAGTGCAACAAGAAGTATAGTATTAAAAGGAGAATTTTATTCTCATTCCCAATACCCGCAAACCGTCATTTCGACCTCTGCCCAGTTCTGTCTCATTTTGCCAGAATGTCTCGCATATTTCCATCGCTTTTGAAATTTGGGAATAAGACTACAATACTGCTGCAGTCTATAACAAAAAAGAACATGAAGTCTTCAATCCAACGTGTCAGTCTTGTTGTGGCTTCCTGTCTTTCTACCCCTAGGTCCAGGCATATACTATGGCGTCTTTGACTTCAATAGTCAATCCTCGGACAATCTCACCAAGGACAGCCGTCTGTTGCCCTATCCCGACACGGGCAAAGGGGACGTTACTGCTGCTAAACCCATCGCTATGGCATTGACTGAGTTCCATGTTCTTCTTCTATTCCAAGACAGGTTGGTCACAATGTTTTGGATTAAAAACTGTAAATCTGCATGCAGACAATAAGTCTATTTCAATTGCTCATGTTCATGTAAGATAGGAAGATTTTCAGTTCAGGATAGAAACACTAGATTAATATAGGCTAATCTGTTAACCACTATGCAGCCTGCACTTTTTTATGCAATCAAATCAGGGAGCATCAGAAATGGAGTTTCAGAAGTCTTGTAAGACGTTGTGCTATGCAAAACTTTCAGGATTGTGTGATTACTTCGAAACAAGAACTTTTCTTCAATTTCGTATTGGTATTGCATGAGTATAACAAATTGTCAATTCCAAAAGAAAAGTTGTCCAATGTTCACATCCACACTCGCACTTACTTTGAATACTGAACAGGCTTCTTTGGAGTGCCATGCCCCAGTGGTCTGGAGCATTGAACTCGTGGTCTGCAGGAGATTCTGCAGATTGCGGGTTCGAGTCCAGCCTGCGGCTATGGTGCGTGTACCCTTGGGAAAGGCACTTTGTCACTCATTCTCCCCACCCAGGAGTAAATGGGTACCTGTGAGGGCAGAGATGGTTATTGTGATTTTAGCTGCTTTGCGCCAAAATGGCAGCATCGAGCTGTATACTCCCCAGGGAGCTGAGATTGTCTTTGGAATGTTTTATTGGCCCAGTGATCAGGGGTAATAATGTTGCAGAGCACTTTGATCTTAGTTAGAAGCTCTATGTAAGTACCTGTTATTATTATTATTGTTATTATAATTACAGGAAATGGGTCATTTGGGAGACATTCCCATAGACTTGTACAAAAAAATTATCAAACTTCAATGTGCCCTAACCCAATATTCCCTTGTCCTTTTTCCACGAATTTCGGTATGTTTACTAATTAGACAGCGAGCAAAAAATACATGTATAATCTAATTGCAACAATAAAATTTTGCCTCTAAAGGGGGGCTGTGACATTAGGGAGACATGAAAATGTAGCCCTAATGACCGATGTCTCCCATCGTGTGAAGAAATTACGATAACGCGTCTCCTTAATGGTACCTTTACACGTATTATTAGATGAGTCAAACACAAGTCCGGCTGCAAGTCCATCACAAGTCCTGTAGTCCCAATTCAACTCACAAGCTATTCAAATGAGCTTGAGACAAAGGTACTTGTGAACGGACTTGTGATGTACCTGTGACTGAACTTGTGTCTGGACTTAAGGTGGACGCGACAACATCCCTGCTTCTTTGTACACAAAATGAGCTCCCTCGGAAAAATGCTCTGGGTACCTGACCAATTCATTAGAGCCATGTGATGGTATTTTGTAATGCATTACTGTATTCTCCTCTGAATGTATGTAATTTCTTTGGATAAAAAATAACCTTTTTTTTTCCTCATTTTTTTGTTGACAGATTAAAGGTGATGTGTGTTTTGAATGAGCAACTGATTGATGAAGAAGTTTACAATGTTGTAAGTAAATCATCATTTCTCTATTATAAACAACACAACCGGTCTTGCTTGATTTATTTTTAATTTATTGGTAAACCCGTTGTTCTATTTCAAAGATTTGGCATCCAAATTGGCCAATCAACAGACTAGTCCACATTTCTGATTGATATGATGTCACAGTTTCTAAAGTCGACTCCGATTGGCTGGCATGCGGGGTCGCATAAAATTTGCATATCGGGATATATCAGACGTTCAACCGTGGCTCTGCACACACGAATGTCTGATCCTCATATAGTCGGGTTTGAGGCTAAATTTGAGTCTGAAGTCATCTAGTATTCTTGGACAAAGCTGTGTTTTCTGTGCTTTCTTATGTTGCCAACCGAAACATGAATTTGCAATCGAATTACGTATTTTCGATGCTAGAATACACCACTTTAACCCTAACCACCCCAACCCTTCAAAATCCAACTGTGCGTTTTGTTGGAATCTGTTGGAGTGAGTACTGCACTAATAAACTGATTATGCTTTACATGGGGTCAGGCATACCACCATAATCAGAGTCCAACAGTTTGGGTGTAGAGTTTACCATATGGTGTTGGATTTTGCAAGAGTGAGGAAGGTTCCTAGTAAAACACTGTTGGGGTTAGGGTTAATATCAGTTAGCCATCAAGACAAAGAAAATGTCACACAACAAGTAACAGATTCAATCATTATCTCATTCTGTTTCAATTCCTTTTTTTTTTTCCGCAGAAATACGGTAAAATATTAGGCGTTTGTCGAGACAAGACCAGGGGAACCATTTGGACCTTCACAGACCAGAGTGTCTTCAAGTACAAAGTGGTCAAAGAGTCGAGGTGAGCCGCAGCTTGAGCCAGGATTTGGAAATGTTTGCCATTTCTCAAACCTCGGGTTTATCTCCAGGTTTGGCGTCAGACTTCTAGTTTCCTGATTTTAGGCCCCTGAGTTTGGATTTAGTTCATTTTTTGGAACAGGAATATATATGTGAGGCATTCTGGCAAAATTCTGGGCAGATGTCGAAATGGGGGTTTGTAAGTATTAGGAAAGAGAATAAATTCTCCTTACAATACTGCTTGTTGCACTTTGATAGGACATTTGCATTTATCCACTTGTCAAAAAAGTAAAAGACTAAGAAAAGAGCCTTTAACTCTTTCAGTGCCCACGACATTTCTAAAGTTTAACCCTAAAGTGCCCAACTTTTGAGATTTTTTTCTAATTATTCAAAATTCTGTAAAAAAAAAAGTAAATAAGTTGTAATCACCAAACTTGTTGTATCTTGCTCTCTTGTATATTGTACCTTCAAAAGTCAATAGTAGTCACGCACCTAGTGATATACCCTGAAACACTCTCCTGAACACAGGGGAATTCCGCACTTTTTGTAGAATATACGTGTGTCGCGTCTGATACCCCTCCTCATACAAACTCTGTTCATTAGCATCAATATCGTCATGATTGTCACTATTGACACTAACGTAAGCACCATCATTATCATTATCATTATCGGTATCCCCATTTTCGTCTTCTGACTCACCATCCTGTTCTATCATATCCATAGATGATTCTGAATCAGAAAAGTAATCCCTTTCGCCAAATTGAAACTCAGAGACGGGCTGTCAGTGTTGCGCCCTCTCGCAAGAACTCGAATAAAAAAATAAATACAGGTGGTACATGCATGAAAATGGTACCATTAGAAAGAGCGAGAGCGCCCCCTTTTGATAACATGTTTACCTCGTACATGTACGAGGTTTGGCGATTTTAATCACGAACATTACCTCGTACATGTACGAGGTTGGCGCTTTCGTACTAACAAATATACCTCGTACATGTACGAGTTCGGCACTGCAAGAGTTAATGTTTGCAGTTTTGTAGCTGTGATAATGAAAGATACCAATTGTTTTCCTCAAAAACACTTTTATTCCACTATTTCTTTAAAATATGTGTACTAGTTTTACTTTATCCTCCGCAACGGCCTGTACTGCCCAGTTATGTCTCATTTTGCAAGAACGCCTCACATAATTATTATAATTCTATAGCACACAGATTTCTGTGATGCAAAGCCAAAGTTTATAGCCGTTTTCATTTGGTCAGAACATAGATCTGGTGACAAAGCCGAGGTCGAGAAACTGTGTTCAAAATTTCTTGGCAATGAAAAACAAACTTGAGTCCAGATTATTCACCATTCTTTTGTATGTGATGCAGGGTTTAGAGTATTTGTCTTTGAAATAACCTCGTTTGTATCGCAGGGATGTGTGGCGTATGTACCTGGACCAAGGCAACTTTGACCGGTCCAAGGAATTTTGCCAGGACAATCCGGCCAATTTGGACAAGGTGCTGACCAGACAAGCCGAGTATTTCTTTGAAAATCAAAAGTGAGTGCCTTCCGATCCCCCCATCTCTCAAGTCTTGTCTCTTTAACCACGGATCCTACACACAAGGATTAACGACTCGGCCCAACTCCTGGTTAGACGCTTGATAACGGCCTGTACTGGTGGCAAATACCATGAATACTTTTCAACAAAGACCACTGCGCGCAGTGGGTTTCAGATTTGCAAGGCTTTTCGCCCGATCTGGCATCGAAGTCTGTCAAGCCAGCGAATTATATTTTTGAATATTCATGAGTCTACGTTTTTGGTCTTTATTATTGAATTCTGATAAGTGATAACTACATAACCATGGTAATGCCGAGCACAATATCTTTAGCTTTAAGATGAACAATGAAATGTCGCTTTTGTTTCATCGGTTCGGCATGCTATCTCTCTAAAACTTTTTAATAAAAGCCTAATTAAAAACGAAATTTGGGTAAATGGTGTTCTCGAAATTTGACGTTTATTTCCCGGGTAAATACTTCATCTATGACGACAAAAACTGCACAATACCATCTGTTATATCCTGAAGTATTTATTTTTAAAATAATTTGGAACAATTATATCTTAAATTAGAAGTAGTTTTACTTACATTTTTAGGAATATTTCCGTTTTAGATGTCGTGCAAAAACCCAACACAATGGCACATCTGGAAAATCGCGATTACGCGCCAATAGGTATTAATGCCCGTTATCACGCGTCTAACCAATTAAGGCAAGTCCACTGAGTGCAATTTATACTAGAGCTCAGAACAGTCATTTATCCTGGTGTCTAGGATCTGTGCTTTAACCCTTCCCCTTACAGATCCTTCAAAATCCAACAGGTGGGTTGTGAAGTATATTCCAGTATTGGAATAGTCTTAGCCCAAGATGCCAGTGATCGAAAGTGGATCGTGGACATTGTTTTAATTTCATTTGGAAGTAGTGCGCCATCTATAACCGCATGATTAAACCAGCTTGCCTGCTCGCATTAGCGTCTTGGGAATCCTGTATTAGCGGTTTATTTTTTTCTTTATTTTCTCCCTAGGCTTTCCTAGGGAACCAATCAGTGATCACAAAACAATCATTACGGCCAGTTTATAGTCGGATGCGCGATGCTGAACATCTGATACTGATGGTCGCACACTCGGAACGCTGAGCCTTTTTTTGGCAGTTTATAGTCGTCGCACGGCCGCTGTAAACATACGAGCATCATACGAGTTATGCGCGCAAACTTTACTGTGAAGTGTGACAATCAAGCATCGCAAATTAGATATGCAATGCAGTGATACTCCCCACCCCCACGCACGACTAACGAATGGGTATTTGACAGCGTGAAGCTGCAATGTTGTTCGAAGACATTAATATTGACACCAACGATCTAATTTACATAAAACGGCCAAGCCACCATGGAGTACCGAAGTGAATACGTCACGCGCACAAAATGTGTGTGAAAGACATTAGCGCGTGATTCAGCCCGTGAACCAACACGCACGCGTACTCCATTCGTTTGCACTACACTTTCTGGTTCTAAATGACGTCACACTTCGGTACTCCATTGCTGCAAGATTCCCAAGACATTAGTGAGAGAAAAGGATAAGGAAAGGGTTTAAAGATCCTTGAAGAGAATTTTTCTTTGTAACATATTGTGTGCAACTTTCTACTCCTCTAAAATGTATGAAAAATATTTGACATCCCTTTGGGTTATTTTTATTGAAAAGCGCACTTCTTTAAACATTTAAAAATTGTCCATGCTTTTCCTGACAACTGAGGGCGCTGTTGCTGTGATGTCATATCAGGCAGACACTGTTCAGTTTAGGGTTTTTCTGTTCAAATTGTGAACCCCCCTAAAAATTTGCTCATTGAAAATACTTGTGAGAAAAGTTTGCTCATTGGCTTACTGCCATGTACTGACACAACGACGATTCGCCCAAGAAACGAAAAAATTCAACAGCGAAATATCCAAAATTCTTGCAGCTATAATGGTGCTGAAATAGCTGTGACATTGAGGTTTCTGCCTGAAGTGACATCACACTTGTGCTCATGAATATTGAAATTTGTATTAGCATAAAATCAAAAAAGGCACCAAAATACCCTTGAAAATGGCAAAACGAATATTGGAAATAGGGTTAAATGGGATATAAAGATGCATTTTCAAGGATTGCATTAAAAACTTACATTGCATGGGCCATTTGAGATTTCAACCAACCAGCGGATCTGACAATCCCTGACAGGTAGTTGAGACACATGCACTAGATAAGCAGGTCATGGGTTCGATTCCCAACCCACCAAGCTTATGAATTGCTTACATAAGCTGTTGGACAGCACAATTTTCGAAAGGGCAGAAACACCAATATTGAAACTCTGTACCAATTTCTTCGCATTTGCAAGGTACGACAAGAGCGCCCTCTATTTTGCCATGACGGAGAGGTCGTTTGAGGAGGTGGCGCTCAAGTTCATCGGTGCCCAGCAGACGACGGCGCTGCGCATGTTCCTCGACAAGAAACTCAGCACACTCAGGCCGCAGGTCGGTTGACACATGATTTATTCTTTTGATATTTTATTTTAATCCCTTCTTGTAATGACACCAAGGTTCCTTCAAAGAGTACGATCACTGAAGCCGTGAAGTGTGAAGAAACATTTGAGAAATTCTGGCAAAATAAGACAGAACTGGGCAGAGGTCAAAATGAGGGTTTTCGGGTATTGAGCAAGAGAATGCAATGTTCCTTACAATGCTGTTTGTTGCACTTCAGTCGGACATTCCACTGACAACTTATGGCTGTTTTAAGTTGGCATTTATTGAAATGTCAAAAAAGTAAAATACTGAGAAAAAAAAGACCTTCAAAGTTTCGAATTTTGTCGTCATGAAAATGAAAGATGTCTTTCTATAAAAACACTTTTATTCTACATTTTTGTACCATTTCTATAAAATGTGTGTAGTTGACAAATCAAAGATTTTCGTGGCATGTGGGACACAGACGCACTACATTATTCCGTGTTCCACTCGCACTCATGGGATAACTCATAATATACCGGTTCGAATTTATAAAAAGAAATTACAGCTTTAAGTAATTCACACAATCATTACCCCCAAGCCAAATTATATGTGTGGTGCATTTTTTCATCAACATGTGTGGTGTATGAAAAGTTAATGGACCTATTTTTTGGGCGTCTAATTTGAAGTGGTATTTAGGCCATACCTCCCATTAATGGTATAGTCCATCATTTGTAATTTGTGCATTTTGTTCATTTGAAGGAACAAACGTGCTGTGAATCGAGACACGTTCTCACTGAGCCGATGGCAGCTACGCGATGTCGCGCACTGATCCGATGAATTAAAGCAACCGCATTCGCATGTGCGTTGTGTCAACGCTTGCGCGTGTTTCCTAACCTTATGGTGCGTTTCCGAACTAAACGGAAAGGAACTGTTGGAAATGCCTTCTTTCGTTGATTTTTTCAAAATGACAGCTTGCCAGAAAGAATAATTTCACAGGGAGTTTAGTCACCTTACTATCTTTCAACCAAGTATGTTTTTCAACAATAATTACGTCGGTTACTTTTTGGATAGCTGCAAATGATGGACTGTAGCTTTAATTGCCTACATGTATCGTAGTTTTTGCTTTTTAATACTACGCAGCCACTCGAAAGAAAATTAGGACTTTGGTAACTTTTATAAATGCATACAATTTTGATTTCCCTGTATAAGTAAGTCTGATGATTGAAAAATAAATCTTTTTTTTGTGATTTCCCTGACCTAGGAGAAGACTCAGATGACCATGTTGGTGATGTGGTTGATTGAGCTGTACCTGAATCAGCTGGGGGAGTTCCGAGCTAGGGAAGAGGCTAGAAACACCCACGACAAGGTCCACACCGAGTTCCAGAAATTCCTGGCCCAAACCAGGGTCATGGTGAGTAAAGACCCTGCCCCAATTCGGGCGATTCACAATGCAGTGCGCCACCAAGAGTATTCCACGGAGAGTTCATTTTTCCCAGTGCATTGTGGGAGATGGTCGACAAATTCGCAGCGCGGGACATTTGAAATTGTTAGTTTTTTTCCGGTCAGTAGTTTCGTAAGCGTATGATTCCAGGATCTGTTTGCCCTTTTCTCATTCTTATCAATATGGTGTTTTTTGTAAGGCGGCTGAGAACGCTATGCTCCAATCTATAACATATTAGCTCAAGTTGTCTTCTGACACTCATTCAAGTGGACCATGTTTGTCGACCGTAAACCTGAAAAGTGGACTCTCCATAGCAAACTCTTGGTGGCGCACTGCATTGTGAATCGCCCGAATTGAACATTGTTTTAATATTTGGTTTCACCCATCACCAACGTAAGGCCCTGTCCCCAATTTCACTGAGCTGCATTAAAATTCAGCTGGTAATCTATTTTTGCTCAACTTTCAGGAGTGTCTGAGCGGCAACGTTGATACGGTGTACGACTTGATCGCGAGCCATGGAGATGTGGAAGACATGGTGTTCTTTGCTATGCTCATGAAAGGTTTGTCTTATAGCCACATCGTTCCTATGCATTTCTTCTTTTTGTCAACTAGGCACGTTCTCTAGCATAAAGGCAAGCAGCACAGTAAACCAATAGGCCAGTTTTGTATCTCGATGAAGTAGTCCATGTCAAAGGTCATTCGGGATCAAATCGCTTACGTGATGATGCGCGATGTTACGCGGACGCCCATTCTGCTTGTAATTAACACGCGAGCGTCGTGCGCCTGTCTCCCTGCGCGTTCATGCGTTTTGGATGAGCATTCCATTATCACCCCTCTAGCTATGTTATGGTATGTGCCTCTCATGAGTAAAACTAAAAAAACTCCTAATATGGAGTTTGGCAAAAGCATTTGTATGACTGGCAGAGTTTGTTGTTTTATTTTCTTTTGTTCAGATTGAAGACAGAGTTCATTACGATGTGAAATACGCTCTGAGACTTTGCGCTGAACACAACCACATAAGAGGGCGATGAAGTAGTCCATGTCAAAGGTCAATCGGGATCAAATCGCTGACGTGATGACACGCGATGTTAGGCGGACGCCCATTCTGCTTGTAATTAACATGCGAGCGTCGTGTGCCTGTCTCCCTGCGCATTCATGCGTTTTGGATGAGCATTCCATTATCCCGAATGACCCGTGACCTATACATAGAGCTATATTAAATTACTAGAGCGCTAACTCCTCATTCTTGCGCGCGGAGACGCTTTGAAGCCGCTCTGGGCGCAGACATTTTGAATTTATGTGCGTGTTTGTAGGACGGAATCAACATAGATGGATTGAATTTTAAAAGTGTACTCTAACATGCAACGCGCAAGTAGAAGATATACAAACAACTAATAAGCGCGTCATGACGGTTCAAAAAACGTCATGGCGAAAAGCATCTGCAGCGGAGGGACGCGCACACGTTGCGCTGTTTGCGTAGAGCAAAATGAAACGCTCATTTGCTGATTGTGCGTTTCGGTTTTGGGCGTATCAGCTTCGATGACGCACTGGTATGGAATACAAACGCAGATATGCAAATAGCCGTACAAAAGCTGTACAAAATTTCGAGTTTTCCATAGGTTTGTGCACAAACATGGATGCGCCCATCAGGCATTACTTTGTACATCGAGTTAGCGCTCTAGTAATTTAATATAGCTATATGGACCCATATCACTGTGCACATGCGCAGTTCAAATACCCAACTGGTAGTGGAGACAAATGCCAAAAAAAAAGAATGGGGGTGATTTTTTTGTCCATCTTGAGACGTATTGATATTTGTAATCTTTGATATGTCTACTGCACATATTTTATAGAAAAAGTGCAAAAATCGTGGAATAAAAGTGTTGTTAAGGAAACATAATTAACATCTTTCATTTTCACTACTACAAAATCAAAACTTTAAAGGCCTTTTCCTCAGTAGTTTACTTTATGACCTGTTGATAAATGCGAGCTTTTGAACATCATAACTTGTCAATGGAATGACTGATTGAAGTGCAACAAACAGTACTGCAAGGAGAATTTCAGAATTTTATTCTCTTTCCTAATACCTGCAAAGACCCATTTCATCCTCTGCCAAATTCTGTCTCATTTTGCCAGAACGCCTCACATTTGCTGAAAAACTAATATTGAAAACTTGTACTTAAAGGGAAAATACAACATTTGCAAACATCAAAAAATAAAACTACCAAATCATTTTGAAATACCTTGCTGGACTGTTAGTGAATGTCAGTGTAAAGCATCCTGTAAAATCATGGCACCTGGTATGCTGTCATTTTCAAGAAAAGTGGTATTTTTGTATCAATTTCCAACGCTGGTCGCGTTGGGAAAAAACTGGCTTTTTTCAAATACTGGCCCCAATTGACCATCGCACTTGTTTGCAATCGATTACACACCTATGAATGGGTACAAGCCAGCTAGACTGGTTCCCTGACCTTACAATTCCCCAATTTATGTAAACTGCTCTGTTTCTTCTTATATGGAGTCAGGGAACCAGACTACTGGAAAAGGATGTTTTTCTTGGTTTTTATAGCATTTTCGAACCCAAAACCTCAAAAAAGTCAGTGTAAAGTTTGCTATATATTTCCAACCCCCAATTCCATCCATTTCTGAAAATTACAGCAAAAGCAAATGATGTATATTCCCTTTAAGACCCATTCTGTGGGTCAAATCATAAATACCTTTTTTTTTTAAATAGTCTGTAACCACCCTGTTGTTCAAAACATTGTCTCAGACTACGAGCGAGTCATCAGTCACCACATCCAACACGATGACTACCACTCCGCCCTCGAGGTCCTCCGCAAGCCCAAGGACACCGGGCTGTACTACAAGTTCTCGCCGGTCCTGATGCAGCATATTCCCAACGAGCTGGTCACTGCCTGGATTGACCTGGGCAAGACACTGGATCCGAAGAAGCTGATCCCCGCCCTGGTGCAGTACGACCACTCGGCCCAGGCCAGCCAGGTAATCTGCTGGTATTGAATTCAGGCGTTTCACAATGCAGTGCGCCACCAAGAGTTTTCCACGGAGAGTTTATTTTTCCAAGTGCATTGTGGGAGACAACCGACAAATTCACAGCGCGGGACATTTAAAACTGTTCGTTTTTCCTGTCAGTTGTTTCGTGAACATATGATTCGAGTATCTGTTTGCGCTTTTCTTTTGATCAATATGGTGTTTTTGTAAGGTGGCAGAACGCTAAGCTGCAATCTATAACAAATTATCTCAGGTTGTCTACTGACACTCATTCAAATGGGGCATGTTTTTTTTTTTACATAAACTTGAAACACAGACTCTCCATGGCAAACTCTTGGTGGCGCACTGCATTGTGAATCACCCAAACTGATTTAATTCAGCTAGTTCCAGCGAAGGTGCAGTATGACCCTGACCGTGTGGGATGCCATGGTCCAGTGGTTACGGTGTTTGACTTATGTACAATGGTACGTGGGTTCGAACCCTGCCAGGAACATAGTGTTTGTGCCCTTGGGCAAGACACTTTAATACAATTGCCTCTCTCCACCCAGGAGTATGAATGGGTACCTGTGAGGGTAGAGGACTGAATTTGCGCTGATATCGGCTGCCGCGTGGTCCCATGGCCTGATGAACAGGGTAATAATTGTAAACCGCTTTGAGATTGTTGATACGATGGAAAGTGCTATATAAGCATTACAATATTTATTTTTCACTGGGCCTAAGCCATTTCATTATGGACATTACATTCACAGTCTACTGAATAGTTTCAACAACAAAATCAAATACTTGCAGTGAAACCCATATTTGGTACAACTCTAGCGTAGACCTTAATGTATAACATGACATGGTTAATGCAGTGTTAGCTGAATTAAGTAATGAGATAGCACTTTAAATGACTGTTACGCACTCGGACATAGGTTTTGACTTTCAGTACAGATTGATGAAACTTTGTGAAGTTTCGTTGCATGAACTTAAAGAAATAACTAACTCGGTCCCAAAGGGTGCAAATCGTTTATACCTAACCCTCATCAGCTTTTCTTTACGTACCCTGCTAAATGCAACAATATCCAACACAACTGAAATATGAACCCTGCTAAATGCAACAAACTACAACATTGCGAGTGATCCCAGTATACCCCAGGCTTAGCACCAAGCAGTTACCCTGCTAAATGCAACAAGATGCAACGGTGGATTCCGTTGCATTGTGAAGTGAACCAAGTACAAACCAGCCCTGGCACCAAGCAGTTACCCTGCTAAGTGCAACCAAATGCAGCAGTGAATTTTGTTGTATCGCCTGGGCACTGTGAGCAGTTACCCTGCTAAATGCAACCAAATGCAGCAGTGAATCCTTTTGTATTGCCTTGGTACTGTGAGCAGTTACCCTGCTAAGTGCAACCAAATGCAGCAGTGGATTCTGTTGTATCGCCTTGGTACTATGAGCAGTTACCCTGTTAAATACAACAAGATGCAACAAAACACAGGGACTTGAGTTGGCTGCTGATTGCAACCAAATGCAATGGTGGATTCTATTGTATCAGCCTTGGCACTATGAGCAGTTACCCTGCTAAATGCAACAAAGCACAGGGACTTGAGTTGCCCGCTAAATGCAACAGTATATGCAACAACTTTGAAACCATTTTTGCTCTTTGTTGCAGTTAGCAGGGTAAGGTTAAAACTACCTTGTCCCCCACAAAAAAAAAGATTCCCAGCGCAGTACTTTATCAATACAAAACTAAACATCTCAGGTCCATGCCTGTCTTTCTCCCCTATAGGTTAATGAGGCAATCCGTTACTTGAGGTTCTGCACCTTAAACCTTTTCAACACGGAGCAAGCCATTCACAACTATCTACTGTCGCTGTATGCCAAGTTCCAGCCAGAGGAGCTCATGGAATACCTGGAGCAACAAGGGGATGTGAGTAGTTGATAAGGGAATAAATACGTGCTTGGCCGGAGGGGCCTGGACGCGGATAGTGGCCCAAAGGCAAGGGATATTATCAGCGACCGGCTCCCAGCTGGTTTAAGCATACTTGTTTAATACCTGCCAAGCACATATTTATTCCCATTCATACCATTAGGTCAGAAAGTCAAAATCAAAAATTATATATTTCCAACGATTTTGTTCAAAACTTTTGCTTCATGTTTTTGAAACACCCCTCTAGCTATGCTATGGTATGTGGGTCTTGCGAGAAATACAGTGGAACGCCACTATAACGAACATCACAGGATCCACAAAAATTGTTTGTAATAGCGATCGTTCGGTATAGTGATTTTAAGCTGCCGGTGCTCTGGTACTCACTTTTCAATAAATAGCGCCCTTCAGAACTTCACCCTGCACGCCCTGGTAGTTACTGAAAGACGACTTTGAACACATGCCGACTATTGAATTATGTAATTACACAGTTTTTTAGCTTACAAATTACGACAATGGGTGGCTTTCCCATTCTTTTCCTTGGGGAAGTAATAGCCACTTGTCGCTCTTGTTGACATTTTTCAACAACAGTATTTTGGTACATTTTGCACACATATATCAGGAGCCAAGGACAATGTTCGGTATAGCCAAATGTTCGGTAAGCGGTTTTTGGTATAGCAACGTTCCACTGTACTAAAAAGTCCTAATATGGAGATGGGCAAAAGCATTTGTATGACTGGCAGAGTTTGTTGTATTAATGTCTTTTGTTCAGATTGAAGACAGAGTTCATTACGATCTGAAATACGCTTTGAGACTTTGCGCTGAACACAACCACAAGAGGGCGTGCGTCCACATCTACACAACGATGGGCCTGTACGAAGAGGCAGTGGATTTAGCATTACAGGTGCGTAACTTAGATGTGTGATAATGGTTAAATAACAATAGGGCTTCACACTGCATTGTGCAACGAGCCGGTTATAGCGTAAATTTTCAGGGAAAGTTCAGGGAATGTAAATTTTCAGGGAAAGTTGATATGTTGTGCTTAACTGTGTTGCACAAGGAGTCCGTAGTTTGTAGTTTTTTGGTTGCATGTGATTAAAGCCATTAGTTCTTGTACCAAGAAAGAACTGCTGTTCTTGTAGTCTGGTTCCCTGACCCTACTTCAGACGAAACAGAGCAGTTTATAGACGTTTGGGGAATTGCCAGGTTAGGTAACCAGACTAGCTGGCTTGCACCTGTTAACGGATGTGTAACCGACTGCAAATAAAATGTGGACTAACTAAATTTAGTAAAGTGGGGTAGTATTTTGGAAAAAGTCAGGGTTTTTTTCCAACGATGGTCGGCAGACCATCTTTGGAAATTGATACGAAAATTCCACTTTTCTTGAAAATGACAGTACACCAGGTGCCATGATTTCACAGGATGCTTTAGACTATTATTCACTTACAGTCAAGTGAGGTACTTCATAATAATTTGGGAGTTTTGTTTTTTGATGTTTGCAAATGTTGTATATTACCTTTAAGCCATCAATCTGAACATTGCCAGGGATGCTACACAGAGTCAAGACATTGGCAGCATTGTATCATTACAGGTGGATGTTGATCTGGCCAAGCAGAGTGCAGAGAAGCCCGAAGACGACAACGAGTTGAAGAAGAAGCTGTGGTTGCGCATCGCCAGGCACGTTGTGGAGAAACAGAGCGATATCCAGGAAGCCATGCTGGTGCTACAGGAATGCCCTCAGATCAAGATAGAAGACATCCTGCCATTCTTTCCAGACTTTGTCACCATTGATCATTTCAAGGTACCGTGGACATTACCTCAGTTAAAGACATAGACGATCATTTGCACTTGTCCTAATTTCATGAAATGGACTGATTTAAGGGTTATTCTTCCATGTTTTGTGTCAAATGACCTATCGCGGTAGAATCGCGTCAACGCATCTTGTGGAATATTGTCCAATTACATGATATACAAATGGATGCGGAACGCGCAAAATCTGAGACAAACAAAACGTAGCGTTCAAAAATTCCGTAGGGTTGTTTACGGGGCGTGGCTAACCCGCGATCGGCGATAGGTCAATTGGTGCTGGAATAACACAAAACAACACTGTTCATTTCAAATCGTCAAAGTGCAGCTCGCAGAATCTATCATGCATAGAACACCTAGGTCACAGGAAGTGCCCGAGTGCCAGCTGTGTCGTGGGAAAGTAATACATACATATACCTAGTGTACTCCAGCCTTCGAATAGCTTATATCACCCTCGGCTTCACCTCGGGTGCCAGCGCCCCTTGGGTGTTAAAAACGCCATATCCCACATCACGGCAGTCAACAATTGTTAAATGTCGCACGATGCAATATTATTACATTTATTACGGTTGCAGGACGCCATCTGCAACTCCCTGGCTGATTACAACGAGCACATTGAATCCCTCAAGAAAGAGATGGAAGATGCTACAGACAGCGCTCAAAACATCCGAGGCGACATCCAGGAAGTCAGAAACAAGTCGGTCACATATTCCCTCCAGATTTTTATTATTTTTTTTTATTTTATTTATATCTTTCTGGTAATAAAACCAAGGATTCCTCAAAAAGCCCTAAGCATTGAAGCTTGCAAGCCTGAAGAAACCTGAAGAGAGGAGACAATGAGAAGAAATTACAGTTTTAGAGGTGGGAGGGAAACCCTAGAAGAATGTTCTGGGGGAAACCGTCAGAATCAAGTAGGGACTTGAAAACCCAATCCACATGTGGACCAGGGCAGGAATCGAACCCAGGCCACAGCGGTGGAAGGCGAGGAAAGTAACCACTGCACCAACCTGACTGAACCTTGTCAAAGTTCTTCTTTGACAAGTTGAAGGGTCTAATGTACATTCCACTCACCAAAATATTGGCAATGTTTGGGATAATTGGATGTTAATCTAACTTAAAATTCAAAGTTGCTGCTAACCAGTTTGTGTCGGATGACGTGTATACATGCAAAGGTTTTGTGGTATTCGTAGTGGATGACGGATAAACATGCAACTAGAGCGAGGCTGGGAATGTCTGTCAGCGACCTGCTCCCAGCAAGTGAGGCCAGAAATATCAGGGTGTGCTGGCCGCAGATGACGGCCTGAACCCGTCTGGCATTGAGCTTTGTGAAAACGATCCCGCGTCTAGCTCCGGTCAATGTCAAAATAATCCTGGCGCGAACTGGTTAAAGGAAAGATACGTGTAAATAAGACTTGAAGGTTGGCATGGTTAAAAGTCAAAAGATGTAAAAGTTTGCAGTTGCACAATGGAGCTACATCTCATTGTGACTGTGTGTGGTTCTGAAAAGAACTGGTTCTTTTCAGAACCAAACATTTCAGAGCAGTTTTCAAAACGCTGTCCACACTGGTTTTTGCAAATTCAATAAGGAGTTCGGTCATGTGATGCATGGGATGTTTTCCAGTTTGCCGCTTCCAACAGTTAAAATGTTGGGTTTTTTTACCCAAGGTATGGCATTGTTGGAGGCAGCCAGAAGTGTGCGTCATGTAACTATCCGCTGTTGACGCGATCATTCTACTTGTTCCCCTGCCAACACATGTTCCATGCTGATTGCTTGAATAAAGAGGTAAGTCGTTATGGGTACCTAGGATCAGTTGTTTTTTGTGCTGAGAACAATTCTTCAGAAAAACTGTTTACTGCACGGGTGAGATTTATCAGGATTTTACCTGATTTCAGGATTTCAGAAGTATCACTTTTTAAATCTCCAATCCTGGGGTTTTATACTGTAAAGCTGTTTTCACCTTTAAACTTGTATAGAAAATATAAGAAATTTATTTTATTTTATTTTATTTATTTCATATTTGAACTGGGTAGCCCATTCAGTGGAAACCACTGATCTCCCATGGGTCTTGTAAAGAGAAGACAATGTGAAGAAATTACAGTTTTAGAGGTGGGAGGAAAAGCCCAGAGGGATATTCTGGGGAAAACCCACAGAGTCAGGCAGGGACTGAAAACCCGATCCAAATGTTGGCCCAGGCGGGATTCGAACCCGGGTCACAGCGGTGGAAGGCGAGGACCGCTGCGCCAGCCTGACTCCCAAGAAATGTGTAGTTTAAGGGCTGCCTTCAAATTTCCAAATTTATTTTGTTAGGTCCTACCCCATCTGACCATGGTCAAGCGCACTCGCATGTCTGAGCTACAGAGACGACTGTCCCAGCTACAGACCCATCGATCGCCTGCCTCATCGGCGCCCTCTGGTGACGCAATAACAAAGCGGGACGAGTTGGATCAGATCAAGAACGAGTTGGACGATATCACCGCAGCCGAGTGTGTGTACTGTGGCGAGATCATGATCAAGTAAATGCTAACAATCGGTCTCATTTTTTTTATCATTATAATTCTCTGAAGTATGATTGATCTAACTGCACTGTGAAACCGAAACGTACATTCAGTAAAGGAAAGTTTCATTTTGCTCTTCTCAAACAACGCAAGCCCGTGTGCATCATACTCATCAGCATCAGTAGCCTATCCAGCTTTTGATGTCGGGGGGGGGGGGGGGGGGGGCAACCACATATCCGCGCAGAAATGTAGACATGTTTTTTTTCCTCCGGACACTTTGCCTCCGTAAAATTAAAAAACAGGGGGGGGTACCCATCTTCCAAATGAGGGTGCTCTTCAAAACTGACCATTATTATGCATACTGCAAATTATATGCTCATTTTCACAGCGCATTGTAATAGTTTTTGAGGGGGTTTTCTTTTGTGGATTGATGTCACAACTCTCTAACCATTTATTTAAATAGTTGCTGAACAAAATATTTGTCAAAAAAATCTGCCGGGGGGGGGGGAGTGCCCCCCTGCCCCCCCCCCCCCCCTGGATACGCCACTGATACAGAAAACATGCTTACCTGTTGTTCGCGTGTGTTGTACTTGCTTGTTGCATTTAGAGTGCATTATTCAAAATTTATTCCATCTTATCTCATTATGTTCTACAAACACGCACATGAAATCAAAATGTCTGCGCCCAGGGCGATATCAAAGTATCTCTCTGGGGGAATCTCTCTGGGGGAATGAGGAGTTAGCACTCTAGTAATTTAATATTGCTCTATGGTCTAAACACACAAGGCCAATAAGAATGTGTGTGATATTTGTGTATTGGGAAATGCTGTCAGTTCCCAAACTGTGTATATTTGGAAACTGCATTTTATCATATCCTCAGCATTCTAAAATTGAACCATTTTGTTTCTGTTTTCTTTGCAGATCGGTGGATAGACCTTTCATTGAGCCCGACGATTACGATGCCACGATAAAGAGCTGGGAGTAATTAATCCTGTAATCGTCACATTTTATCATAAATTTGATTTTAAAAGAGATCTTTTATTTGCCTTTCCTGTGTACCAATTTTTGCTGATAAAAAAAACCATATATTTTGTTGAATGCCAATGATGTTGCAAACCTACCTCTATGATTTGAGATTCTGTAAGGAATTATATCATGGCCGTCTTTTATTTTTAAAGGTAGAGTGGACCATTTGCCGCTATCCAAAAACTAACTTACCAAATTATTGTTAAAATGCTTACTTGGTTTAAAGAAAGTAATGACGCTAAACTCCCTGTGAAATTATTCCTTCTGGCATGCTGTCATTTTGAAGAAAACAGTAAAAGAAGGTCATTTCCAAAGATGTGTCAAGTGATACATTATTGGAAATTTCTGTTTGTAGCTGGTTTGTAATTGGGAGAATTCATGAATGGGTGCAAGCGTTGACACCATGCAGACGCCTGCGTGGCTGCTATAATTTGTCGGTTCAGTGTGTAGCTACAATCAGCTGAATGAGAATCATGTCCCGAATGCTAATTCCGGGATTGTGTCACGAGAGGGTGCAATTCAAAATACAACTCGGCAACTTTTTAAACTAAAATCGAGATCCAGAACATTGTGTTTTCTCGAAATATACAGCATTCACAGAGCTAAAACTTCATCGGGTTAGTTGTTAGCATCCGTCATTAGATTTTGAGCACTTTTGTTGCTTCAAATGAAAAAAAAATTACAAAAAGACTGATGGTCCATTCCACCTTTAACAGTCAAAGTCGTAAGAAAAAAAATTGTTTATAAGTTTGTCTTAAGATGGAAGAAGAAATAAAAGGCTATAGCTCTTGCTGTATAGACACGTATGCATTTGCAGAGCTGGAATACATTCTTTTTATATAAAACCCCAATCATAGAGAAATTATAACAAATTATTATAAATATTCAAGCTAAAATGTCTACCACCACTTTTTTTTTATAAAACTTTTGAAAATGTTGAATGAATGTTTGCAAGATGCAAGATATAATCACTATTAATTCATGTGGACATAATTTATACAATTTGCACTGAAAGATGTGAACTCAATCACTGGATGCTAGACATGATGTATCTCATAAATAAGCATTATGCCCAATTTGGTTGTAAAATTAGTTTGTAAATGCCACCTCAGAGTCATCACATCTAAAGTAATTTCCATCATGTATTTAATACAATGTTCCAAAGGCTTTAAAAAAAATGATTTTAGCTTGTCGCCAGACCCTGGTTAAATATGATCTCATGTGCAAAGAGTCAACTTATATAATTTTCAAAGATTTGCAAAAAACAAATTGCAAACACTTGCCCAATTCCCCCTATCCCCCTCCTTTTTCCCTTGAAAACCACACCCTTCATCCTTTGACCTCAAGGTTACGACACGGCAGTAATTGAAGTTGTGATATTTTGCAGTCAGTTTTGGGGAGATGTTGTGGACGATCCTGAACTCGATCGAGAGGAGTGGGAACTCTCAACACTATCAGCTCTCTGTTGAAAAACAAATTATGGATATTGTTTATAATTAAGGAATGAATTCATAAACAGGCTTTTCTTTTTAATTTATAATGTTCAAAGTGATGAAGATTAAATTCATGATACTAGATTGAATAAGAATTTGTCAACCAGATGATAAAGCCTTTCTGAATAAAATGTTCGTATTTTATTCATGAGTTACCAGAATTAAATGTTTTGATGGGTCAGTTGGATTCATACCTGAATTAGCGGTGTACGTCTGCTGCGATCAAATGGAAACACCTGTAGACAAAATAAATTATTTGAATGTGTTCATCCGAATTGAAACAATTTTCTCCTTTTCTACACCACGCAACTCTTGGAATTTCCATTGAGTAAATATCCTGTATATTGTTATTAATATACACATTGTGCATAAATCTTATGTTGTGAAACTTGAAAGATGAAGTAAAATATGTAAATTTTATGAATAACTGATTTCATTGTTTCTACCTTTGAGTTCTTTGCTGCCTCTTGCCGTTGTTGTTGACGTTGTTGTTGTTGTTGCTGTTGTTGATGCTCATAGAACTTGCGTTCGTTCTTGGTCAATGTGTAGTTTTGTGGGTACTTAGCAATATTTGCCATGTACTGTTTGTTCAACTGAAAGGCAAAAAAAAGTCTCCATTAGAAGATTATCGTCAGGCGGTGGGAGAAAGATGGAGAAACATTGTTTAATTGTTCATGGCCGTATTATCTGCTCGATGAAAGCTGCAGTATCGATCCGCTCATTGAAACAACACCTGTCACCAAGTTGTGCTTTGCATATGCAAATTAATCCAGCAAAAGTTTTGGGCCAAGCCATTCATAACATAGGGGTGGTACTACTCGACGGGGATCACAAACGTTTCTAAATGATTTTTTTTACTTCATGCAAACGCCTAGACTACACAACATTGAAGAAATTATTCTACATTTCTTCTAATTTTTTAGTCACGATAGTATTTGATTGCAGTATTTATTTTCTTCAGGGACCCCCCCCCCCCCTTGAAAAAAGTTCTCATGGTCGAAAGTTCGACTCCCAAAAAAGTGGCGTGATGCGCCATTTTCCTTCAGTGGAAAGTGAAGGAACAAGAAGTTGACATTCTCTTCGGTGACTTCTCACATTTTGGAGAGATTCGGTTTATAATGCCCCATGCGTGCGTTTATTTGACAAGCAAGACAGAGTTTTCCGGTGTTTCAACCTGAAAACTGAGGAAACGGGGTAAGTTATAGTTAGTTTGCTTTCGTTGTTTTGAGCAAGGCATTGACATTTTGTAGGCAATGACACCGGTGTCCCGTTGCCTTTTTTTTTAGCACCCCATGAATAGAACCTATTTCAAGTGAGAAATTCAGGGAACTTGATTTCATAAGCTTCGCAGTGCTGTTTGGTTTAGTATAGTGATGTAGCAACAGGGTTGGTGCTGCTGTTTTGGAGTGTTGTAATTACCTCATGCATGTCTGTTAAAAACGTGACCGTATAGTGTAGGCCTATATAAACGGTATGTTTTCCAAGCTGGAATTTAAACCGACAACGTGGTAGGCCTACATGTAATATTGCTACACCTCATACATATTAATAACCGAAAACCGAATTCAATATCGACTGTCCACCCTCAAACCATGTTATATTTGTAATACACACCGCCCACTCGTGTTCCCACTGTTGATGGCTGTAGTTGGCCTCCTTGGACAGGATCCGCCGGAGTATGGCCTGGTTCTCGTGGGTCACGCGGAGAATTTCCCTCTGTCGTTTGGTCCTGTTTAGGCTGTGTTGGGAGGTTTTTATCATCAGATGTTCCATGAAAAAAAGTCTGCTTTTCATCCTACCCCTGCTTGTACACTTCATACTGATTTTAAAATCGATGTTAAGATGAAATGTCGCACAAGTGCAAGTAAGGCTTGTTTCCTTTGATGTAACCATGTCTGTATCGTGAAGTGTTCATCAACATTTTCTGGGTCTCACTGGCACAAGCAAAAGAAGAAGTACTGTAAATGGCAGGTTTTTTTTTAAATAGGCCTAATAAGCCATAATGGCAAGATTGCAATGTTTCATAGCCCAGGCCTGTACTAATCTAAATATCTCGAGAGGTCTTATTTTGTTACTTTGGGCGTCGATAATCTGTACATGCTCATTGTTGTTCCTCCAGTAATTAGGCTTCATGCAAGGCGTCGACCCAAGTGAACCTGGGGATCTTGGGATCTTGGGACTTGACACTGATGCTTTGTTCAGTAGTGACATCGTGGAGAAAGAAGCACCACACTCACCTCTTCTGTTCGTAGTCATTCTCGCAGTCCACCCTTCCCCTCGTCCGCATGATGTAGCACATCTTCTCCAAGAGGATGCGATTGTCTCTCTCGATGATCGCAAGACGTTCCTCCTCCACCTGTAGTTTCTTCAGTTTGAGGTGCAGGTGCATGTACGTCTGAGGAGGCTTGTTGTCGATCACTGCCTGTGCTGATGAGACAGAAGGAGGAATAGCAATTTCTTAAGTGCGTAACAATAGGCTTATAACGCATACTTTTTCCTCGTCAATGAACTAGACAGTGATGCCCAGCGTAGATGTCCGTTCAGCCTCCCGAGATTCTGAGATTCTCAAGATCGGCATGTTCATATTTATTATTCCCGCGATTGGATTTTATCGAACCTTGCTTAGCTGATTGCTGAATTAGAAAGTGAACTTGTTTTTCTAAAGGCAGACTGAAACCCAGGCCTGTAGAAAGTGGAGTTACATTGTTTCAAGATTTTGTAGGTTAGCTGACCATAAAAATAGGGCACTCCGGGATAATACGCCTAACTGAATATATAGAGACGGAATCTTACCTTATTATCTCTTCACTGTACCGAGGATAAGCTATCGTATTGGTTGAATTTCAGTGGGTGGCTGGACATGGTCATGGCCAGGAACTTCTCTTAAAATGTGGAAGCGTATAGGCCTAACAGTCTCTGCTATGAAATGACTAAAACTGTGCTGCTTACCACTTCGAACTTTCTGTCTATGCCGATCAAAACGTCTGTCGTCCCATCGTTTCTTCAACAGTTTATTGTTGGCTGGTGTGATCGGCTGATACGCACGATGCATACTTTTACAAGAAACTTCACTGCCTTCTAAAGAAAAGTTAATTATGCTTAAACCCACGTAAGATCACTGTATGTATTTTTCTACCAAAACATTCGCAAGGAAAGTTAAATGGAAAATGATTGCCAAACTATATCGTAACACTTCGAATGGACAGTTCGAAAAAGAAATCACTCTCTTTTTCACTCATGCGTATCTATGTGCGTCATCAACGAACGCGTGCAATGTATACGCAGGCGATATAGAAAAAACGCGAGCGTTTACAAGCTGTGCTCGACGCGTGTGTGACGAACGCAACTTGGAAGCACGATCGTGTGGGACATCAGTGAAAGACGTTCGTCGTTTGGCGCACAACAGTGTCTGTGTGTGTGTGTGTGTTTTTTGTGTCCCGTTCAGAGAAATATAACGTAAGTTTCTTTCAAGTTTTTTGTAGCCGTACAGTCTTCACATTGATTACTTTATCGTGCACTTTAGCATTATTCAAAGGACGTATTGCCAGGCCTATTTTTAAAAAAAAGTATGACTTTTATGACCTCTTTTAATGCGTCGTACAAAGCGATCATTTTGGTCTAGCTAGGCCTATTTTAGTTTTGATTGCAAAGTAAGACAGATTGTAAGGCGTGTTATTTTCACTTAGCCTACAAATAATCATTGACCTTAACAGAAATGATATAACAGGAAGACAAAAAAAAGTTGCTGACAAATCTTCATTTTATGCCTAATCGGTTAAGCCTATGTATACTTTGCGATTAGTTAGCCCAGGAATTGCCGTGTCCTAATCATGTATAAGGAATCGCCTGGGAGGGCGGTTAGACATGTTTCTATTTGTATTGCGACTTACCTCGATCCTCACCCTTAAAGGGAACATGTAATAGGATTTTTATGACTTGAACACATTTAAAACAGCGATCTTACCGTGTTATTATGACTTTCCACCTCCTTTGTAGCAGTAAAAGGGAGAAATTTCAACATTTATGCTAATGAACATCTCCATATTCATTAGCCAAACCGTGATGTCATTCAAGGCAGAACAGTAGTGTCTCCAAAGCTTTGTGTACAAATATATTTGTACACAAAGTGATGAGGACAGTCTCTTAACCTTCACTAACCACATCAATTCCTTCCACAGAACCATCAAATTCACATCGGAGTTCTCGGCTCACCAAACCCACTTTCTGGATGTCACCGTCCGCAAGCAAGGCAACTCACTAACCACTGACCTGTATTCCAAACCCACAGACACCCACCAGTACCTCCACTCCTCCAGCTGTCACCCCAGGCACTGCAAAACTGGCATAGCGTTTAGCCAGGCACTCAGACTCAGAAGAATTTGTTCTAATGATTCCGATTTCTCCCGCCATACACAGATACTGAAGAACAACTTGGTGGCCAGGGGTCACAGCTCTCGCCAAGTTCATCGTGCCATTGCCAGAGCTAAATCTATCCCCAGAAATCAAGCTCTCACGGGAAAGGCCCCTGATGCCATGGCCAAACCCATGATTCCCTTGGTTACCACGTTTCACCCCAATCTCCCTCCCCTCCGCAAAATCACTAATGACAATCATCATATCCTCCATACTTCAGATCGCCTTGCCCGCGCCATCCCCAACGGCCCCACATTGGCTTACAGGCGTCCTCGAAATCTACGGGACTTGATTGTTCGAGCTGAAGTCCCATCCTTAGATGCATCCCCTCCCACCCAGCATGGTACTTTCAAGTGCAGTTCCAGATGTGTTGTCTGCCAGATTCATATCCAGGAGTCTGACTCCTTTTCTGGCCACTCTTCTGTCACTACCTACAGAACCATTGGTAACATCACTTGTAACACCTCTAATGTCATATATCTCATTTCTTGCAGGGTCTGTGGAGTGCAGTATGTAGGTGAGACTAAGAATACGCTCAAGAAGCGTTTCTATGCCCATCGGTCAACGGTCAACACCAAGAAACTAGACACCCCTGTTGGTCATCACTTCAACCTGCCTAATCACTCCATTTCTGATATGATTTTGCAGGGCATTGAATCTCTTGGCCATCGCAAAGAGTCAGTTCGCCTCAGCAGAGAGAAGGTGTGGATGAATCGTCTTCGAACTATTCAACCACATTGTCTCAACATCCAACTTGGAAATGATTAATCCTTTTCTTCCTCCATTGTCCTCTGTTACAGATAATCCATCTGGTCTTCCTTGTTTGTGTTAACACATCTCCCGCCATCTTTCATCCCTTTCCACCTCTATACTGTCCCCCCCCCCCCGCATCATCCCTTCACTCTCACACTCTTTTGTCCGTTCCCACTCCCTGTGACCTTTGATCCTTCCCCTTTCTGGTCCCTCCCCTGTTTACACCAGACCCCTTGTGGTTTGCCATCTCCCTTTGTTTCTTTGTTCTCTCATCCACCCTCCCCTGCATCTTTCCACACCTTTCCCTCCTAATCCTCCTTTTGTGTTTCTTCTTTCAGCCCTGCATGTTTGTGTGCACCCCCATGTTAATGTATGTATCTCTGTCATTTCTGTTTTAGCCTCTGAAGAAGAACTTGCTAAGTTCGCAACGTCAGGCCACATTAATTTTAAGACAAATATATTTCTCTGATATATATCAAACTTTCCTTCATTTTCTTGGAGTAAGTTCCACTTTTTACTTGTTTATCATGTTAAAACCGCTCGTTTGGAAAATAGTAGAGGCCAATATTTCTTCAATACTTTTTTGTGGGTAATTTTGAAGGACTAATTTTTGTACTGCTCATATGCACTTTTGACAAAGAGTTCCTGGTGTGACAAAAGCAAAATAACGCCCTCTTACATGTATTGATGAAAGCATTTGTTAATAATTGAAAAACCACCACTTTCTTGTCATTTTCAATGAAAACAAGTATCGGATCGTGTATGTACTGTTGCAACACATGCATGAAAACAAGATGAGCTGAATTTCCACTGCATTTTTCCTTAAATAACAGTACAAGACATAACCTAAACATGACCAAACTTAGCCTAAAACATCTTATGTCTGTCCAGTGTTGTCATCATGATTCCTGTGAAGAATAGCCCGTTGGAAAGTGATGAGGACCCGGCTCCTCTCTCGGCATTCCAAAGATTCGGCCGTCGGGCTACTCTTACGGCAGCCTTTGCCGGAAACACGTTTAAAAAGGTAACGTTGAAACTTTTTTGAGTGTCGGATTTATAGATTATGCCCTTTTTGTAATCTTTATGATGATTCTGAATGTAAGCATGGTAAGACATAAAAAACCTCATATAGGCCTATATATTAAAAGCGTATATTGGTGTTAATCATGACGACAAAACCATTTTGCTTTTCTTTGTCCTCACAGATGGGCATGAAAGTGAAATTAGCAAATCGCTTCGTCAAGAAGACAGAGGCTAAAACCGAGTAAGCGTGCGCATCGTTTTCAATTTGTGTGTGTGTTTCTTGTTAGGGTTAACCTTTCGTAGTCCCTTTCTGCTACTTGCAAGAGGTCATTCGTTAATTTTAGTGCTGAAATGCAAGGGTGTAGACAAGATTAGTCATTGTTGACAAAAATTAACATGAAAAGCTCAACTTTTGAATTGATTTGTCTGAATGTTTAACTCCAGCGATAATCCTTTTTTTATTATTTTTTTTTTTTTACTACAGCGGGCCAGATATTCGGAGAGTGTTTACCTTTGATCCATCAGCGGTAAGTAAAACAACAGAAAATAAATTCCATGACCTATGAATGATCTGAGTAATTAAATAACTGCATAGGCTGTCGGCATAGCAGTTTCACTGAAGATCATAATTTAGTCTGCTCAAAGTTTCAACAATCACAGCACACAATGATACCAGTCGAAACTCGAAACTTTGACAGCCGATATAGGCCTCTATACCGATACCAATTTTCACATCGAAAACAAAATGTCTGCATTATTGCCGATTTACGTCCAATCCATTTCATTGGTGGCATCCTCTTGCTACACTTATTTCAGCATCCATGACGAAACAAACATTATTATCAGTCTCTTGTTCTTTATTTAGCTCAATCGCGGTGCATCTGTTTCTGACCTCTTCGAGAAGGAAGAAAAGGAGGAAGACTTCAATGAGATTGTGGATCAAGACGATCAGAGAGTAGAAGAAGTTGTATCACAGGTATGAGTCTTGTCTTACCAGGGAATTTGAATTCTTTCTGTATAAAGATGGTTTTGTTTTCATCATTGAACTGACATTTATAGGTTTCGGTGTCAGAGAATCGGATTTGGCGTCCAAGTACATCAATGGGTCAGTAGGTTTCGTTCACACGTACGTACTTTCACTATTTTGGATGGAGAATATATCCATATAATGCATGGGTTTTTCCACTGCTAATTAAAAGGCCCATACAATGTCATTGTTTTAATGATATCCTTGAAAATGCACCTTTGTGTCACATTTAACCTTATTTTCAATTTTCATTTTGCCATTTTCAAGGATATGTTGGTGCCTTTTTGTGGTTATTATGCTTATGCGAATTTCCATATTCATAAGCAAAAGTGAGATGTCATTTTAGGCAGAAACCTCAAAATGTTGCAGCCATTTCAGAACGAAAAGTTGCTAGAATTTTTTGTGTCGGGATGTTTTTTGTTCATTAGTGATTGTTGTGTCAGTTCATGGCAGTAAGCCAATGAACAATTGTTCTCAATGAGCAAATGCTGGGGTTCACAATTTGAACAGAAAAATCCTAAACTGAACGGTGTCTTCCTGAAATGACATCACAGCAACAGCGCATTGGACAATTTTAAATATTTAAAGAAGTGCACTTTTAAATAGAATTTACCCAATGCTAATGTCAAATAGTTTTCATACATTTAAAAGAAGTAGAAAGTTGCAAAAAAATGTATTCCTAAGAAAAATCACCTCATAGACTCTTTCATTATGTGAAAAGATTGAATTTTTCTTGTGATTTTCCCCATTAAGGGTTTGGTGGGTTACATGGTTGAGAGTGTCGCCTTCCGTTTCTTCATCCTGGCCGTGATCATAGTTAATGCCATCCTCATTGTTCTTCAAACAAATGAAGATCTTGTAAGTACAAACATTATGAGGCTATGACTTGTGCATCCCGTCACTGATATTTTGACTTTGAGTAACCAGAATTGTCAAGGGAATTTGTTTCAAGAAGCTATATAATAGGGTGTCGCTTATTTCTGAGTCAGATCCCATGTGGTCTAGTGGTTAGGATTCGTGGTTTTCACCCACGCGGCCCGGGTTCGATTCCCGGCATGGGAATTTCGATTTTTTTTTTGATTTTTTTTTATTTAACATATCTTTAAAACATGAATGTGAATAAAATATTTTTGTGCAACACACTGCAGGTCACAATGGTTAGGTTTCGTGGGTCTCACCCACGCTGACCGGGTTCGATTTCCGACATGAGTACCCCTTTTTTGATTTTTGAAAAATAACTGCTAAAAATGTTAAAATGTGACTTTATGCGGCGAGATCCATGTCGTTTTGTTGCTGGGATTCGTGGTTTTTATCCACGCCATTTCGTTTCGATTCTCGATATGAGACCTTTCGTGTATTTAGATTCTTTTCCACGAAAAATTAATCCTACTTGGGATTTGTTCGTCAATCTGCAATTAGGATCAATACATCTAACTGTTACAAGGCCATTGATTAGGGAGTTCAATTACCTTAAGGCCAAAAAAAAATTAATAAGTCGGTCTCTGGTCAGCGCGCGCGTCGATTTTAATCATGCGCGTCGATCTTTTTTTTTTCCAAAATGTTCCGCGGTATCTCCAACAGCGCCCTCTATTTCCGCACCTCCTCAATTTTTTTTTTACCAAGGAGCACCAAGGAATGGGAAATTGCACCAAGGCAAATGTTCGAAAGCACCAAGGCAAATTATGGAGGACAGCAATGTACATGAGGACACCAAAAAAGCAAAATAGTACCCCACCTTGTCTGTACAATCCAAGCTTGAAGAAAAAAAGAAAAAAAGCCAAAAAAAAAAAAAAAAAGCCGCGTGGCTGCGTCAATTCCGGAACTTTGGTCTGACCAGAGACCGAATATTATTTTTTTTTGGCCTTACTGGGCAACCACTTAAACCCGAAAATGTATTACTGTTGCTTGGGTGCATACCTATGTTCCCCAATACCGATGTTCCCCAATACCGATGTTCCCCGAAATCCTAACCATATAACCCTAACCCAAACCCTAACCCTAACCTTAACCCTAATCCTGAGGATTTCGGGGAACATCGGTATTGGGGAACATAGTATTGGGGAACATCGGGTAGACCCCCTGTTGCTTTTGGTTGGTCGATAATTCGTACACCCCATCAAATTTGGGCAAACGACGCTCGTGGCTGTCTGTCTATATTTTGGAGATTTTATTAGATATTTTATTTTGTATTAACGCGAATAGTCGTTGGACTACGCCTGGCTCTTCTCCATCTTCGACTACATCGTGCTGACAATCTTCGTCTGGGAACTCCTCCTCAAGTGGTACAACGGCTTCTTCATCTACTGGAGGGTGGGCTGGAACATCTTGGATTTCTTCATCATCCTCACCTTGTTCCTTGGACCAAGTGAGTATCTAGTTGCCGGGGTAATCTTAATCATTTGAATGGGAGTGTTTTCTCTTTTTTCCACCGATGCCGCAATTCAAAAGCCAAAAGAATTTAAAACAAAAAAAAGAATCTTTTTATTTTAAGATGACCCTTGAAAAACAAGGAATGCGAGTGAGAATGCGAGTGAAAATGAGAGTGCGGAAAGTCGAAGAGCTTGGTTTTTTGGGGGTTTTTTTTGGCGTTGTGCTGAAGGTTGCTTGACTGTTGCGTAGTTTCAAGATCCCATGTGGTCTAGTGGTTAGGATTCGTGGCTCTCACCCACGCGGCCCGGGTTCGATTCCCGGCATGGGAATGTTTTGGGGGGTTTTTTTCGAGTGAGATTGCAAATCGATCTAACTGAGTTGGGAGAGGATTTTTGGGGGGGGGGCATGAGAGGGCCCATTTGAACCAGTTATTAGCCACAATTTGGGCCACCCGTAGTCTTTTTCAGGAAGACCATAAAAAGATTAAATAACTTGCGGCAGAGCAACAGAAAAAATCTTCAAGATAAAGCATAAATCGTTTTTCTTCTTACTCGACACGGCTCTGATAGAGAGGAATGAACATCATGTGCGTGTGATGACGGAGATTGCCCAAAACAAACCTAGAAGAAACATTGTGAAATCCATGGAGAAAAAAAACATGGCGCTGTTTAACCTCGCATACTATTTTTGAGAACTGTTAATAATCCTCTGTGATGACTCAGGGTTATCAGCAACATGTAACGCCATCTATATCATGTGACAGTTTATGCGTGAATATGTAATGAACACCTGGCAACCGTCTTCATTGTTTGAAGTGCATGGAAATGATATAGCAACCGCAGAGGATGCGCCGGCATAAACCAGTTTTAAAAGGGAAGACTTTCGTGAATCCCATGTGGTCTAGTGGTTAGGATTCGTGGTTTTCACCCACGCGGCCCGGGTTCGATTCCCGGCATGGGAAAATTTTTTTTGTAATCACAATGTCAAAAGTTGAGCGTAAAGTGAAAGTATTTTGGTGGGGGGGGGGAGTATGTTTTTATAATTGAACCGAAGAGGTGGAATAAAGATGATGAAATGGAAGTAGATTGAACTAAAATAGAAAAAAAAAACATTTCAAGCCACCAGGACTTTGTATCTGGCTGCCCTATAATAAAGCAACCATCAGGCAAAGCAATACAGAGTCAATATTGCAACACAATCCGCCAAAATCTTGGGGTGGACCCCCTAGCAGAGCATGCCTTCGGCACGCCTTCCTCAACCCCCGGCCCCCTCCCCCCATATTCCCCCCTCCCCCTTTCCGGAAAGTTAGATCCACCCCGCCTGTACAAACATTCTGTAAAATGTGGCTTGCCACGCGACAAGGCGCAGGGCTAATTATCCTCTTCCTGTCTTGATGGCTTAATGTTACCATAGCAACAGTAAGCACTGTTTCTATACATGCATGGTAACGATGAATATGCAACACCCGACACCTATCGCTGCCACAGGGCTGATAATGATGACGTTTCATCAGCATCGACCGAAACGGACGTGCGCAGAAGCCAGGCAGGGTTACTCATCGAATAAAACTAATTGCAATCGAGCTATATTCAGAGATCCCATGTGGTCTAGTGGTTAGGATTCGTGGTTTTCACCCACGCGGCCCGGGTTCGATTCCCGGCATGGGAAGCAATTATTTTTACATATAATCTTTTAATATTTTCATTGTTATTTTTATCGGCTTACAGGATAATTAACGTGTATTTCTCTACTTGTCCACCATTATTCAGCACTTTCGTTTCTCGGAAGCAGTCGAATTTTGAGGATTCTTCGTGTTATACGTGCTTTTAGAAGTTTGAAGAGGTAAATACATAATATTCATGCCAGATATTTTACACAGTCATTAGAATAATGTGTGGTTCCGATATCGCGTGACAAATGACAAGCCTGGGTCTGTGTTGTTCAAGACAGGCCAAATGATGCACTTACTTATGAACATTTTTAGCAAATCTAATGATGTTATTTCAAACAAGTTTTTGTTTCCTTGGTGGAATCACTTTAATTTTATTCTTTGGTACTTGTTATTTTTTGCAGTATTAGCGCCCTCAGCGGCCTAACAGTTGTTGTACAGACAATTCTGCAGTCTATTCCAGGTAAATTGGTCTTATAATCGAACAAAAATCAAAGGAATTGGCTTTAAAATAGATACACGGTCAATCACCAAAATCTCTCATAAAATTACTTTATTGATGGAAACGTAATATCATTTCATTATCCATTTTTTTTAAATTCAATATTTTCCTTGGCGCAGTTGATTAATATAACGGCTGTAAAGTTTCACTTGACTTGGGCCTATCTCAAAGAAAGGACATTTAAATAAAATATCACAAAGTTCTACAAACCCAATGAAAGTTCTTTATCTAGGAGTAAAGTACTGAATCCGTTTTTAAGGTAGATAAGACCATTTGCTTTATGTGGTGTTGTTGTTTTTTTTTCGTTTCAGGGAAAAATAATGCTCAAGATCATAATTAGATAGCATGCATAACAACCTGTTTAAGTTTTGAGCACAGTAGATACGGTATACGTTTCGATAAAAACTATGAAAAGTTTTTTCCGTTTTTTTCTACGTAGGTCTCATAATTGCCCGTTGCTGGCGCTACATTTGGTTTTGGTTATGGTTATGGTTTATTTTTTCATATGATAGCACAAACAACATAATAAACAGGAAACCATATAAATAATGACAAACAATGATATGAGGGATCCAGGTAAAAAGCATATGCTTGTACAAGACCTAGAATCCGTAATTACAAATTAAGCTAATAAATTAATATGTAAATACAATAGGCTGAATTCTATCAGGTAAATACTTTTCGATCGAAAAGTTGCCTTTTCATATTTTGAATCACAGAAACCCTCTCGTATACAGTCTCTTAACAAGCACTCGGGACATCTGTATGATTCTCAGTCAGTGTTCCTACCGCTGATCCGTTAATGTTTTATGTTACAAAGTTTCTTTTAAATTTCATCAACAGTTGATGAATAATCACTGTCATAAATGCCATCTCGCTCCTCAGATATGACCAACATTGCCCTTCTGCTGGTCATCATCATGGTGGTGCTTAGCGTGGCTGGGGTGGCGCTCTTCAGTCGGGACTTCCCCGCCTACTTTGGAAATCTGGGAGAAGGTAACATGTTTTCCTTTCTCGTTAATCAAAAAAGTTAAATTATTTAAAAATAATTTAAAAAGATGTACAAGAAAGTAAGGCAGCCGTTTCATGGACTTATTTAATGATTTGTTTTCCACTGTCTACAGCGATGTTCACAATGTTCGTGTGTGTTACGCAAGATGGATGGATGGGGATGTTTAACCAATTTCAGGTAATAATTTGAAATTTATATATTGTTATCTTTTAAGATACATTTCAGCTTTATAATCTTAGAAATGTTTTATAAATATGGGGGAAAACTGTTATGTCCACCGAGGTGTCTATCTTACAAAACCAGTGTTTTAGAAAACAAGTGATAACCAAAGTTAAGCAACCACTGCGACCTATAATAACAGTATTTTATCTACTAATAAAACAGTATGGAAATGAGTAAAATGAGAGACAAATCTACTTTGTAAAACAACATGGCAACACAGAAGCGCAGTTACAAATGCTACTTTTATGACATCGGATTACGTAAGATCCCATGTGGTCTAGTGGTTAGGATTCGTGGTTTTCACCCACGCGGCCCGGGTTCAATTCCCGGCATGGGAATTTTTGTTCATAATCATTTTTTTGGAAACTACAAACGTATCTTGTAATTCTTTTGTAAAAAGAAAATGAAGCAGATTTATCATACAAATCGCACGCGGTCTAGCGGTTATGAATTTCACCCACGAGGTTCGATTCACGACATGGGTGTTATTTTTCTAACATTTCTGAAAAATAATTATTAATGTGATTATGTGAATGCTTAAACAACAATGTAGGCCTCATGAAACGAAACGAAATGCGACTGTTTTGCCAACTGATATTGTGGTTAATCTTTTTTTAATCATATCTATTTTAAAAAAAAATTTTAAAAAGTTAACAAAAGGCAAGTTTGATTAACACACCATGTGGTCTGATGGAATTTGAAGTAATAAATACATGCAAACGAAAACTTGCAAAACAAAAATGCAAGCAATTTGCCAACATATCCCATGTGCTAGTAGTTAGGATTGGTGGCTCTCACCCACGCGGCCCAGGTTCGATTCCAAGCACGGAAATTTGTTGGGGTTGAGGATTCAAGTTTGTTGGGGTTTTTTCAATCACGTATGGCAACTTAAGATAAAGTAAAAGTTAAGCGATTACATGTTCCTTTTCCAGGAGTCACCCAACCACTACTTGGCAGGTGCCTGCTATTTCATCGTCTGCATCATCGTCGGTGCGTTCGTCTTTGCTAATCTCGTTGTCGCCGTAGTTGTCACAAACCTGGTAGGATTCTAACCGAACACAAATACTGTTGTTTTTAAACAAATTATAATTGCTGCCACACGCGACATTTTAATGAATACACTAGAACATAAGCCGGTGCTATACGCACGGGAAGTGAGTTATAAGCATGCTGAAAATGGTAATTATAAGGTTTTGAGTTGTCAGCTGCTGCATAGTTATTCTGACATAGACAGCCCAGTGTTTTCCTGAAATGAATGAGGGGAAAGAAGATATGGGAAAGGCATGCTTAGTAGATAATTTCAAGCACAGGGCTCGTGTGATGATGGAAGCTACATGTATTTAGGATGCTGTTGCAATGAGACTACCAGAGACACACCAAAAAATATTGTTGACAAAGCATCAGCATGACTGCTGTGCATTATTATGCTGTTGTGCAGGATGGTAAGTGAAAGTATCCAATTAATTAATTTGTGGACGGTTTATTAATGGACAAAATGTCGCCTGTCCCGCCTTCTGACCACTTTAGCCAATGTTTTTTGAGGAAAAAATGGTGGTGTACTCATTGCCTGCCTTTATTGCGACGTCACATAAAACAAAACAATTGGTTTCGGTGTGGGGGTTTTTTTTGGGGGGGGGGCATGGCCCCCTTTGCCCCCCCCCCCCCCCCCGATCCGCCCTTGCTCTCCAGGTGTATATTTGGGCCTACCTGCATGGTGTCATGTTGTGCTAGTGTTATAAATTCCAATACGCATGTATTCAAAATACAAGCCTTTATTTATACAGAACGCATGCGAATTTGGTTTACAAAGAAGGCAACTAAGTTTACCCGTGTTTCTGTATTATTCAGGACAAAGCGATAAGAGAAATCCAAGCCGAGAACAAGAAGAGGGAGGACACGCTGTCAACCAAGCCAGTCGTTGAAGACGATGGTAAACATGAGATGTATTATAGATAACAGTCAAAAACACATCAGGGGGAAAAAGGCGAAGCACGTTTTGGTTTAAAAAAAAGAAGAGTAATTTCAAGCATTCAGATTGGATTTCGTGCCGTCTTTGTATTATGACAGTAATGGTGAGTGCAATGAATGGAAGCCTGTGATGATAGAGTCACGAGAGATACAGAAGCCAAGAGATTTCCCAATTTTCGCAAACCAAAAAGCATTGCTTGTATCAGGCGCCTTTTCAAACGAGACAAACGAAAACAAAAGATGATTATTGCTAAAACTTTATTGAGAAGCTGCTGAAAACGATTGCGGATTATTGGAGTGCCATAAAATATACGTTTTGCAAAGTAAGAATTAGTGGGCTTACCGTTCCGATCCCAGTAGGATCTTTTATGAAGGCAAAATAATTGGGAACAAGCAACGCACAATGAGGAAACAATGCACGGAGGAAAGGAACATGACAAAGGAAGGGCAAGTGGGGATGCAGGGAGAAACTGGGCTGGGCAGAAAAGGAAAAGGGGATTTGGGTGTGAAGAGAAGGGACAGTGGACTGCGAAAGCATACAGGAACAAAGGAAGGAGGTATTACCTAAGAGAGATGGTCAAATGAAATAAGAAGTTATGACGTCAGTTTGTTTTCTTGGCGCAGAGCATCCTCATCACCTGGAGCATGATGTACCGATCGTCAGCATGGACGGAGTCTGCAAGCATGGCAACCTCACCCAACAGAAACCACTGTTCTTTGGAGTAAGCTGCTACTGAAAATCTTCTTTTTTAAGATCGTGGCTGCTAAGTTCGCTTTTGGATTTGGAATGTTTAACGAACGAGTATCATCGGCAACTTCCTCCTGTTTATCGGTGTTTTGATTTTTTTTTTTAAATAATCTTGATAATTTTAATCGAAAAGGGCCCCCTTTATGGATTGTGTTTTGTTTTTTTTTACATAAATGCGGAAAAGTTTGATAAGTACAACAGATTCTAATTGATATTATTTTTGGCTATGCCAAACTTCGACGTAAAAAATTGTATTCCCACGCCGGGAATCGAACCCGGGCCGCGTGGGTGAAAACCACGAATCCTAACCACTAGACCACATGGGATGCCACGCATGATTAACAAATGTTTATCGTACGTGTATCATCGGTAAATTGTTCGGCTAAGTGATGAAAACTAAGCCTCTTTTGTAATTTGATGAAGATGCATCTGACGAAGTTGCATCTGATGAAGTGGTTGTCGCTGCGAAAACTTGTACAAACTTTCAGTTTCATTCTCATTTGAGTGATACTAAACTTTGATTTTCTATTTTTTTTTCTACAACACACACTACTTTTTCTTCTATAGTACCCCTATATAATTCTAATATACATGATACAACCAAAATGTCTTTCCCACCAAAACACACAAAGAAAATAACTTTCCCATGCCGGGAATCGAACCCAGGCCGCGTGGGTGAAAACCACGAATCATAACCACTAGACCACATGGGAATTCGTAAACCAACATTCAATTGCTTTGGTCAAAATACCGCGGGAAACAATCGGTTTCAAGGAACTGTTGCTTTTTTATTTCTTGTATATAATTTTCAAATCTTATTAATGGACCTTAATCGAATAATTTCCTCTTTTTTCTTCGTTTTTAAGGATTTTTCCCACATTACTCCAGAGAAGTTCGAAAACTACATCGTGGTTTTGACGGCACTAGAGGAAAATCTGGTGGAATACAGAAGAATACGCGACGATTTGGACAAGGTAAATTATTGCGAGGAGTTTTGGTGACTGATTTCACCTTACGTATGCATAATAATTATGAAGAAACATTAGAGATTTCTAAGCTCGGTTTTTACTCCTTACACCTTTGCAGATATTCGAGCTGGTGTATTCCATCAATGAAGACACGAAGGAGGACGCCATGCCCACAGATGGTTCCCGCATCACACCACCGTTCGATCCCAGCTTCAAAGTGGAGGACATTGGAGTAGGTTCCAGAGGCATAGATGGGAACCACTCTGCAGGAGGGGCGGGGTTACTTGTTTTCTGGAAGGACATCTATTCGCGTTTTTGTAGTGTTCCAACAAAATAAAAAATAAAAATTTCTTCTCAAAACTGTGCGGGGGGGGGGGACCAAGAGGCACATGGGTGCTTAGAGAGAACTGTACCCCATTTAGTTACATCATTTGTATGTTTCATTACCGCAACACCATCAAATCGACCAGATTGATCCCGCCCCCTCCCCTGATTGAAATTTATGCCAAGGACGAAGGTTTTACAACATCATGTTTTTCCTACTTCAACTAAATGTCTTCATGTTCACTAAAGTTTCCTCTCGCCCTATGAATACATTTTCCTTAGCGCAAGGGAGACATTCTGTCCAACCTGATGGAGCTGGACAGACACAAAGGCGTATCATCAGGCAAGCCAGCGGACAGCTACCGCCAGTACATCAAGGAGACGGCCAAGATCCTGGACCAGTTGGGCCAAGCACACCAACCACATTTGCCAGGCTCAATAGTCGACCCCTCCGATATACCGGGACCTTCCTCCGGTAGGAAAGGAGACAGGAATTAGCAGATTGGATCCAAGTTACTTTCCACGACTTTCTTTGGTCCACGTTTTAGCTTCTGATCTTCACATATTGTTTTTTGTTCGAAACATAAGGCTACGATGAAACAGGAAATGTCTACCAGGCCTGTTGTTGGCTTGTGATGTTCGCTTCACTTGAAGCATAAACCGACAGTTAAAGAGGGAGATTGGAATAAACCAGCCAGTGTTGAAAATATGAACACATAATGTAGTTTTGAACGAGTTCCTGTTGTTTTTGTGATGCAATGTACGTAAAACAAATCTTCCAAATTGAAATAAAATGTACAATTGGATCGAAACGTATGTCCGATCTGGACAAGGTGTGTCTCTTGTTTGTTTGCAGTTGTTATGGTTTAACAACAAAAACGACCGACAGACATTTGTTTAATGACTTGAACCTTTGTTTTCAATCAAATTTAAGTCATATTTGGAAAGGTACCACAGCGAAACCTCTTTGGTATTTTCATCTGCAGAATCGAGTGGCGGATGGTAGGGAGAGAGAACTTCCAATCAATCACTAGTTTCATTTGATACTGGGTGGGGAGATAGACGTACTTCAGAATTTCACTTCAGAAAAATACCCTGTATACAAAAACCTGTTTTACTGCTTGTTTATTACACCCTCATGATTTAAAACAACGAAATTAATTTCCAAATTTCTGGAGTAATTGTGCTTCTCTAATCTACAATTTTGTTTTTACACATTTACTATTTTTGTGACTATGTAGAATTATATATTTACTTTATCAATTCAATTAACAAGTATGCAACATAAAACAATTATTTTACACAAAAATACGAAATAATTACAGCAAGATTACATCGATATGGCATTAAATAAAACACATCTGCATATAATACGCCTGCATTAAAAAATAATTTTCATGAAAGTGATTCTTTTTTACTAATACACAATATTCCTTCAGTTTAATAAAACAAAATCTTGCAGACAAGATGAAGATTCTTCTTTTCTTGAAATATGCATCATTAGCCAAATATACTCTACCCGTTCAAAGGAAAGACAAAACTTTTCAAACCATAAGAAAGGGAGGAATGTTTTATGGGAATTTTCAACAAAACATGAATCAAAAATACAACACAATGTAGTACGTTCCTACATGTATAACCCCCATATTCCTACAATTTTTTTTCGTGGATTCGGGTCTTGTTTATTGGGGTTGTTTACATGCAAAATATCCCAAGGTCACTAGAACTACCCTAATAAAATTGAAAATTTACAATTAAAATAATTTTTTTTTTTTAAATTAAGAAACATAATTTATGAATGTTCATGGAAAAAAGCTCAAACATCCACACATAATTGATATAATATACAAATTGCGACAGAAAAAAAATGGACATTTCATAACAGCATAGATCCTGTAACAGATAGAATAGATTTGTGCAGTAAAGATGTGCTGTACTGCATTGAGGGAGAGTTTGCATTTCGAATTGGTATTTTGTGAAGTTTAATGCAAACTCTCTCACAATGCCACACAACAGATATCTCCCTTACACATTTCTGCTGTGACAGCTATCTGTCGCCCATACACAAAATAAACAGAATAAACCCTCCACTGTACATACCATCATTAGCCTAGATCTTTTATTCTATACAGTTCTATAGATACATATTTTGTTATAAAACAGTTTATTGCCCAAAGAAAACTTTCTGTGGTTTTCCGCTAGTGGCATTAGGAGCCGTGATACAGATGCAGTCCAGTATCTGGGATCTGGGCCTGTTTATGAGGCCACCCGGCTACGTACAATGCATGAATGTAGCCTGCCACACACAAAAACAATGTCCTATCCCAATTTACAAATGTTATTAGCATGCGAGTCAAGTTCTGCCTTTGAAGTAGGATTATAAAATACTGAGCTTGCAATTATTTGTACTCAGTGGCCTAACTACAGGGGGGGGGGGGCAGTGGAGCCCCTAGACCCCTTAGAAGTTTAACCCCAGTTACACCCCTGTTCGTACCGCATCATGTGATTCATGGTGAAAAGACGATTTGGCAGAAATATCCAGCAGAATATCAAATGCAGAATAGACAAATTTTGCAATTTTCACCCGGTCAGCCTTGGTAGAGAGGCGCTTTCGATCAGTCTAGCGCAATGGCGATATCAAAACCAAGAATGAGTTCACTATGATCAAGAGAAAGCCAATGATGTCCAATACAGGATCATGTATTGGTTTATCCTTGTTGGTTTGGGGGGGGGGGGTTCTTGCATTATCAGTGATAAAACATGATACAAAAACCACATTAATCAAATCCTAAGCACTTTCTAGCAAAAAGAAACATTAATTTTCAAACATTCTATCATCTCAATTTTGTTGCATGCCTTGCAACGGTTCCGATGAACTTTGCATATCTTTTTTCCGCAGAGATAAATATAATTATCGGCACTAGCATTACATGCAATCCCTTTTTTAAAACAGAAATAAATACAGCATACCTATCTTACGTTAAAATCTACAGAGTGATTTTAGTCGAACGAATAAGGCTTGAGCAAAATCAAACCTAAAATGGAATCATACCTCAACTTTTTGAAAAATATACTTCCCTGTCATAACGATCTACAACTGCAATCAATTTATTTACATCATGACTTGCTTCTCCCAAACTAACATATTTTTTTTGGCCAGGAAATTTGTAGTCAATTCTGAATTGAATGACTTCTTGAATCCGAGGAACCAACTTCGCCCAAGCCTAACACGAACGACAAAGCCAGTGCACAGACTCCATACCAAATACCTAGTTGAATGTGCACCATAATTTTGCCCTTCCCTGATAGCATACACACCCGTGGTACACTACTCCAATTCGCTGGTAGAACTTGCCTCCAGGTTATTCCCTCTGCAAAAAGCAAACCAAAGACAGACAGCGTTTTGTCATCAAACTCTTCATTTACAAACTACGTGTGAAAGAATGCTCCATTATGTACACAGCCAATGTCTGTGAATGATACCAGTTGATGTGATAAACAAAACAAAAAATGGACACAGTGAATTTGCTGGGAAAAAATCTTATGATTAAAATACGCCATTAAAATTACCATCACCAAATAAAAGCTGGGGTTTTTTTCAGGTCGGTAAAGCTGTAATGCAATATATTTAAACATGCAGGGTCACTGGATTTGATGGAGATATTAAAGTGCAACACTCTTTTATCCAGTAAAACACACTTTTTAAGAGCAATTTTTTTGTTACTTGAAAACAAAAAACTTACACCTGAATCTCAAATCTGAAACGAGCACATGTACTTTTGACGGTCTGCTCAGTTTCAAAATTAGTGAAATATTCTTCATTACGTTTTATATGAATGATTATAAGCAGTATATACTTGAAAGAAAAAAAGCTTAAGTTTGTAGTGAGATGCATGAATTAGCAGCCCGCAACAAACAAGCCTGTTTATTGTTAATTCAGAGAAAAAATAATTGCATCATGATTACTAATTTGCTGAAAATATGGACGGAAGGTGTAATGTCAAGAAAAGCATCTTTTGGGGTTTTTTTTGTGTTGATTTTGTGGAATGATGCATAAGATGACCGGCCCATGATGCAACACACACACAGAGGAAAAAATGAGAACATGCAGACATTTCACAGCTAAAGCACTTTTATATTGAACACACATGTATCATGCATGTATCCACAAGGCATTCTGTTCAAAATAAACACAAGTTGAGTTTGTTTGCAAGGCTTTTCCCCCAATACTCAGTAAGTTGGGCTTTAAAGCCGAGCTCGGTCTGTATTTTTCTTTTTTAGGAAGCTTTTTTATCCCACAAAAATAAAATTAATATTTGTGCAGAAAAAAAAGAATCTTGTTTTACATCGCAACAAGAAGGCAAATGTGAAGCTGTAGCAGTCCCATATGCAGCAAAATAAAGCACATCAAAAAGGTGGATAGTTATCTCGGTTTATAACATGGGCGGTACAACTAGAAGTTTTGACTTGAAGCAAAAAGGCTTAAAATACATGATAACCTAAGCTTATGTTGATTGCAGTTGCTATTAAGCTAGATTTTTCCCCTTCTTCCTCTGGCCAGCTAAGCACTATTACAAATGACAATGGCATTATTGCCATGTATTGTTGCTATAGCAAGACAACTGCAATGGAAGACCTTTATTGTGAAATTTTCAGAAGCAAAATGTTATTCACAGCAAAAGGCAAGCAAGCATGTTGCGATGAAACTAATGAAATGTTGTAATGGAAAATGTTAATGGAAACAAAAGTTCAATGAATGGGAGGTTTGCGATAACACGGTAACACCATGTGAATGATATCTCTTTGTGAGTTGTGTGGTTCTGAGAACTAGTTGGTTTAACTCAACGTTTCAAACAGTATGCTCTGTTTGTCATCAGGAGAAAAAGAAACAAAAGTTGAGACAAAACTTTACAAAGTAGGCCTATGTGTATGAAGCAGGCATTCGTGTTCAAAAGCAGCATAGATTTCTGGTTTATTGAAAACTGTAATGCGTTTATTGTTATGCTGCGATCTGTGGTAATTACCGGTATTGAGGCTGGCAATGTCATTTAATCGGTAACATTTTGGAATGGAATTTTGAATGGATATGAAATTCTTATTCATTTCAAGATGCACTGCTGCGTAACTTCAATAACTGATCACTTCCAATTTATTATTTCACAGAAGGATAATCGTTATGAGACAAACAGAAGAAAAAAAGAAACCAACTTTGGAATTGATTGGGAACTTCTAATCCATGAAGTATAGCAAAAGGTTTTTTAAAAGACCTCGTCACCAATTGTTTTTCCAAAAATAAAAGCAATTCGTGCAAAATCACAAAGGCAGATTGCATGCTACATGAACCTACACTACTTACATATCGCACCAACAGGAGGGGGGTTATTTTCATTACTGACCTCAACTGCCAATGGGCCTTGCCTGTGAGACAGTAGGAGTAGGGGAAGGGGTGACAGACACAGTGATACACGCAGGGGTAAAGAGAAAGAGTGCAAGGGAGGGGTGAAAGAAACAGAACACACTATGAGACTCCACCTTGCAAGACATGTTCATCAAACACACTTTGGACAGAATAGAACAAACTCAAAACAATTTTTCGTTTTTCCATGTCCACCAAATAAATGAATAGCTGTGGGTTGCTGCCTGACAAACATGTTTCCAAATGAAAAGTTTTCAAAACCAAATGAAATACGTTATTTTTGTTATTTTTAGTGAGGCAAATGTTAGTTAGTTTACTGCAATCAAAGACATTTTGCAGTTGCGAGGTTATTCTGTTCAGAAATTGTGAGTACCGTTTTTAGTTAAAACACATAATTTCTGCCATGTCTGCACAATCCTTTCTTGGTAATTCTCAACCAACTTTACGGTAAAGATTTTCAAAAGGAAAAACAAAAACAAATCGCATGAGCTAACTTTCAAACTGATATCTCTCTTTATCATAAGCTTGTTGTTGTTGTACCCCGGAATGGTAAACATTGGCAATTTCTTTTCTTCACTTTAGTCTGATAAACATGGTTCAGAATGTATGTCAACTGTCTGAATGTTTTTCCAAACTGATAATGAAACTCATTAGGATGCCTTATACTCTCGGCCAAAACAAAATACTTCTGACCGGAATTTCCCCTCACCAGACATAAATCATGAGATTTCGTTCGACAACATGCACTTGTACTTTGTGGAAGTTCACAGTCATGACAGAAACCTGTGTTGAGACACAAACTCAAGCTGGACGCTAAATCTCCAAGAGAAGGTAGTGCTACCAATGTCCCAAGAGTTAGAACTAGTTTGTTATTTTGTAGCAAAATTATACCGAAAAATAATCTTTGTCAGCGTAAAAGTTCTTCATCTCACCTCGTAACTTCCATGACCATTTTGCTAAGAGTGACTTTCTACAATTCCTCAAAGTCTGTTACTCTAGACATTGCAGTGTGTGAGTCAATACACGCAATAGAACTAAAAAGGTCCGGGAAACAGAATAAAAAAGATCCTAGTGTCACCTTTTTGTTTTTGGTTTCGACAGTATTGAGTGTTGCTAGTATTTCATGTGGTGAAGGTTTCCATGTATGTGATTTAAATTCCTTCTTATCTTGTGTTCATTTTTCTTTGAGCCACAGAACATCGCTCTAAAGGGCTGAGAAAATGACCTCATTTTTGATTAAGATACACCAATGCAAACGTTTCATGAGGATACCAAGATGTCTTTTTCTGTTTTCCCATGGCATGCCGACTCCACAGGTTCTTCCCAGCATGCCTTGTCAAATCTTCACATTTTCAGACCTCACATACAACGGGTCACACTTTTAGGCAGTCTTAAACCCGGTTAAGACAGGCGTTCCAGAATTGCGCCGTACCAAATTAAAGACAATATTTGAATTAAGTACATGAAAAGTCCGACGTCTGAAACAATTAGGAGCGATAAGACGCGCTAGATGACGAAAGATCGACTGTTGGAGTCATTCAGAACGACACATGACTCATGTCAGTCCTAATCAATTTGGTTCGACGTGACTCCAGAACACCTGTCTGAACCGGGGGGGTTAAAACTCACTACACAACTGTAACACATATATGTACACAGCAAATCAACATATCGATGTTCATAAGCCTATCACCCCGGTCAGCCGGTAGTTGGCATTCTTGGGAGACATTCTGATTATGTGACAGTGCATGCTACTTCAACATTCAAACACAAACTAAACTAATCACTTCGACTGGAGGGGGGGAGGGGCAGGAAGTACTATTAAATGCATTGTTACAAGACACATCAGCCAAACCACATTATTATACAGCTGCTTTGGTTAGTTGGAAAAGGACACATTTCCACTTGATGTTGGGAAATTCTCACATTCTGTTGAGATAACCTTTCTATTTGTTAGACTGTCATAGTTTCAAGACAAACTGATCAGAGAAAGTGCAAGATTAACCCTAACGGAACTCAACCCATCAGTTCAACAGCAGGTTTGTGTTTAAATCTGTTGGGATAGGTACAGTACCCCTAAACTGATGGTCTTTTACACTGGGGTTGGCATACCTCCAGAAACTAAGTCAAACAGTGTGTGTGTACAATTTCCCATGTGGGTGTTGGAATTTGCCAGAATGGGTATGGTTCCTAGTAAATTAGGCTGGGGAGTTTAGGGTTAATGCCGTGTCCGATTCTTTTGTCTTACACTTATAAATTAGGTCTTCAACAATTACAACTTTGTTGGTATACAGACACTCCATTCTGTTAAAATACAAAATGCAAATGACTTCAAAGAACTTGGGTGCTCTGTTCTTCAAATAAAGGCAAATTTGGTCACCCAATTTTCAAATGCTGACTGACGCCCTACTTCAGGGGGATTTCAGAAGAATCTTAGAATGACCAGAAACCCTTCCTTCGTTGGTAGTGATATACAAAGCATTGTGACGAAATGATTAAGTGCATGTAGCGTGTCATATTCCAAGGCACAATTGTCACTCACCTGTGGCCGTGCTTGATATGTATAAGCAGAAAGACAGCCCCAAACAGGATGCATAGTGAACCGGTGACAATGTAGGCGATACCGAGGAAATTATTCTTGCCGCCGAGCCAAGATGTGGTCGTTAGGATGATGCTCTTGGTGCCATCAAACATATGTACAGGATAGGCTGATAAATATGTCAAGAACTTATACCAGAAGAAAGGAGTTCTTAAGATAGAACATTTCTAAGGTACATGTTGACTGAAACTGCACACAAAGGCTCAAATCCCAAAACTTCTCTTCATATTCTTCAAGTACAGATGAGTGCACACCATCCATCTTTGATGAAACACTTTTTAACCCTCCCTCTCTGGCTGGCAATTTCAACAAGGCCAGCCCAGCAGTCAAAATAAATCAAGTGACTGTTTGTAACAGTTGAGTGCTCCCTGCCTTCATAAAGCAGGATTGACTGGCTGGCTATGCTTTGACTTTAGGTGATCGATGAGCCAGCTGTGCCTACCAGTCACCTGCTTTTGTCTGTTGATGGAATTTGACCATCACAGTGCCTACAAGAAATATGATCTGACTGTAGCCTGTGTAAAAGGAATGGCAGGAAAACAGAGAATTTCTTTCTGTAACTGATCAAACTGATCAAGGAGGGTTAATGAATACTATGCAAACATGTCATCAGGCATTGTTAATATGTTGATACAGGAACATTAACATTTAATTTGACTCAAAATGTCCCCCATGTATATGAAAAATTTGTGTTTTAGTTCATTTCATGAATAGTTCTTTAACACCATTCAATGTTGATACATTTTTGAAATCTTGTGCTTCAAAAAATGTTTGGTTCTCCAGACAACAGTAAATTAAACCTATGAATACAGAGGAAACAAATGATGGATGACAAATGAGGAAAGTTCTTGAATATAACATTATCATGTTGCGGCCATCGTGATTTTTTCTTACTCAAAGCAACGTAACCAAATCGAGGCTGGAAGGAAAAATAGTCTGGTTCCTTTGTGCACAAAAACATTATCATTCAGTACTGGTATTGGATACAGGGAACATGACTAAAATGGTGGCAGCGTGATAAAGATCTATTTGTTACAACAAATTCAGTGTACAAAGTAGAAAAAGGATACAATAGTCAATTGTCAGGCTGTAGTTTCCTTTGGGCAGGCCCTTGTCAAACACGGTGCCTTCCTGAATCACAACTTTACGATGGAGTTTGCGGAATGTCGGCAGAGCGGCGGTTCGCATCCAGACAATGAAGTCTTCATTCTGGTAGCCATTGGTGACATTCTGGATACTTGTCAGCCAATTAGGAGGGTTGGTTGTCCCATCAAATGCTACAAGATAAAAACAAATGAAATAAAATACTTTTGCAACAGAATCTTGGAGTTAACAAATTGATAGGTTTAGGCTGTACTGCTTGCTTAGGTATTCTAGCTTCAGTAGAAAAGCTGTTTACTTGTATAGTATCGATTTAAACCAGCGACTTTTTTTGTCTTGCAAGGAGATTCTACTCAGTCCCTTTTTTCTTAGTGAGCCAAGCTGCTAAGAAAATTTGGTTTTTGCTGTCCTTTCTGCTTACGGGCTAAAAGTCGGATCATGCTTTGTACAGATAAGAATGCAAACTTGAGACAACACGGTGAGAATTTGCAACCATGAACTCTAAAATTGAACACTAGAACATGAAATTTGCTGAGGATTCTCTTTACATAAAGAAATGGCCTTTTACTCTGACATTCTCCCATCTCCCGTTACAGCGTCAATTACACAATCTTTTTTTAATTTGGCATTGTTAGGGCTAGTGGTTCCCTTGGTGGCAATACTGGATGGATTACACGACAATTTTAACGACAAATGACTCTTACAGGGTGGATTGCCAAACTTGGTGGTCTTGTCGCTGTTCCAGGCTATACCAGATCCATCTAACTGCACTGGCTCATCCATGTTACCATCCTCCAGGAATGTGATGTTAAATGTATCTGTAAAGATAAATTCAAGTAATGTCAATGGTCACTCTAAAATAAAAAAAATACTGCAAGTAAAACTTGCGCGATCCCCCTGGCATCCTGCCAGTTTGTATACATGTACATGTAAAGGCAGTTAGTAAGGACAATTTTCATTGATGGCCTTGATTGTCCACCCAGCAGGTACCATGTTCTCAGTTGAATGGGGAGTTTGGGTTGGATGGAGAGTTTCGGTGAGACACCGGACTAATATATGTTAGAGTCATTAGTCAAGAAATAGCAGATGATTTTAGAGGATTGGGACTGAATCCAATGTTTACATGCTGGCAATTGGAGGATTTTGCAGAACTGAAGATGGTTCCTACTACTACTAGCCAAACGGGCCTAGAGGGTTAAGATTAAATTCTGACAGTTTGGAGGCAATAGACGACTTATATTGACTTCTTAGACCCTATCTCTGTCATCTGAAACTGACCCCAGAAAAATTGCTAAGCACTGAAAACCGGTTACCAGCTAAAATATCATGCATTATATATTGTATGCAACTGGTATCCCTGCTGAGTTTTTTTTAGCTAAGCAATATTTTCATCTCCATGAAATTGAGCCCAGGTTTTGATTTAGAGTTGGCAGCCACCGTTTACCACCCTCTTGCCACGCCACGACATCTCACCATTAAAGATACTGTTTGCGATGGCACCGCAAGGTGCAATGGGTATGGCCGAGGTGCTGTTGTCGTCATTCTCCACATCTTTTCTCTCGTAGGGTTTGCAGTCTGTACTGACACCGGTCTGCGAGGCTGCTTCCCCAAGTAGCTGCAGATCGTCTCGAGAGTTGACATACCGACGATGGTTCTGGTAGTAATTGGTCAGTTTGTACAGCATGTAGACTTGACCCTGAAATCAAGAGATAGGCACAAATCACCTGTCAAATTCTTGTCAGGTAACACTTAATCTTGCTTTCATTGTGTTCTTCAACTTTTGGGGTTTCTTTTCAAAACGTATGATTTATTTAACCAAAAATTTACAATTTTGGCATCTTGAACCCTTCGAAAGAACACTTTAATTTCGGGTTGCTCAATGCTTTTGCACTGCCTTGATTATTTTCAGCCTGAAAATGATTCAGATTTTGACAAGTTATCTTTCCCTATTACACTGACAGGGTTTCTGGCACTTCATGAAAACAAAATTCCCTGATTTTCCCTGCGTGAGAGTTGGCGGGCCTGCATTTTTTTTTGGGGGGGGGGAGCCATCGGCTGCACACATCCGTGAACGGGTGCAAGCCAGCTAGTCTGGTTCCCTCACCTTACAATTCCATTACGCCTATAAATTGCTCTATTTCATCTAAAGTGAGGTAAGGGAACCAGACTACAAGGACACCCAACATCATGTTTTGTTGGTTTTTCCAGCATCTATAAAAACACAAACCTTTAAGCAGGTCAGTGTACAACAATATTTTCTACATACAAAAAACTAACCCCTTAATCCAATTATGTTTGAAAAATTACAGCAAAAGCAAATGCTGTATAGTACCTTTAACCCTTACTCTACTAGACCCTCCAACGCATGCCAATATGTGCCTCAAGAAAATCTCCTATGTTTTTTGCATGGCCCTCCAATATCTGCCATGTCATTTCAAGGGTAACTGGACAGGCACTCCAATACATGCCACAGAGAACAATGAGAGTCCTCTGATAACAAAGTGAGTGCCCCCAGCTGGTCAGTATCAGGCACCCTCCAGGGCCTCCAACTCCTGCCAATTGGAGCCTTCACTGTTAAGACTTGTTATCTGCCAAAAAACTGCAGCTGGAGGGCATTGGCATAACCAACTGACATGCAGTAAACTACCCTCAGAGAGTAAGGGTTAACGGACACCACAAGGGTACACTTGTTTCCCGCATGGTACCAAGGCTGGTTTTTATGCACCACACTTGCCCAATGTAACAAAATCCACTGCTAAATTTGTTGCGTTTAGCAGGGTTATAATTTCAGCCGTGATGGATTTGTTTATGTTTAGCAGAATGCATAGAGAAAACCTAACTTGGGGCGGGGTGGGATGGGGTAATAAAAAAAGTGACCCAACATAGACGTCTCCGTGTGCCACAGATCCATGTTGACATGCAAGGCAGCCTGCAGTTAAGACGTCTTACCTCCATTGCCGTCTCTAGTTCAAATGTGACAGCGCACCTACAGGTGATGCCCATGTTGGGTTGACTGTCAAACAGGTCTGTACAGGTGAGGGTTTCATTAGTGGTGGCGTTCGTGTAGGTGCAGGAGGTGTAGTCAATTTCCTTCTCTTGCACCTGTCAATAAAGTAATAATAACACAACTAGATACAACTTCGTTATGATCCAATTATGAGGGGTTTCATCTGCCCGTTACAGATCGTTTGCACTCCAACCATCTATTTATTTATTTCTTATTTTAACTGGGTAGCCCATTCAGTGAAATCCACTGATCTCCCATGGGTCCCAGTAAAGAGAAGACAATGTGAAGAAATTACAGTTTTAGAGGTGGGAGGAAAAGCCCAGAAGAGTATTATGAGGAAAACCCACGGAATCAGGTAGGGACTGAAAACCCAATCCACATATTGACCCAGGCGGGATTCGAACCCGGGTCACAGCGGTGGAAGGCGAGGAAAGTACCGCTACGCCAACCTGACTCCCCTAGTCTTACCTCCATCCCTATGACTTCGTTCAAGAGGGATACACTGGAGTAGACCATCTTATGGATTCCATCTTATGAATAGTAATTGTGGTACGTCGGTGAAGGGCAAAATCTAATTTGATTTACATCAGCCCGACGCAAAATTCCATCTTATGAATTGTGGTACCTGCCGCTACATGTACATCGGATTCGAACCAGCCAACAGATCCCGCAAGCTCGGTTGTTGAGTGGTTTAGACGTCTGCACCAGAAAGCAGGAGGCTGTGGGTTCGAGTCCCACCCGAGTGATTTTTTCCAACTTTCACTCTGGAGGTAACACACTGAGTATACAGTGTTTATACGTCAGTGAAGGGCAAAACCTATAATATCGATTTACATCAGCCCGACGCAACCCATCTGATGAATGAGTAGACCTCTTGTACATTCATTGTTTATGAATTAGCATAACAAAACACACCTCAAAGATGGCTGGTGAATGCAGTGGGTCTATTGGGAAAGGGAATTTCTTTACATAGTTCTCTTTACCATTTTTTTAAAAACAGAATGGCCTCCGGTTATAATAGAGGAAAGTGCTGGATCCACATTGATGCACATCACCAGCTGTGAGCTTAAGACTGACCAGGAACTCAACTTTACAGTCAGGTGAGATATGCAATGTTTTTAATTCACTTCAGTTCATATTTATTGCCATTCTGCCCAGCACAATTGAAAAAAAAAACATATTAGAGACCTCTTAGTAAAAAAAAGATCCCATTTCCGAATGCTTGAATTTTAGTAGTTAAAGGGAAGATACATTTGCAAACATCAAAAAAACGAAATGATCACATTATCACGAAATACCTTACTGGACTGTTAGGAAATGAAAGTTTAAATCATCCTGTAAAATCATAGCTCCTGGTGTGCTGATATTTTTAAGAAAATTTTACTTTTCCAACGCTGGTCACCCGACCAGCGTTGAAGAAAACTGGCTTTTTTCAAAAACTGCTCCTAATTTTTCAAATTTAGTTATTCTGCATTTTCTTTGCAACTGGTTACACACCTGTGAAGGAGTATCAGTCTGCTAGACTGATTCCCTGACCTTACAATTCCCCAAAGCCTATAAATTGCTCTGTTTCATCTTAAGTGGGGTCAAGGAACCACACTTCAAGAACATGATGGTTTTCTTAGTTTTTCCAGCATCTACAAGCCCAAAAAGTGAAACAAGTCAGTTGAACAATATTTGCTATAACATACTAATCCTCCAAATCCATTTATTTCTGAAAATTGCAGCAAAAGCAAATGTTGTACATTCCCTTTAAGTGTACAACGCTTTATAGTTCTGTTGCAATTTGAAGTATGATGGATGACAGAAGACTATGACTGACACTGAACCCTGAGCCTCTCATCAGATCCTACAAATCAACTTTGAGGTGGTTCAGGATTTGGCAGGATTTAGGAACGTAGAGCCCAACACTATTGCTCTATGTACATAGGGCTTGCTGGCACCTTAGAAGTTTCAAAGAATATGCCATTGACATCCTACACAGTTGTTGATTGCTTGGGGATTCATCAAGGTTCCCAACAAAATTGGTGTAGATGACGTGGAGGGCTTTGGTCAAATAGTTATGGTGTTTGACTCCCGTGCGGTGGTGCATGGGTTCGAAACCCGACGGGGAACGTGGTGCTTGTTTTCTTGGGCAAGACACTTTACTACAATTGCCTCTGTCCACCCAGGAGTACCAATGGGTACCTGTGAAGGTAGAGACCAAAATTCGCTCATCTCGAACGGCTGCAAAACTGGTCTCATGGCCTGATGAACAGGGGTAATAATTGTGAAACGCTTTGAGATCTTTGGTGTAAAGCGCTATATAAGTACCACATTATTATTAAAACAAAATATGACGAGCGCTTGAGAAACTGGATGGAACTTTTCTTTGGAAGGGATAGTGAGAGGCAAAATCTAGCATGCTTACATTATTTGAAGTTACAAGAAAGAGCGCTCCAAGAGGCACAAATATGATGCCAATGATGAAGAAGGCTGGAAGAACAGTGCCCGCTGTCAGGATGGGCTGCCAGGCTGGTAACCTCTGCTGCTTGAAGGCGGTGTCTGTGAATGTAAGCAAGCAAGTCACGCCAGTCAGATCATTTGGCACAAATTTCTTACACATTTTACAAACGGTAAATTGCACTTTTCATCCAGATCGTAAGTCAGCCTTTTAGTACCTCAATCTTATTCATCGATCTCTACTTGTATCTCAGGTGGCATATTTAGTAATTCTGTGGCCGCTGTGAGGGTGAAATGTGATGATTTTGTTGGCAAAGGGTTGGGTTGTTGCCTTGTTGGTTATTCCCGATGCCATGTCTGACAATCGACTTGGACCTACCCTACTATCGCCAGACCATGTCCCAATATGGGTGCACGTATACGGGTTTTGTTGCGACCAGGTACCCAATTCCCATAACAGGGGGGTATCCACGGACCTGTGATTATTTTTAAAATCATAACCAAAACAGGGAAGTAAAGTATTTTCCACCGTGCACCCGCCCATTCTACTGCCAAGCTGCTGGTGCGCTGGCTTCCCCTTGGGTTCGGCAACTAAATATTACACGGGCCTACTTTGCAACTTAAACTATATTCCTGTTTATTCGTTAAATAGTGTGCACATATCGCATAGCCGTGTATGCGATATGTGCAGGCTGCGCATGCCGTTCAGGAAACAGTCGCCGGTGTACGCGTGCACACACGATATGCCCGACTGTGAATGTGGGCTTGCGCTTGGCCGGCGCGTCGTACGTCATCAGTTTGACCTCACAATTTGAATGAATCGTACACAAGTACAACAACAACATTCAAGATGGCTTTTACCGGCACGACAGCTCGGCGAGGCTCGGTTTCCGAATTGAAAGTGAAATTTCTCTTTTCTTCTCTAACTAAGGTATGTGAACCTAACCACCACCATTTGTATTTCCAATTCCCACTGAAGTCTACAGGGGCGCATAAGGCAGTTTGAAGACTGTTTTTGTGGTGAAATCTGACGATTTTGATTGGGGGTACGAGTGAAAATGGTCCAATCACGTTAATGGTAACCATATACATGTACCTAGGACTCTACTATCGCCCGACCATGTCCAAATGTTAAAAAAAGCAATCCGTAGAGTCCTAGTTACTCGGACTACATTTGAAGTATCCATTGAAATAAACTAAATATTCATGAGAAATAAATATTCTTAATGACGTGTCATGGTTGTCGATGTCATGCGTATAACGTACCGCTGTCTTCCAGACACTTCAATCAGTTTTAAACGGCTGCTTTAACTTAGTTCTGCACGACGTACGTGTGCATCCAAAATGTGCTCTAAAAACACATTTTGCCTAGGCTAGGCCCAGACTGGGACCGTGAGTGCATGAAAACGTGCAAAATTACTACTGACGTTTTTTAACTCACCATTCGGCTAATTAATGCCCACACAACACATACATCAAAATGCTATAGTTGTAAGCATGTCACCTGCGAAATTTGAGACCTTAAATCCAATTTTAAGGCAGGTTTTTGGCAGTTCAAAAACCACCCATGTCATTCTCCATGATCTGGAGATGTGCATGTGATTCACAAGGTATTCTGGGTAGATGCACTTAGTGCCTTGCAGCTTACTGGGTTTTTTAATCGATGGCCAAAAGAACATAGCGCCCTCTGTTAAAAAATGAAACATTCTGAATTCACTCTGATCAACAAGAGGGCGCTGTTTTATCTACACGATGAAAATGTTGTAGCTGAGGAGTCTTTTTGCACAATGCATTGCAGCACACATCAACATGATGTCTCACGTTTGGATTTTGATAACTCTCTGTAAAATTAGAATTAAAAGCTGAATTTTTGGTGAGGCAATGCTCACAACAGCAACTTTGCGAGGCAAAAGTTTCAGGGATTATTGAAGAAACTGTAGTGAGTAAGAAGCTTGCACATTTGATTCACACTGGTTTTATGCAGCACAAACTTTTGCACAATATGGATACCTTAAGTTTTGGGACTCTCATACACAGTATTGAGAGTCCCAAATTTTCGGACTAGGCTAGGCCCTATTTTTTTTTCGCATTTCCAGAGCTTCCTGGATTCCTCTTGGGTGAAATCACAAGGTGAGGTGAAAATTGATGTGTGGCACAATTGCAGAATACCCCGCCACTCACCTATCCCACCTCGTATCCGGATACGCGGATACGGAGTCACGCTTGGATGCTCAACCAAAACCACACGCGTGTGCCACCCCATATCCCCGTATCCGCATATCCACTTCCCGGCACCTACTTTGGACTTGGACGTTTTCCCCCAAAACCACAAGCGTGTGCCACTCCGTATCCCCGTATCCGCGTATCCACTTCCCGGCACCTACTTTGGACTTAGACGTTTTTCCCCTGCTCCCCATTCAAATCGCGTTAGATATCGATGCTTCGTTCTCATAAATAATACGGGAAATAGCGCCCTCTTTAGACCCTCCAGCGCCAAAACCACATGCTTGTGCCACCCCGTATCCCCATATCCGCGTATCCACTTCCCGGCACCTACTTTGGACTTGGACGTTTTTCCCCTGCATGCTCCCCATTCAAATCGCGTTGTCTGCCTTCGTTATTTTCCAACATGGAGATATGATGGATGCTTCGTTCTCAAAAATAATACGGGCAAATAGCGCCCTCTTTACACCCTCCAGCGCTCAAATCCACCCCGTATATTGTATCCGTGTATCCACTTCCCGACATCTACATGTTTTCGACTGCGTAGCCATTTATTTTTAGGGGGTAATTTTCGCGTGGCGGGGTATTCTGCAATTACTCCTGATGTGTTTGGCGGCAGGTAAAGTGGTGAGCCAGTATGGAATTTTTACCGGTCACGGACGTCCGTGACCGACTCGGTCCGCGGATCGAGTCGGTTACGGGTCTCGGACCGACATGATCGACCGAGTTGGTCACGGACCGAGTTGACCTGAAAGCTCGCAGTCGCACATTCAGGGCGTCGCCGTTGCCCGTAGGGCCTACGTGGGCAGGGGATGTTCAGCTCAGACAGTTTTGCCAAACATTTTTTTCAGAGTCTTCGGTTGGATCTTCATGACTTACTTGCTGGCTTGTTGCTCTTTTTCTTTTCTCCATCTTCCCCGTTATTCTGACCGTTCAATTGTGCCGTAGAGTTCGAATTTTCACGATCAGCGGCAGAGTTGGCAGATGCCGTCTGCCTTTCCCGGAGCTCCGACATTTTGTTGAAATATTTCGCTGGTAACCTGGAATCAACTCGTACACGCTTGATAAGCGATATCGATTCGTTTATTTACATTTTGGGTGTGCGTTTTGTAGTCATGGATTTGTGAATCACCAGCTTATATTTTATTTTCTTCCTTAATAATTAATCCACAGTCAAATATGTTGGGTAACTTATGGTATCATAACCGTCGAGTTAATTCTCATGTGAAAGAACCTTAATAAATCGACAAAGAAAGAATTAAACCATAGAGCAAGCCTTGCTCTATGATTAAACCGAGCCCGTTCCGGACTTGCTCTATGAATTGACTGAAACAAGTTTAAATATAAAGTCACTGGTACTTTGCTGATGGCCGCTGTTTGTGAAGATACAGCCTAACGTATATATTTATAAAAATCCCTTTACGAAATAGCTGATCCCATGTGGTCTAGTGGTTAGGATTCGTGGTTTTCACCCACGCGGCCCGGGTTCGATTCCCGGCATGGGAAACCAATATTTTTCATTTTTGTTTAAAAGTTAAATTTGAACAAGTGAAATCTTTAGATAAGCATTAGTTTAATTTTCTGATGCAAAGACCTTTTTTATTTCTTTAAAGAAATCACACTTTCCTCGAATTTTAGCAGATAGATAGATAGATAGATAGATAAACTTTATTAAAATCCAAAACTGGAAATTACATGTTGTCGTCTCTCATTAAAAATATAAAAAATTCAACATACGCTACAATATTCAGGAAATAAATACACAATCACATCAAAACATTACAATTGCACACATTATAAAGCACTAAAAACTTTAGAGCGTAAAAAAGCACATGTGAAATTAATGCCAAACCCATTCCCAAAGTAGAACCAGAATAAAGGACTAAGTATAAAAATTATGTCAAAAACTGTGAAAACCCGTTGCTTCTCAGATACCAGAATAAATTAATCCTTTGGATAAAAATTATCTTGTAAAATCATCATTATGACACTTAATGGCCCTGCCTGTGAAAAATGAAGAATATCGGTTTGTGTGTGCAACCACTGGTCTCAGTCTTCCGCTGCGTGGAATGATGTTATCTTTAAATCGGTTGTGGAGCGGATGCCCAGCATCTCCCCACACCAGTTGTAGCTTGTCACGCAGCCGTTGGTCGTAGACCGTGTCCACTGATGGCAAACACTCACCGAGTATCCTACTAGCTCGTTTGATGGTATCGTCAATTAATTTGTTCACTTTCTTATCGGTATTTCCAGCCCAACATAACAAACAATAGGTCCATACACTACAAATAACCGAGTTATAGAATATTGTCTTGATTTCCTTCCTGACATCAAATGTGTTCAGTTTCCTCAAACAGTACATTCTTGAGTTCAATCTTTTACCTACATGACTCACATGGTTGCTCCAGTCTAACCTATCATCAAAAACAACTCCAAGATATTTATACTCGGCAACACGTTCTATTTCATGTCCATCAATTATAACTGGATCCGGCACCAGCTTATAAGCTTTGCGATGCGGAAGTCAACCAACATTTCTTTCGTCTTTATGAGATTCAGTGCAAGGAAGTTACGTTTACAGTATTCGACAAACCGACTAATTTGCTCCATGTAAATGGACTCTTTGTTCTTTTGAATCAGACCAATAAGGGCAGTGTCATCTGCATATTTTACCAGTGGACAACTCACATCAGTAGAGCGGATATCGGCTGTGTACACAGTAAACAGAAACGGTGCTAAAACAGTGCCTTGCGGAGCTCCAGTACTAGAAACTATAACATCAGAATGGGTGGAATTATTAAGACGCACAAATTGTGAACGGCAAGTCAGATAATTTAAAATGAATCTCACAACAGTATGGGGCACAACTGACATGTCAAGTAGTTTCTGTGCAAGAATATGGGGCTGCATGGTATTGAAAGCCGAAGAAAAATCGAAAAACATAATACGAGCAGAGTTTCCAAACCTAGTGCGTTCTAAATGAGAATAAAGTTTATCTAAACAAAACAAAATTGAATCCTCAGTACAACGCCCCTTGGTATAAGCAAATTGCAATGGATCGACAAAATCAGCAATCAATGGTTTCAAATAATTCAAAACAAAACGCTCACATATCTTCATTGCCACGGAGGTTAACGCAATTGGTCTAAGGTCATTATTGCACGTGACCACTGACTTTTTAGGAACTGGAATAATACATGACCGTTTCCAAATGTTCGGAATTGATTGGGTGGTGAAACAAAGATTAAAAATGAAAGTAAAAATGTATGACAATTGATCAGCACACTTTTTGAGGAGGCGAGGAGAAAGTCTGTCTGGACCAGCAGACTTAGACTGTTTCAACCCTAGAAATTGCCGATGTACCTCATCCTCAGTAACAGTTAAAAACGGGTCAGAAGTAACTCCTATATTGAATGATCTCTGCAGGTCACTATGCTAACTGGTAAAATCATGACAGTCAAACCTTATAGAATGAGTTAAGCTCGTTAGCATAGTCAATTGTTACACAGCAGGAAGCTGATGGGATTTGCTAGGCTTAGAGTAGCAACTCATCATACGCAGACCGTTCCATACTTGCTGCATGTTATTGTCCGTGAAGTGTTCTTCAACCTGTTCTTTATAAACTCTCTTTTCGTTGCGAATGGCGCGTTTTAGTTCTTTCTGTATTTCCTTCAGCTCAGCTTTATTTCCTAGTCCAAATACTCCTTTTTTCCTGTTGATCACCTCTTTAACGTATTTTGTGATCCACGGTTTGTTGTTAGGGAATATTTTCACCTTTCTAGGTGGAATTAAAGTGTCCTCGCAAAACTGAACGTAGCAGCTCACCGTGTCCGTCAGTTCATGAATATCCTGTGCGGAATCAATGAAAACGGACCAATCCGTGCATGCATAGCATTCTTGTAAGCAGGTTAAAGCTTTAGGGGACCACTGCTTGAATTCAACTACACGTGGTTTGTCTCGCTGCACAATAGGTCTGTACTTAGGAAGCAAAAGTACGAGGTTGTGATCTGCAGATCCAAGCTTGGGTAGAAGTGAAGCATTGTATGCATCTTTAACTGATGAATAACAAAGGTCCAGTGTAGCTTCTCCGCGAGTCGGGCAGTTCACATGTTGATAATAATGAGAGCCCGCCCTATCCAGCTTGCCGTGATTAAAATCTCCATTCACCACAATGAATGCATCCGGGTGTGAAACCTCCAGGTTATGTATAGCTGCTCTCAGTTCCTCACTGCCAGCTTTAGCAACGGATTTGTCCGGAATGTAAATAGTACAGCACAGTACATGTGAGAATTCACGCGGCAGATAATATGGACGTAGAGAGGTGACCAGAATTTCCAAGTTAGGGGTACAGGAATGATCCTTCACGTGTACATTATTAGGATGACACCAATGATTACTAACATAAAGGCACAGACCGCCCCCATTCTGTTTTCCAGTAGCATCCAAGTCCCGGTCTCCACGTATCAATTTAAATCCAATCAATGTATGAAACGAAACAGGTCAAAATAATGTCGGTGAGAGGAAAAAAAATCATTGATGGTTACCAATTAACTATATTATCAACAATTAATATATTCTCTAAGCTTAGAGCCCATCATCCTCAGCATGGTAAAAAAAGGTTGAACAGGATTAAGTGAGGGCAAATAGGTTAAGTTGGACTTGGGTAAATCCGCAAATCAGCCAAAACAAGGGCACATGATAATAGCCCTTGTTGTTAGGTAAAGTATGGGTGTTTGTTATAGTACAGATTTTAGCATTATATCGTGATGTATGAAATTATTATCTCTGATGTGATAGCCTAAGGAGCAGGACCCCACTGGATCATCTAGCCCTTACCCTAGGCCCTTACCCTAGGCCCTCAGCTGTTATGAGTGTGCAATTTAGGCAACTTTGAACAGGAAGGAAACAGGAAATTGTAGTCTTTATTTTTACTAACGATGAGGGACAAGGTGGCATCTTGATATTGGGCTGGGGGTATAGTTGTGAAAAGTCAAGGCCGGGTAATATTATCCACAAGGAACTGGTTATTTTGCGGCGCCGTGCCCGCGGAAAGGTTTATTATTATTATTTTATTCAATAATATATATCAATCATCATTGTCGACGCAAAAAGTGTCAGACACCCTTGTGTGTTGTCACCCCTGCGAGTTCAGTTCCTTTTTATAGCTCCGTGGTTCAACTATTACTTTCTGAAGTGTTGAGGGGGTATTCAAGTTTATTCCTCATTGAGTCACATATTTTCTACTAAATTCCACATTAAAAAAATGCTACTCGTTTCAAATGTAAGGACATTCGCAATTTGTCAAGCTCTACTTTGGACTTCAATTGTAAAATTTTGCCAAAAAACAAACGATATAGACAAACATCTATCGTATTTATAATAGACACTTAATATACATGTACATATTGCTTTCTTCAACTATTTGGTTAAGATTTAACAACCGCGACCGACCCGTATTTAAAACTCGCTGTATGGTCCGCGGTATATTCCTCCACTCCGGCCAGCCGTTCGTAAGGAGTTCAAGTTTAACCTGAGATCCAAACTTGATCCGCTTTTAAGTTTTATTAACTATTTAGATGGCAGCCTAGCCTGTTAGTACTTGAAGTACGTGTAATATATGTATATTTAATGTGTATTATTATTATTATTATTATGCCCACTATAACCGGTCTCACGGTGTACCTACTATAAGTTATCCCGCGAGCGCGAGTGGAACACGGAATAATGTAGTGCGTCTGTGTCGGCCGAGTGGTATATGTGGGACACAGACGCACTACATTTTCCGTGTTCCACGAGCGCGAGCGTGATAACAAATTTATCTTCAAGCAAACTTGACGCGCAGTAAAGTTGGACCATCGCTTTACACGAACATTTAGCGGTTTAGCGCATGCTGGAATGTCGCTCGCATCTTGGAATAGCGCAATACGCAGGGTGCGATAATGCGATATGGGCCGTGCAATACAGTCTCATATCTATGGAACGCCAAAGCCGCCTTCTATAGTTCGATTTCATTCCATAATCAATTTCATCATTCCATTCGGCGATTCCATCATTTCATTCGGCGATTCCATCATTCCATTCGGCGATTTCATCATTCCATTCGGCGAGTCCATCATTCCATTCGGCGTTCATCCTTTCATTCGTCTATTTCGCATTTGATTTAGCCGTTCTACATTTCAATCAGCAATTTCGCCCCCTTTGCACTTCATGCTATTCTGCATTTCGCATTCCATGCAGCTATTTCGCATTTTATGTAGCTATTCCGCATTTCATTCGGTCCGAAAGAAAAAAGAAAAAAGAAAAAAGTCATAATTAGGACTTATTATT